GCTATATGTTTTATTATTTTGCAAGATGGAATTATTTGCTCCTGAATGGGTCTTGGATAAGTGCTATGTACCTGTTGCTACTCCTTTTGGAGTTTTTGGGTTTGGCCTCTGGTCTTTCTTTTTTCGTTTATTTCTTGTAACAAGTCCGGAATCGTTAACTCTTTAGGTTTTATTTCTCTATTTGAATGTAGCTCTTTGAGTATTTAGCGGGTTTCTGATTTCTTTAAGGACTTTGTAATTATTTTTTTGTGATAAAATAATATTTATTTATTTATTTTTTTTTTTTTTTGAATGAGAGAACAAAATCAAAAATTGAACTGAATAAGAGCACACACAAACACAAAAGTATATAAATAAATGGTAAGATTTTCTTTATTAATGTCTACTTTAAAAGATTAATGTGTTTCTTCGTACTAATTTGAAGAAAATTAGTTTGTTGAACGCTCATTGTAAGCATTTGGCCTCTCTCAAAATTATGTTCTTGTATCAACTTTTTCAACAACCTTAAAGCCCTTGCTTAGGTAATAAGCTCACGCAACAGAGCCCGGCTTTAAACATAAATGTCGTTCTGCACCTGTACGTGGAGCTGGTTGCTGGTAGGCTCGCGGAGGGATTATTTACGCCGTCATGTGCCTTCTATGGGGTGGCAGCGAATAGATACCCCCGTTCCAAAAAAAAAAGAAAAAAAAGTACAAGAATTTGAAGAATTGCCACTTTTATTTCTCACATTTGAGCTATAACTTTAAAATTAAAAAAATAGAGGTGTTATGACCAGATTGAACTATTACTTCCATTGATGAATGGATGATATCACAATATTTCTGGATGAACATTGAATGAAATGGTCGGATAAAGTGCTTGAACGGTCACCTTGCACTGTATATTTGTCAACTATAGTCGATCTATATCAATTAATGAATATTATCATCTGATGAGCTATTTGAATGAATATGAACTCATCTAGGTGAATAAATTATATGAATGCATCAGAACAGATTGAGAATTTAAATGAATTTACCTTTGCAAGAGATACTATAATGGGATTTATTGAACATCATGGTTGATATGAGGACAGCTCAAAATGAATCTTAATTTGCACCAATATTTATAATATTTTATCATTTTTCAAGCATATGAAGTGAAAGAAAGAATGATCAAATAAGATAAAAAAAACTCATTTAAAAATCCAATTTTATTGATATATTTAATCTTTTAAAAGTTAACATATACTCAAAATATTATTAAAAAAATAAAATTCTCTACACTTTTTTTTTTGGTTAAAACCTACAGAGAGACATACTTATTAATTCAAAAAATCGGTTACAAGTCTTTAAAGGAATTGAAAGCCATTGATGCTCAAAGAGCTACATCCAAAATAAAAAGAAACCTATGAGCCTAAGATTTCAACTAAATTACAAAATAAAAATAAATAGAGAAACCTATGAAGCGCGCAACAAGGAGCCACCACCAAACAACAAAGGCATAGCACAAATAAACTTTAGTGCCCAGCTTGGAGAAGATAAACTGCAACAAAAGAAGTGTCAAAGCTCCACAAACAACAAAAGAAGCTGCCCCCTCGTAGCAACAACAGGCAAACCTTATCTTCTCCAAAACCTTAAGGAACATTTCATATTAAAATTTTATTAAGGGAATGCTTTGATTAGAAAATAATTATAATTTAAAATTATACACTTTCATTTAACTTTGAATTAATTAAAGAGGTTAATGTTAATATGTATAATTAATTTAGTTGGTGAAATATATGAGTAAAATTAGAGTTTCAAGATTACTTATCTATGTTGTCCTTTCATTTTGGTTTCTTTCTCAAATGCACAATGAATGATTAAATTATTTTGAAATATATAAAATTCGTTCATCTAGGTGATATTGAATATGAAATCTATATATGGGAGTGATAAATATATACAAAAAAAATTAGAATGAGAGTAAGTATTCTCCTCTTAGGAAAAGAAAATAAATATATATGGGGGCGGAACCAGCATTAATTTTTATGAGGGATAAATTTATAAGTATTTGTTGGTGTTGCCTCAAATTTAACTCGACCTTTCACTATAAGAAATTAATTGGTCACAATAGGGATAAAAAAAATAAAGACAAAAAGAAAATGATCGCTAAAGATATTTATTAGCTACCAAAAGTAACTAAGGCATCTAAATAATAAGGAAATTTTATATTTGCTACCAAAACTAACAGAATGAATTTTGATTGTAAGGTTATTTTTGGAATTCAAATTAATAAATAAAATGATGAATTCTATTTACTATTTGATGGGGACAATTGCCTAAAGACCTTAGTATTTTAAAACTTTTAGGGGGTGGGGGGTCAATTGACTAAAATTACTTTTAATAAAGACTAAAAAATATATTAAGATGGGCAAATTACCTAAAGAATTTCTTTTTTAGGAAGGGCAATTGCCCCCTTGAGCTAAAGAGGGATCTGCCCCTGAATATATATATATATATATATAGAGAGAGAGAGAGAGAGAGAGAGAGAGAGAAAGAGAGAGAGCAATTTTCTCACACATAATATTCATTGTAATGGACATGAAGTACTAAATTTGATTTTCTAGTGAATATAAGAATAGCCTTAAATTATTGGATTTATCATTATGAAAATCATCATCATGATACATCGACTTTAGTAACAATCATTAGCTACATAACATAAGAAATTTCAAAATATGATTAATATTATAGGGTAAATTTGTAATGCTTACGTGGTTGATAAGATATCCATCTTTACGCATCTCATCTTGGTCTATTGGTTGGAAGCTTTGACTATCAACCGATAGGTCTTGAATTTGAGTCTTATTATGTGATATGTGTATGCGTATGCCGCAAATGACCTAAATGTTCCAAAAAAATCCAACTTTTATTTTATTTTATATATTTTGAGTCAATTATGAGCCTAAAGGCCCTAAACAAGAACAATGTCAATAAATTATGATGGAAGTCAAACAGGTCCTCAAGAGTCAATCTATAAGATCGTTACATAAATAAAATTAGGGGTGTCAATATTTAACATGACACGAAAATCCGACTCTAACCCAACCAAAAAATTTTGGGTTAGACTCGACCCGGTTTCAAAAGTGATCGGGTTTGGGTTCTCGGATTCGACCCATTTGAAAAAATGTTTCGGGTTTGGGTTGACTCGGAAACCCATAAATAACTTGTATTAATCGGGAAAATGTCTCATGCCAGTGACTGCCCGCGTTACCCTGTTGCGGCTGCCCATGTTTGCGCATCATAGCCGCTGCCTGCGACTACCCGGGGCATCGTATGTCGCGTCCTCATTAGTTGCCCGCACTCGTAGTCGCTGCCATGCATGGGATTTGGCAAAATTTTTGAATTAAAAGGCGGGATTTCACTAAATAGAGGTGCGGGATTTGGCTGAAATAGGTCTTGTCAGGTTGACCCGAACCCGAAGCAGGTCGGGCCGGGTTCGGGTCCATAAAATCGAACTATTTGTAAAAATGGGTCGGATTATGGTTGACCCGAATAATGACGGGTTCAGTTCTGAGTTCGACTCAAAGCCAACCCGTGATCCGAAATTGACTCCCCTAAATAAAATACAACGTACGTGACTTTATGACAGAATTTGAGACATTTAGAATTTATTTCCTTTAAATTATATTGAAGTGAATCTATACGTTTGGTTTGGTAAGGCAACACAAAAGAGATGTGGTGGGATGAACATTTTTATGTTATGTGGGATAACCTCATGATCTCACATCGAATCAATGAGGGATGCTAACATTACTTAGGGTACCTTCTGCCAACATCTTCCTTTGCAAATTTATTCAGAAAAACTATGAGACTGTCATAACTTAAAAATATGGTGTGAAGGTTGTAATTTTACATGAAATTAACCCTAATGCATGTATGGAAAGCCAGTTGGGCGCTGACCAATTGTTTCATCTATGATTTTGAAGGCATTCTGAGTGCAAAAGTACACACCCTTCCTCTTCAAAATGATTAAAAGGGAGTCAATATCAAGGGAAATCAACTATATGATAGAAAGTTTAGAATATCGTTCCATGTTTTTAAGGAAAAATAATAATAACATACTCTGGATGATCTCAAGACAACACTGACAATCATGATGATGATATTGGTGGTGGTGGCGATGTTGATAAAAATGATGACAATAATATCTGAGAAGCGGGAGTTTTATTCATTTAATTTAAAGTTCTTTTGTGTAAATAATATTGCTAATGAAAATAATTAATTATGTAATTTTTGTGTAAAATTTTTTACATTGTGCTATTTTTATCTTTTTATAAAAATTAAGTTGTTCGGAAATTATTGTATGCATGATTGAGTGTCAGAAGATTTTGAAATTTTCTCAATTATATGCTAAATTAGTATTTCCGGTGGATTTCAGTCAAAATTTTTTTCAATAGTAAAACGCGCATCGTAAAAATGCTACCGACGGACGATTTCCGTCGGAAATAAACTGTTTTCTTGTAGTGTAAATCGCAATTACCAAATTAGCTATAGGAGCAACATGACTAGTAGCAATTAATCCACTCTAATTAATGGATCTATTTTGTTTGATGAACGATCTTTGCAACCATCTTCATAGTCACATATGACTAGTGGCAATTTTATTTTGATGTTCACAATATATGTGTGCTTAACATATTTATGACCATTATAATGACCACAAGCACTGGTCACAAGTTGTTATATATAATAGGACGAATTATATATATATATATATAACTTTTTGCTTGCAAGCTAATATTCCTTAACAACAAACTCAGAGCAAAGCCTTGTAGGCTAATTCATTATACATCTTACACGTTATTAATACTACTTCAGAGTTTGGAAGTGATCATCCCTTTCAGATCATATACCCTCCAGCCTAAAAGAAATTTTAAATCTATCTCTCTCCTCCTCTCTCTTTCTCTCTCTCCACCTCTCTCTCTCATGCAATAACACCACCCTCTCAATAAATGCAATTGCACCCTCTCAATACGCTTTGCAATAACTCCTCTCCTTCCACAACCTCTCCACCTGTTCGCTCTTCTTCCTCTTCCTCCCTCCTAACTTTTCTTCCTCCTCTTTCTTCTCTGCAACTCTTCTTCCCTTCCATGGCTTCTGTCAAAACATTCTCACACTTTCCATCTTTATACTCTTAAACATCGATCTTCTCTCTACCCTTAAGAAAGCCATCATCTTTCTTATCTTTCTTCAACCGTTTAGACGCAGGAGACTGATAGGATAGATCCAGAAAGCCACTTTCTTGTAGATCTCAGCCCACCAATTTTTTTTTATCTTTTCCTCGTCTCTCTTCTTCCTATGAATACTCTTTCTGTCTAAGCTGGCTTAGACAGAGAAGAAGAAGAAGAAGAGGTAGTGGCAGAAGGAGAAGGAAAAAGTTAGGGTTTGGTGAAGCTAAAATATGCCCGCCGGCATCATGATTCCGGCGAGACACATGTCATCATTGGTCGGCAGGAACTCCGGAATGAGCTTCGGCAACTCCTCGGCATTGACTCTCGGGCAGGTCAGCAGAGTCAAACCCAGTTGACATCCTCCTGTTTTTTTAAGTAAATATTTAGCTGTTTGATCACTTAATATCCACGTCTAAGAAAGCTTTGGCTTTACAGACTTAGGGCTCATGCTGTTAAGGATGGTAAGAAATTTGATCTCCTAATTCTGCTTATTATGTTGTTTAGCAGATTATTAGTTTAATTTGAAGATGTTTCTTCTTTGAGTAATTGTGCTTCTCAATACTCCTCGGTAAGTGTGAACCGCGTGAGATTTGCAGTACTATGGCAAGTCATCTTCCTCTCTTTCCTTGTATTATATCTCTTCTCTCAGAGGCTCAGAGCTAGTCTGCTCCTGCTCTCTTTCCATCTGTGCAGTTTTAGAGAGAGAGAGAGAGAGAGAGAGAGATGTTTTGCCTGCCTTCCTCCCTGCATGAGCAGATCTAAGTTATGATTCTAGTTTCCTCTTCTTGATTTGAAAACTTTGAAGGATTATAAGCGGTAGGTAGTCCTAGATCTGGGAGATTTTCAGGTAAGAGCAGCTTAGTAATTTAGCTCAGTATTATTTGATACTAATACTGTGTTAGTATTAATTAATACCGGGAAATTTTAAGGCTATCCTTAACTAAAAATCTCTCCTCATAAAGGGATCCTTTGTTACTTTGTTCTTTCTTATCTAAGCCTCCCACCAGCCCTAAACAGTTAGAAAAATGAAATCTCTGTTGGGAAAGAAAGAAGTTGGTATTAATTCCTCTAACCTAATTAAGAAAAATAAAAATTTCACTAAACATTTGAAGTTTGTGATATTAAGAAATTTGTTTCAATTAAATAAAGACAAATTTCATTTATTATTTGAATCAAGTTATTAACTTCTCCTTGAGACTTCTTTGAGTGTAACCTTCAACTTTCATTTTTTTTTTTTCTAGACTTTCAAGTATTTCAGAATTGACCTAATTAGCTCCCTCATGACATTGTTCTTCTTTCTTTTTAGATGCAGACCAACTTGTTGGAAACCCAGCAGCTCCCACTCCAACACCAGCTCATAGAGATGCAGACTCCGCCGACGACGACGGCGGAAAGCGAGCTAATAAGAGCTCGAGAAGATGATTTTGAGAGCAAATCCGGTAGTGAGAACATCGAAGGTGCCTCCGGCGATGAGCAAGATCCGAACCAGCGGCCGAGAAAGAAGCGGTATCATCGGCACACACAGCATCAGATTCAGGAGATGGAAACGTAAGATCATTAATGTCTGTAAATCTGTTCAAGACATTAGGGTTTAATGCAGGAATCTTGATCATAAGTTTTTGGTTTTAATTGTTTTTCAGTTTCTTCAAAGATTGCCCTCATCCAGATGACAAGCAAAGGAAGGAACTGAGCAGGGAGCTAGGGTTAGAGCCTTTACAAGTCAAGTTTTGGTTTCAGAACAAGCGCACACAAATGAAGGTTTGGAACCCTAATGAAAAGCCAAAAACATGAACCCTTACGTATATGAAATTTAAGCTACAAATTATAAAACAAAAAAATGCGATATATTAATTTTTAGGGGGTTTTATAGCATACTAATTTTACATATATCTTAACAAAATTTTAATATTTATATTGTACCCCAAAACTTTAAATCACATAAAAAATATAACTAATATCGAACTTTCTAAAGTGAAATATATATTTTCATATATATTTTTGATTGAATTGAGACACTAAAATATTATATAAATAAATATCAAAATTTAGATATTAATGAATTATGTAAATACATCATATTTATATGGTACTTATGTAAATTTTCCTAATTAGTATTCACATTTTGTTAAGTTATAACTAAATTTAATATTTTTCAATATAGTTTTGATTGTGTTTGTGTAGCTTTTTTTATTGTGTAGCCTTATTTTTTTAATAAATATAACTATTAATTATATATCTAAGTTTTCAATCATAATTTTTTTCTTTGAAATGTGACTAAATTATAACATGAAAATTTTCATATCATAATATTTGATAAAATTTATTATAATTGATTTTAAAATCATTTTATTTATTTTGAGATGAATTTAATTAAAAAAATTATATTACAATCATCTCAAAATTAAGTTTTATGAATTTGAAATCATCTTGAATAAAAATTTAATTAGAATGCCCTGAACAAAAATCTCTCATTAATATATCTCTTTAACCATAAAAAATGAAAATAATAATCATAATCATAATCATAATATTATTTATAAAGTGTTAGGAAGATAACCAAGGCTTGGTTTAGGATGACTTTCTTACTGCTTGTTAAAATAGCTTTTAGTTTAAAATTTTTAAATTTTAAACTAAAAATTTGTTTTAAAAAACAATAGAAAATTCATCCCAAACAAAACCTAAATTGTAACAAGTTGATGCTTCTAGTCATGTTAAGGAGATAAATATGAAGTTAGTTTAATCATGACACTTAAAATATATAGTTCAAAATTTTAGTAGTGCATGCAGCTTACCTTAGTCTGTTGGTTGAGACTTGAGAGCTTAGGCTATCAACTAACAAGTCTTGGGTTCGAGTCATTGTGTATGCAATGTGTGTATGACCTAATTGGCCTAAATGTCCCAAAAAAAGAAGTAGTGCTTCAAAGCTTTATGTTTCTTTGTTCATATTAACTGAATTAATTGAGCTCAATGTGACTTCTTCTCCTTCTATACAGACCCAGCATGAGAGGCAAGAGAATGGACAATTGAGAGCTGATAATGAGAGGCTTCGCTCGGAGAATCTTCGATACAAAGAGGCTCTTAGCAATGCCTCGTGCCCAACCTGCGGTGGCCCAGCCACCCTCGGTGAGATGTCCTTTGATGAACATCACCTGAGAATTGAGAATGCCAGGCTAAGAGAGGAGGTATTTGAACCAGTTCTTGAGCTTTTAAGCCTTATTAATGGCCTGCTCAATATATTAAATTTTGTATCTTTGATTTAGTTTTATTTGTTAAATATCATGAATTTTAATCCAATATATACTAAATGTTATATCTTTTTGATGGAGATAATTCAAACAACTTATTCTAACTTTTGATTCTTTTACATGCAGATTGACAAGATATCAGGCATTGCAGCCAAATACGTAGGAAAACCAATGGGATCTTACCCCCTCCTCTCCCCGTCCATCACCTCTCGCTCTCCTCTAGACCTCGGCATCGGCGGCTTTGGCCCTGGACTTGCCGGAAGTGATCTTTTTCGAGCTGGGGAGCTGATAAGGTCCGTGTCCGGCCAGCCAGAAATCGACAAACCAATGGTGATCGAGCTCGCCGTTGCTGCCATGGAAGAACTTATTAGAATGGCTCAGCTTGGAGAGCCACTATGGACTCCTGGGCTTGATGGAGCTACGGAGACTCTCAATGAGGAAGAGTACATGCATAATTTTCCAAGAGGGATTGGACCAAATCCATTTGGATTGAAGTCGGAAGCTTCAAGGGAGACTGCTGTGGTTATAATGAATCATGTTAATCTCGTTGAGATTCTCATGGATGCGGTAAGGTGCAAGTTGGATTTTTAATTAACTTCTTACACTATAGGAAAATCGTCAATTACCGACGGTATTAATATATTTTATGGCGGTTTGTAAAATTTTTTATGGTTTCTGACGGTTTATAAACCGCCGGCGTAAGAAAATGAAAATCGGCAGTCATTTTCCGGCGGCAAAATTTTCTGGCGGTTTTCCGGCTGCTAAAACAACCAGAAATTAATGAACCCAAAGCCGCTAATAAACTGCCAAAAAATTCTGGCACGAAAAATGCTGGAGACCACTGGTTTATTAACTGATATGTCTGGCGGCCAATCCGCCAGTTAGCCGCCGGTTATTACCAGCATCATAATAAAAAATCGGTAGCAACTTCTGGATATCTGGTATCGAAGTTTCAGGCGGCCAAACCACCGGTTAACGGCCGAAATCTGTAGTATTTGTAAAAAAAATTGATTGCCCCTACTAATTAGTAGATTTGTAGTGTTGTATTTTGATAATATGAGAAAAAGGACTCATTATTACACTACTTGCATACTGCACAGGATCCGTCAAAGAACAACGAGTGTAAAGATGTCTTTTTTTTTTAAATGTGATCTAATTAACTTAATGCTATGTGGTTTAAGAATTTAATGATCTTGATGCATGTCTTTTAGAATCAATGGTCGACAATGTTCTCTGGCATTGTGTCAAGGGCAATGACTCTTGATGTGCTGTCTACTGGTGTTGCAGGAAACTACAATGGTGCTTTGCAAGTGGTATGTGTGTTAAGATTCGTGCTTGAGTATTTTGAGTCCATGTTGAAACACTTAACTAATTGCATCTAAATCAGTTTAATTTCATGTTGTTGATATGTTATATTTATTCCTCTGCATTAATCTATATCTCCTAATCTTGATTAAGATTCTACTCTTCAAGTGTCAAATTATCACAAATTCATCTTTATGATCCACTCCTCAGATGACAAGTGAATTCCAAGTTCCATCTCCACTTGTTCCAACCCGAGAGAGCTACTTCGTTCGATACTGCAAACAACATCCCGATGGAACTTGGGCGATCGTCGATGTTTCCTTAGATAGTCTTCGTCCGAGCCAAGTAATGAGATGCCGCCGAAGGCCATCAGGATGTTTGATTCAAGAAATGCCTAATGGCTACTCTAAGGTGGAACAATACAACACAATAAAAGCATCTATGTTCTTGAAGTTATACATGTTAGTACTATTTTGTTACCTCATTCATGTTTTATATGATAAATTTCAACATTATGTAGGTGATTTGGGTAGAACATGTTGAAGTTGATGATAGATCAGTTCATAACATATACAAGCCATTAGTAAATTCAGGCCTTGCATTTGGTGCAAAAAGATGGGTCTCTGCCTTGGATCGACAATGTGAACGCCTTGCAAGTGTCATGGCTAGCAATATTCCTTCAGGAGATATTGGAGGTTAGTAAATAATAGATATCATGTGTTATAATTATATGGTTTTATATGGGGTTGATTTTGTGATTTGTATGTATAAAATTGATGTTACAGTGATAACAACATCAGAGGGGAGAAAGAGCATGTTAAAGCTGGCTGAGAGAATGGTCATTAGCTTTTGTGGAGGAGTAAGTGCCTCTACAACTCATCAATGGACTACATTATCTGGAAGTGGAGCTGAAGATGTGAGGGTGATGACTCGAAAAAGTGTCGATGATCCTGGTCGACCTCCTGGTATTGTTTTGAATGCTGCAACTTCCTTCTGGCTACCTGTTGCACCGAAGAGGGTGTTTGATTTTCTTCGAGATGAGAGTTCTCGAAGCGAGGTATGATGTTACTCAATTCAAACCAGTCTCAAATTTGATTTCAATAGCAAGTAATGGAAGCTACTGTCATTTTGTTACTTGAAATTAAAAATCTTGATTTAGAAAATGATGAGGTTTGTTAAAATTATCATTTGATTGAATATAATTGGACATTGATGTTAACTTTAAACTTCACAAAACTCTTTTAAAATGAGTGAAAAATGAATTCTTCCTTTTCTAAATGTATTTTTCATGTTCAAACAATCAAATGAGCCCCAAATTACTAGGTTGGATTGCATGTTATTACCCAATTAGAGAGTTATACAAACTTCAAAGAGGAACTCTTGAATTTTGAGATTTAGTTTAGTCTTTTTTATGTTAGACAAAATCATAATTAGTATTTCTCTTGTTTCTTAAAAATTGCTCATAAGATTTATTTTTAATCAAAATGTTAGTACAAAAATAAGCTCAATTATTTTAATCTAATCCTAATAAACTCTTAACATATTAAGTCATGTAGTAATTTTCTTTAATGCCTCTCAGTTCATATTTTTATTAAAAAAATACAATAATTTATAACAATTGCAAAAAAAAAATTATCGGAAAGATTAATAGCGCCGGCGGAATTTACCAACGGAATTTCATATTTACCGGCGGATTTTGCTCGCTGGTAATGCCGATTTTCCTGCAGTGAGCTAATTAATGACCTTCAACTCTTGCTGACAGTGGGATATCCTCTCAAATGGTGGTGTAGTCCAAGAAATGGCTCACATAGCCAACGGTCGGGATCATGGCAACTCTGTCTCCCTCCTCAGAGTTAATGTAAGTCACTTCCTATCCAATTCTCCACAACCTTCTATAAAATTCAAATTAAAACAACCATGTAAGTCACTTCAATTCATCTAACAAACACATCTTCTTTCTTTCTGAAAACTAGAGCACAAATTCAAACCAAAGTAATATGCTGATACTTCAAGAGAGCTGCACTGACATGACTGGTTCCTATGTGATTTACGCTCCGGTCGACGTCGTCGCCATGAACGTCGTCCTCAATGGCGGCGACCCCGACTATGTAGCTCTCTTGCCTTCGGGTTTTGCCATTCTTCCTGATGGGTATGGAGGAGTTAATGGAGCTGGAAGTGGAATTGGGGAAGTGGGTTCAGGTGGTTCTTTACTTACAGTGGCATTTCAGATATTAGTTGATTCGGTGCCAACAGCAAAGCTATCTCTCGGTTCAGTGGCCACTGTTAACAACCTCATTGCTTGTACTGTGGAAAGGATTAAGGCTGCAGTGTCTGGAGAGAGTGCTCAGTGAACTAAATTGGCTTCCTTCTCTATATATTAATGGTGAGTTTGAGAATTTTTTTACATTGTTTGATGTTTGTTTAAGTATGTTGTTCTTATATTATTAGCTAACTTTTAAGTCTAGTTTGGGACGGCTTTCTTACTGCTTCTTAAAGCAGCTTTCTAGTACAAAATATTTAATTTTTGTACTAAAAAGTTGCTTCAAGAAGCAGTAAAAAAAGGGTTTAAGTTCTACTATTTGAAGAAAACTTCTAACTGCAATAACTAATCATCTGAAATTTTTTTTCTAATTTCTGATTAACTTGCAGGGATTAAAGGGGATTAAATCTTAATTAATGAGGGAAATAATGGGAGAAATTTTTGAAACATGAGAAGTAGTCAAGAACGCACCTCAGACTCTCCTTGCAATATGATGTATTTGTGCTATTTGTAATCAAAGTCTTAAGTAGAGAGAGATTCACAAAACTACATATGTGAGGGTGTTGGTTCGGGTATTGACTCTCCTTCTTTCTCTCTCTCTCTCTCCCTTCCCTCTCTTTGTACTTTTGCAAAAAACTACTTCTATTTCCCTTTATTTACTACTACTAGTTGCTTTCTTAGTTTCTCTCTTAATTCCTGTAAGACAGGCTTTGTTAATTATAAGTGCATCAAATTCAAGCATTGTTATTTCATGAATTTGTTTTGAATTTGTTTGATTGTTTTTTTTATACTTAATTCGTTTGATTGTTGGATTTGATTCAGTGGAACTCTTTTTTTTTTTATCTTTTTTTCATTTTTAGAGATAAATTTATTTTTCGTGTCACATATATAAGATTCAAATATCTTGGTTGATAAACAAAGCTTCCAATCAACAGACTAAGGTAAGTTGTGTATTTAGAGATAATTTCGATCATGTAGTTAAGAAAAAGGAACAATTGTATTATATCGAATGTTTTAAAAAAACTTAATTTTATTATTTTTCAACAAATATCTTACAAATATTAAATAAATCTATTTGAGTAAATTTTGAATAAAAAATCTTAAACAAAATACTATGATGTCCTATTATAGTTCCAAAATAATTTGGATGTCTTGACATTAATGTTTCATTTAGGACGACTTTGATAGTATTTTATAAGGCATTTTTTTAGTACAAAAATTTTAAATTTTGTACTAAAAATTTTCTTTAAGAAGCAATAAGAAAACAGTCCCAAACGATACACCTTCGTTTGGGTCAACTTTAAACCACTATTCTTTACCTGATTTTAAGAGATTTTTTTACTAAAAAATAAGTTTACAAAATAATAAGAAAACGGTCACAAATGAAGCCAAAGAATAACAAAAGAAACTTCATAATTTATGTGACTGTATATTGAATTTAATCTGTATTTCCAAAATATTTTTAGGATGCAAATTTTCTTGGAAAACAGCGCTTGCCTTTACTATAGTGGGTGTTTCATTCAGGCATTAAAAAAAACATTATAATTTTTTAATGGAAAATAATTAATTATATAATATATAATTTAAAGAAACAACCGATTTCAAAAAACATAATTTAAGTAGACATCATCTGCTACATTGCAGCGTGGGGAGCTTTCAGCTGCAAAATATTCTGATAAAATTCAAATAAATCATAAAATCATTAGATTTACACCAAATCAGATGTAATAAATGAAGAATCAAACATCTCAAAAAAGATAAAATCAAACAGCCTACAGAAAAATTCAAGAAAAAATAATTATCTGGGTAAATTTTTTCCCAGTTTAAAAACTCACTGGCAGATTTCATAGATGTCAATTTTTTAAAAAAATTTCACCAAAAGATTTTAATTTCCAATATAAATCAATATAAACAAAATAGTCATTTTAATTTAACCTATGCTTCGTTTGAGACAGCTTTCTTACTGATTTTTAAGACTTAAGCTTCGTTTGAGACGGCTTTCTTACTGCTTCTTAATGCAGCTTTTTAGTACAAATTTTTTTATTTTTATACTACAAAGTTGATTTAATAAGCAATAAAAAAAACCGTTCCAAACAAACCCTTAGCATGGAACTGCTTTCTTAATGCTTCTTAAAACAGTTTTTTAGTACAAAAAATAAATTTTTTTACTAAAAAGCTGCTTTAAGCAGTAAGAAATCCATCCCAAATAAAATCTTAATCAGCTTTCTAGTATAAAAAATTCTTAGAAACAGTAAAAAAAATAGTGACAAAACCATTCCCAATGAAACCTTGGTTTCATTTACAAAATGATGAAGGTAAAATAATAACAATAATAATAATATAATGTGAACAACCCAAATAAAAAATAAAATGTGTAACTACTGAAATTTCTCAGAATTGAAGTGCATATCAACCATTCTGAAAAAGCAAAAATTATAAATTTTGAAAAGTAGCAATGATAAGGACTTTCCACACAATTCCTGCATCTATAACAGAAATATCATTCACAGATCTGAAAATTTTGCAGTAAATGTAATCTTTTTCATCAACCTGCTTTTGTTCCTCATTTTCTGCAGCAGAAATATAGCAGTTAATCAAATCACAGCCTGAAAAAAATTTTAATTGAGGCAGTTAGATGGATGGCACTAAAATATGATGTGATTTATGCATATTTGAGCTCTAAGCAGATTTATTTCTTCCCCTAAATGCATTCCTAGCAATCAATATATAGTTTCCAATACAGCATAATATTTTTATTAGAGAAATTAAAAATGTCCACACACAAAAAATTGTTCCAGAACAGTAAACACCTCAAACATTTCATTATGTCTTGACAGGCAAAACTATAGATACAAGAAATTATTATATAATACAAGCCCACTATATGATGATGGGAACCAAAATCTCCTAATACTAAGACTTCGTTTGGAACGGTTTTCTTACTGCTTCTTAAAACAACTTTTTAATATAAAAATAAAAAATTTTGTACTAAAAAACTACTTTAAGAAGCGATAAGAAAGTCGTCCCAAATGAAGCCTAAGCCAATGTGGGCAACGAGATGAAGACGATTTTCATATCATGGAATGCTTTCTCTTTCTTTTCTGCAGCTATGCACATTGTCAATTCTTTTGTTCAGCTTTTCTTGGTTCTTGCTTTTGATAAGGAGCCGTCGTGGCATGGAAAGATATCCGAGAAAGAGAAATCATGGAAAGGTGGACCTGCCAAAGTAAAAGAATATTAGACAATTGTAGTAAATAGTTAATCACTACAGCTGAACTACAATATAAAGTTATCATTGCACAATGAAGGCATTGTTGATTAGTTATGAAACCATATTATCTTCAAAATAGTTCACTGCTTTTACGGTGTGATTTCATAGGTGGAATTGTTGAGCATGAACACATTTCTTGACATAGCCCAAACATCAATCTTCCTTATAGTTGTTCTTAGTACTATCACCTACCCTCTCCTTATATCTTGGGCAACCCTCCTTTTCCCTAACCATTAAAGTTTTTAGCTATTCCTTATGTATCCATTCCTTTAGTACTAGTGACAAACTCGCTAGGATTGTTTAGTGCATATTTATGTACTACGCAAGTTCGAAGAAAGGTTATCGTTTCTATGACCCTACCGCCCTCTATGTTTAAACCTCAGAAGATGTCATTTTCATGAATCAACTCCCTAATTCCTCCTCTCCGCTAACTCTTCTTCCTCTTACAGCAATTATACCCATTTCTCCTCACAGGATTTGAAAGGCACTCATGAACTCATGGTACGATCAATTTCCTTTTGATCTTTTATCGAAAAAGGATAGTTGAGCAGCAGGCTTTCAAAGGTAAACCAGGATAAGGTCTCATAGATTTGTCCAGCTAGCTGAGATAAATAAAGGTTTATTTTATTGTGGGCTTTCAAAATTTGCGCCCCAGCCTCTCCACAGACCCATTCTTTCTTCGGGCAGTTGAGGAGAGTTTTAACAAGTAAGTTCGAGGCAAATTTTTAAAAGATAGATTGGGTTTGTAGATAAGCCACTACCCAGAGATTTCACCCTCATTTTGCGAGGACTTCATGATATGAGTTCAGGTTTCCTATAGGCGCAAGCCCCTATAATTAATTACCCCTCCCGGTAACGAACGAGAACTTTCGATTAAGGCTAGTCGTCAAACATATACATAGAGATACGTAATATCCGGCATGTAGTAGCAGCACGAGTTTGGTATTTGAAAATTTAATATTTAAAATTAGAAATTCCCCACCGTATACACTTAAAGCAGGTGGTGCGGGAATAATGATGAACCCGATCAAGATCTCATGGTTCCGTCCTCCCGAGTCATTATGGTCCTTGGTCTACTTAGTCAGAGGAGGTAGTCGACCCAACCTAACATAAGGATCCCTATCGTCAGTCGTGAGTTGCTTCGTCCAAAATACGTTGTAGACCTAGGGGAAATATTTATCTAAAAGGACCAATCTAAATCCACCTTAGCTAACATAGAGCTTTGTGCCCCATCGATTATTTCCTATTGACTCATATCTCAAGGATTTGAAGCCATTGGGGAACATGCGGGCTATGATCATGACCGTAATTTAGTGGTGCCATTTGGCAGCAAAATCACCCTGTTCAGAGGATCTCGATCATAATCGTTTACCTATGGTGCCATTTAGCGGCGAAATCCACGGTGTTGTGCCATTTGGCGGTGAAAACTCCAGTTAGAGAACACGTGTCACATTCTTACTAGCAAGAGACAAATTGAGAATGAATCCTAGTGATATTCTCGACTAGACATTTACTCTTTGTGAGCTCAAGTGATCTTCAGATTAGTCCACCTCGGCAAATTGTTGCTGAGAGTTGATGTATTTTTCTTTAAGCATTTCAGTGTTTTTTTTTCAATTTTAAATATTTTAAATTTTGGATTTTCATGGACATTTTAGGAATTTTGGGAGGAGGTATTTAAAAAAAATTCCCCTCCGCTTGAAATTTTCTGTCAACACAGCCATCATTGGGATTTTCATGGGCATTTTTATTTTGTTAGTTGAGCCTTGTTGCCTTTGTCTACTTGCTGACAGATGATTGATTTTGTCATTGGCTTTATGTCTTTATTAGTTCAATTTTCTTGTTACAAACCAAGAAGATCTAATATGAATGTATAAAACAAATATCCTGGTCAGTGCCGCAACCGTATATTTGTTTGATGGTTCGAACTGTGTCGACTCCTATCCATTCAAATAAAAGGATCGGGCTCGAACTTAGGTTCATTTCTTGATCAGCGCAGCATCCTCAGAGGTCACGTGTGTACATACATCACGCTCATCGGGGCCCATACGGGTATTTGCTTATGCATGTATGTTGCATGATGCGCCTATATAATAATTATATACATAAAATTCAACTGGTGCACACGATATATTTAAGTGTTATGCATTTATGTGAAATATTTGTGCATTGATTTACTTATGCATTTAGATGTTATGACATGCTTGAATAGCATGTCTGTATTTCGCATGATATGTTGATATACAGTGGTTGTGGTGTATACTTCCATAGTGCATTTTGTATACAATATACATAATATTTTTTACATGTTGAATGTTGTATTTGTATAATGCACCCTGCATATTGTCAAAATGTGTATGTTATGAATGTATCAGCACGTGTTTCGATGTATGATGGTATTTTATAATGATTAGTTGTGTACATATCCGACGCTGGCAAGCGCGCAAGGTTCCATTTAGAAGTCAGTAGACGTCTTATGTCTGCTTGCATGAATGTTGCAGATCCCGTGGCGTGACACTGCGTTGTAGATTACCCGTTGCTTTATGCAAGTAGACTTTCATGCACTAACGAATCTCCTGCTGTTGCTTGTAGATGCTTGCATTCATCATGAACTTATGTTCTTGCTTGTAGATAGCTTGTTCTATATGTGATGGGTCTTTTACGACAATTTATAGATGCTTTCATTTGTTATATTCCACTGGCCTTTTCTCACTGAGGATCAGTGTATTTGACTATGGCCCTATAGCATGCTTGCCATCACGTCTTACAAGCAAAACTATTATATGTATTGTGGGCTTTCTGCCGTCATCTATGGGAGAGTTGCACTGAATGCAAATCTTCTAGTGTAGTCCGTAAACAACACGTTATATGCACTTCGATGTTCATAGGGAATATGTCATACTTACAACATGTCTACCATTATTTCTTGCAAGTAGATTGGCCTATTTGCGAGATGTTTGTATTCACTGTATGTGATTTTTATGTCATGTGCTCCCTTCAAATTGATTGGTTGCAGCTTATTGATATTTGCAAGCGAGCTAGTCGCGATGTTTGGCAACTAATTTGTCATGAGTCCTTTGGTCACCCATTAATGTCCATATTGCTTGTTGCTAGTGGGTGACATGTAGAGATTTCATCTACCACGGGTCATTGTTTGTAGATGTCATGTTTGTGAGCTTTCTACTATCTCTGGAGGCAATATGCAGCATGCATAATGAACCCGATAATTTTGTTTATATTATTGCTTTAATGAAGTATTACATTCATTAGGAACTCCCTTCATTGATGACCTCCAGCCTCCTTGCATGAACTTGTGGACCCATTGATATGAACACTAAGGGTTTCACATTGCCTATGTGCTCGTTGGAGGTCCTATAGTATTATCTATAATCAAATCAAAAGTTCACCTTGATCGTTGTCGGTAAGTAAGTTATAGTATATATATTAAAGATCCCATTTATTTGCAGTTTGGTCCTCAGCGAGTCCAATGCTCACTTGTAAGTCGAACATGCTGGGAAATTTGTTCCTCACGGGTCTTTTATTTGTTGATTTTTACTTGAAGCACTAGAATGATCAAAGTCGTTATTTAGCTTTGATGTTTTTATTCTGGCTCTACATTTATCAATTTTAAAGCTCCGTTCCCTGCTATTAAGTTCAGTCCCATGTTGTTTGGTGGTTCATGTTCTGTTCTTTGTGTTGTATACGAGTTCGAGTCCAAATACAGTTCCCTGTTGTTTGTATGAGTCTTGCGCATGTAATTCTGAATTTTCCAACCTCCTGGCGTCTCCCCCGATTAGGGGAAATTCTAAGAGCTGAGCCTTCCTTACCACGCTACGAGGCGCGTACGATAGGTGTCAGGTGATACAGTGGCTATAGTCTTCAGTCCTACGATGCTACGAGAGCGCGTAGGAGTCTTCGGAGTACAAGTTTGAAATATGGCATAATTTTTTTTTCCCGCAGGCACTGAGGCGCGCATGAGTACTTAATTTTGTTCTCGTCCCGCTTCGAGAGCGCTTAAAAGCCCACCCACCTCGCCGCAAACGTCGCACCGGATTCCCTTCCCCACCATGCTATGTATTTATTTTAAGAAACTATAAATAAATTTAACCAAAGAACTTACTAAAAAAAATAAAAAAGATAAGTGTACCTTCTTGTCCAGCGAGAATATAAAATGGAACATGAGCAACCATCTTAGAACCACCTTCAGTCCAATTAACAGTTCCAGGGTTTTTAACATTCCCTATTGAAGGCCCCAAAATGGATAAACTTATGGCGGGTTCATTCAATAATCCCAAGTAGTCACAAGCCCGCTGCCACACTCTTTTGTCTGTTCCACGGGATCGGGCAACCTAGCATTATCAGTTTCAGAATTGATCGACTGAATCAATTCCACACATAGCATCTAAATGACCAGCACATTAATCATAAAATACCTTTGCCAGAGCTACTTGAGCCCGTGGAAGCAATTCCGTGTGGAATGTTGCAAGCTTTGCAACTGCTGTTATGACAAAGCTTAGAAGCCTAACTTGTGAAGATCTTCTTGAATTTGTCCCATTTGATTCAAAACCTGTTTCATGGCTTAAGCCCAAGCGGCTGTCGTAAAAAGATAATAAAAAACCTTAGAAATTTATCTTTACCCAAACAGTACCACAGTTAAAGGTCAAGTTTGATTCTGTTCACTGTTAACACAAACCTGGTAGAAAGATTTTCATATAAAAGTAACTCTAAGCTCTCAAAGAGCTCCCTTGCAACATCCTTGTGGGAAGCTCCCCCACCTCCATGCTCACCAATTGCCCAACATAAATGTAAAGCCAACTCTGTCTGCTCAATATAACAAACTTGTTAAAACAGTAACGATTATTATAACAAGATAGGAAATTGAAGGAAACTTTTAGCTAAACCTCATTAAAAAAATGAGTAAATGCATAAGATCAGTCTCATTTGTGGAGCTTAAATTTCTTGGTAAAGGGGGAGACGGATATTTTCTTGCCTTTATAGGACTATCGTAGGCCTCACCTAATCTGTCAACAATAGGCTTCTGCAAAAAAAACAAAATAAACAAAAAAATGCAAATGTAAACCAATCAACCAAACTGGACAAACTTTATTAATGTGAAAGGTGTTCCAGAGTTTCTCTCATAAAATACATCATATGCTCTTGCAAAATCAACTGTGCATATAATAATCTTTTTTTAGAATAACTGCAACCATAAGTGTCGCATAAAATCATCAAAGAATAAACTGAATTACCAGCAAAAACAGAAAAGGGTGGAGCAAGTCGTATTGAACAAAGTATTTACCAAATAGTCTTATTGAGTGATAGAAATAAGAAATTTAAGATGAATGTGATAAAACTTGAAAGGATAAAATGAGAAAAAATTACCTACATAAGAACATGGAAGTAGCACTTAATAAAATCAAGATAATGAAAAATAAACTTGTGTGCTTTGGCATGTGGGGGGTGAAAAATATTCCAGTAAGATGTGTAAAAATATTGAAGTGAAATGAATAAGAATGGACAGACTGAAGGTATAATGAGTGAAAGTTGAGAGCATAAATGAGTTGAGCAAAAAAAATTAGTGTCTGGCATAGAATTAAAATATGCATCGATGAACTGAGGATTCACAAAGCTGACAACAAATAATTAGGATAGGAATATTGATGATGACGATGATGATGATGGTATTTGTGAGTTATTTTGACTGTTTATGGAACTTAGATGCCCAATAAAATCATATAGAAAGTATAGATATATGTTCCAATGTTGGTTTCTCCCTATTCGAAAAACAGAACTAGCCTAATACAAATTAAAAAAAAAAACATGCATAGAACTAAGTCCATTTCATTTGCTTCTTTAGATGCAATACCTTCAGCAGCGCAATAAAATGAGGAGATCCCTGGAATGCAGCTAGAATGAAATCTGAAAGCCTCTTCCGCGCCTATAAAGTAATACAGACCAAAAGAAAATACTAAACTCATTGCATTCTAACTGAAAAACAAAATCCTTTAATGTAAAATCAAATTAATAGCATCACATATAATAATCACGTTACTGATATGATGCCAGCTGATAAAAACATAAGTTGAACAAAATTTAGAAAAAATCAAGTTTAAATTCCAATAAAAAAATCACATTTACAGTTCAAACATTAATCAATACAAATTACATCTAAATTAACCAACCTCAAAAGCGAAAGTCTTGTCTGGAAATATAGTAGAATTTCTTGACATAACAATTGGAATTAATGCGCACACCAATGCTACAACACAAAGCAAGAAATTCTTTAATAATATGCGGTATTCTAGATTTACTATAAGATAGACAAAATAGATTGCATCCATGGATTATCGTAAGGCAAGGGACATACAATCATTGATATCTCGTAATGCTACTGCAAAATACAGAGAAAGAAACCTCGGTGTCATATTAAGAGCTTGTTTTAGCCTATCAGACTGTGATGAATTTATGGCAGCCTGTAGGGCTGCGGTCATCCCTGGTGACGTCCAATGTCGTTCCTGAATAAAAACAAAGTTAAAATACTATTTAAGTGATATTCCTCAGAAGGGAAGCAAAGTAATTTCTGTATGTTTCCAGGAATTGGTTACAATTGGAATGCAGCTCGGGACTAGATTAAGTTGGTAAGATATGTAGTTGTTTATTATGATTATAACTAGAAATGTCACACCATTTTCCAAAGGAAATTTTGACTTTATATGCCTCATGATATACATAAGTGGTCAAATATGTCCATTATTTGTTTTATTGCATAAATATGCCTAATAATTTGCTTCAGATGAAACTAACCGCTGCTATATAAGAGGACTAATTATTGAAGTCCATAGCGAACGAAATTGGTTCTCTCAAACAATTGTTCAAAACTAGTTTAAACCATGTTCAAACATGTCACCTTCTGCACAGAAGTCAGTCCCATGATGCCTTTCACAGTGAAATCCTTCGCTCACCATGAACCTTCTCACACACCACGGGTGCCATTGAAGCCTACTGCTAGTGAGCTCCCATCATGAACCTATCTTCTCCTTCACATACTAACATCCTACGATGCCTTCTCTAGCGAGTTATGTCCATGACTCCTCTTCTCATCACACGTCTCCAATGCCATCAAAGCCTGCCCTAGCAAGCTCCCTTCATGAACTCTCCTTCTCCTTCATGCCTTTGGATGCCTTCATGCGAATGTTTGAACAATGGTTCAAACAAAAGTTCGAGCCAATTTTGTTCGTGAAGGACTTTAATATACAAGAGGATATCCGACATTGAAGGTAATTTCATTCGAAATGAAATTTGAGGCATATTTCTCAAAGAAAACAAATAAGGAGCATATTTGGCCAATTACTAGCATTATGAGGTGCATGAAGTCAATTTTCCAATTTAAATAGCTGATCAAAATCCTAACGCAACAAAACCTTATCTATCTAGATACCTAAAATCATAACACAAAAAGGATTTTTTCAAGTTTTCTAGTAACATAAGCAATATTACTAAGAAAAAATCCAACGAAGTCACATAAACATTGCTACATTGGGAGGGACATACAACAAGCCCATCATTCTCATCCTTTAGAAGGTCAAGAAAAACAGGATCAGCTACATCAATACTGTTGCTGTCTTCAGATCCAGAATCACCAGAACGATCTTCTATAGTTGACCCAGTATAGGCTTCATCCATTAATGCAAGTAGCATCTGCAATCAGAAGATTGAAAAAATATTTCATGCCCACTTAGTCGCTTTACCTTCTAAAATAGTGAAAGTGCAGGCATACAAATATGAAGAACAAACCTCAGGAGCTGCACTTTTCTGGATAGAAGCGATACTGCTTCCCAGAAGAGTTCCAGAGCTCCTTTCCACCTTTTCCAAGGCCACCACCAGTACTATTTATGAGAAATATAGAGTAAGAATGAAAAAAAGAACAATTTCTAAGCAGAGCTACCTTCCAAGGATATCAAATAATGTGAAGTAATTAGTTAGAAGAAAACATTTTTTACTTCGGTTCATTCAAATGAACAACATATCAACAATAGCATGAAATAATCAAATGAAGTAACTTGTAAGGAGAAAAATTTTTAACTAGGTTCATTCAAATGAACAACATATCAGTAATAGCATTTACAGATCAACTAAACAGGTTTTAACATTCAAATGAACAACATACCAGCAATGGAATTTACAGATCAATTAATCAGGTTTTAACTGCCGGAATTATGAAGAAAACACTTCCATGTATTACATTTTACAAAAAATAAAAAATAAAGGCGGCGCATAATAACATCATAGTTAACACAAGAAAATATTATGCGTGGAATCAGATTGTGTTGATCAATCTGGTTATTTTGTTGTCTCGGACCTCAAAACTTGTCGTGTACACTGGTATATATATATATATGCATGTTTGTGTGAACCTATAGCTCTAATTAAACAAACGCTATTTCTCTGCTTCTTTTTCCCATGAGTTGCTGGAGGTCGAACTTGTGGCTTGATAGAAGTAAGCCGTGAGAAGGAAAGAAGGGAAATAAGGAGAAGTGAAGGGAAAAAAAGGGATAAAGGAGAGGAAGAGCTAGGTTTTAAAAGTAAGAATTTCAATTTCTGCAATCATTCCAACGAATTGAGTTTAAGTTTTTCAGGATTGAATGAGGAGAGATTCATTTGATGTAAAAATGCATTTTGAATTTATGTTGTATTAGATTGAATTATTGATTTAGGTTGGAAAGAGCTAAAAAAATTAATATTTTTAGATTGCTTATGAAAGATTGGAGTTATGGCTATAAATGAACCGAGCATTCGACGAGCTGCTCATGATTCAGCTCGATAAGAGCTCGTTCATGTTCGTTTGATAAGCAAAACGAATGAGTGTGAACAATTTTAATCAATACTCGATAGCTAAATAAAAGAGCTTGAACAATATGCCGTTCGGTTCATTTATGTTCACGAACAGTATCGATTAAAGCTCGTGAACAAGCTCCTTAAGAAGCTCGATTAAGGCTCATATTTGACTCGAATTAGCTTGAAATAAATAAATAGCTTTAAAAATAAATATTGTTAAATGAATTTAACTAATTTAATAATTTATTTTAAATAAATATTAAAAATGGTAACATTATTATTATTATTATTATTAAGATATATTATTAGTACTAAATATAGTTAGTATTTTTAAATAGATACTAGCAAGATAATAATATAATTTTTCATCTCGCTCAGCCGCTCTCCCGTTTTTTGGATTCCGAGCATCAGCAAAACCAAGAGAAGTTCAAATAAATACTTGTTTTCCCCTATTTTCCTGCTTCATGTTTTACGGTATTAGCAGCGCCTCTTCTTTTCTCTACGCTCTGTGGTTTAATCCCACATCAGCATTGAGCTTCTGTGATTTGCTCTATAAAACTTAAAATATGTAAGCAATTGTTGTCAGGCAGGCAGCGGGTTGCCTTCAGTGGGAGAGCGGGTCGACTAAACAAGTGGCTCATTAGAAGACGAGTTGCTCAATTAAAAAATTTGTTTTGTTAAACGGGCTCGTTAATTGGCTAAATGAGTGGCTTGTTAATTGGCTAAACGAGCGGCTAGACAAGCCTAAATCAAACCGAGCTCCAACATGACCACGAGTTGAGCTTGAACAAGCCTTTTCTAAACAAGCTCGAGCTTGAACATAGGTTAGAAAAGCTCGAATCTTATCGAACTGAGCTTGAACAGGGTCTTAGCAAACAAACTTGAACTCGAACATGTTGAATCTCGATTCGGCTCAGTTCGTTTATAGCCCTAATTTGGAGTCTTGGGGAGATAAAAATAAGGAAATATGTCTCAAGGAGGATCCTTTAATTATGGTGCGATACCCAATGTAAATTATTCCTAGGACTATTTTTATAAATCCTTGCAAATTTGCATTTAATTTTCATGTGTATAAGTACAACATTTATTCATCTTAAACATGCTTACAACACATGTTATCAAAAAATTCATTGTACTTTGTATAATCACATGTTCAAAGAAAATTTTCTGATTTTTTTATTTAACTCAAACCATAACACCATTTAAGAAAATATTAAGTATTTAAATGTTAAGTTCAACATATTAGATTTTACTTATAATACATGTAAGACGTGGATTGATAACAGGCGCATCTTGCACATCTTAAAATTAAGTAACTTTGTATGCTTATAAAAATAATATAAAAATATTAATAATACAATCAATAAAAAGTCATATGATGTGGGATAGGATGGCAAACTATGAGAACATGCACCAAGAGAGGCAAAAGTTTTTCGAAGATGAGCCATAGTAGAGTTGGGGCAATAAAAAGGATTCTTGATAAAAATTGGAATGGGCAAACCATAGATTGAGGGATCGTTGATAAATGCAATGTTGGGCTCACCAAACATTATCAATGATTATTATGGCTAACGAACTAGGAGACGACCAAATAATATAAATGTGCCCATGTAGTGGGATAAAGGTTGTTTCTTGTTGTTGTTGTTGTTGTTGTTGTTGTGGACACTTATACAAATATTAAATAATATTCCTAATATGATGATTAATTAGACTAAGAAAGAAATGAAAATAAAACCAAGTAATATAATACTAGTAATTGACCAGCCTAGTGCATTAAAATAATTCGACACTCATCATGCATATTTCATTTTCTAGCAAATAGTCAGGCTTACCGTTTCTAATTAAGTTTTTAAGTATTTAATTAACAAAATACTTAAAGTATACCATACTAGGCTAGTTGTTTAAGAACACTAATGCTCATATTAGTTTTTATGATTAGCATAACATAATATATTCTTTTCTTGTACGTTTGAATTTCATGTAAGAATTACTTATCACATTAAGCGTGTAATTCATCAAATATTACAGCTGTGATTTTTAGGCAATGGGAAGGAGTCGTTGTGGATGTAGACAGGTGATTTGTTTTGTCCTATAAATTAAAGATTCTTTGTACGTAAAAATTTATATTTAAATTTTATTAAGAATCTCTGTAACTCATTTGATAACTTTATCTATGTACACTTCTGAAACAATGCTTATGATGAATAAATTAGATGACCGTGAAGTATAATGGGGTTTCTTTTTTTTTTGGACAATCTAGACAAACTAATTTTCATTCATTCAATCTAGATTAGTAAAGCCAAGATGGGTATTGATGTAAAATATGTATGACTAGATTAGTCCTTTTTGTTCCGTCTCATGGCTAACTAAAGAGAGAGAGAGAGTCAAAATGGGATATAACATTAAAAGACTAGTAACAACAAATATGGAAGAACTATAGCTATAGTGAAAGTTTTAAGGATAACAATAGCACATAAGAACATTATGCCATCATTCACAATATCAGCATCTGTCAAGAGTGGCTTGGAGCATCAATTGCCTAACATGTACTTACTGAAATTTGTATATATACAGAATCAGTTATAACACAAGTTCTTTAATAAAAAAAGCATATTATCATGTTGATTTCTCAAGGATATTAAACATCTTTTTTATACATTTTATAGTGTGAGAAAAAAGAGGAAAAAACGTACTTGGTAGGTCTGTAAGAGATGGAAATAGGGGAAGAAATGATCCATTTGACATCATTGCCGGTAAAACTGATTGAAATTTTTCTTCCAGTCTGGAAATTAGAAAAGAAACTCAGCATTAAAAAGAATTACTGCTTGTAGAAGCCAACTTGGAGAACCAAAGAAGCTGCAATTAGAGTTGACATTACAGCTTAAGTTGATTACACATAAAAACTTAAGTCTCCTGGTAAAAATATGAGTGGTCAATAAGCAACTCATAGCCAAATTATGCTTCAAAATGCTTTCAAGGGAAAAAATTTAGCCATCGAAAGGGAGCCTAAAACACCCAAAATGTGCAGAACATACTTCTCACCATTCCAGGCTATCAACTTCAATAGTAAAGGGAAGAACTGCATAAATAAAAAATCAATTTAAAGTAAGAGATTAAAATAAAGTCAACTCCATTAAAATCAGACTAATATATTTACGGTAAATTTTTTTGTAACATAGTAGTTTTACTTCACAGCAATTTTCCCCTTTCCTTATAGAAGCTAGAGTTTTTGTGCTGCAAAATTTACGGCTTCTTTGAAATGAACACTTACAAACAACAAAATAAATGATAGCAATCAAGTACATATTGCATATGTCAAACACCAAAAAACTGACGTCTGCAGCAGCCCTATTCCAGTTATTTGCCATCAGCTTAAACCACAAGTTACATCAACAGTATCTAATCAAGGCTTTGTGATCCTATTCACTATAGAAAGGAAATGTTATTATTGTTGGATTTTCTCTGCAATTCTGGGCAAGATCAGCTAATGTGACTTAAAAATACAGACAACAGACCAGAATCACCAGGATTGCATTTGGACATAGTGTATGTTCCACAAGATATATCCATAGGCAGAAGGGAAAATAATACATCAAACTGCAACTTTCAAACAAACAATAATATTGAAAAGAGCAGCAAAGAAATCCTTGGCCGGAACCTGGAAGTTCATAATCAATAATCTCGTTTAGAAAATCATAGATATTTAGGAAATCATGCTCACAACTCATCAGGATGTACTAATTCATGGGGTGTGCATCTCTGTTCAATCCAAAAGCAAATAAGCATTTGATTCAAACAAAAAGCATCTCCAAATGAAAAGCCCATAAATTCCCAAAGTTATAGTGTAGTCACTGAATTTTAAAAAAGAGAAAAGGATCAAAATTATACAAAAGATCCAAAATTATAAAGCATTTGATCCCTAGCTATTGGTGGAGGGCAATTTAGTCTCAAACTATACAAAAGATCCAATTTAATCCCTAGACTACTTAAGAAAGAGCCAAAATAGTTCCGCAATATAACAGAAATTAAAGTTAACAAATGAGGTTAATCAAGGAATGGGAATATAAAGTGTAGGCTTTTTTTAGGAGTATAGTTTTATTCTTACTTCATTGGTTCAAATGATAATCTTAATAATAACTCAAAAAACGGTAATATATTGAATTAAACGATCAGTTGAATGCTTGATCTTATGAAATAGTAAATAATATAATAATTATTCAAAGATAAAAGTAATACTACATTGTCGAAGACAAATTTTATGCACTCAAATGGTAACTTAAAAAACAAAAAATATCAATATAGGCTGTTCATGCATGTAATTGCAATGAATATACGAAGATGATTATGATCTGTTCAAGAAATTGCATAATAATTTAGGTTTAAAAAGGTCAGAATTGCTAAACCATTAGTTGATTTAACCAATTGAAAAAAAAAATCAAATTCTTGAACAAAATGCCAGCAAAAGTCAGCTCCCTAAATTCTTGAAAAACAAGAAAGAAAGTATTGGTAGTTTGTATGTGTCGTGTAAGCACATGCATGTCCTCTCTTCACTCAGGATAAAGAAAGTCAGCTCCCTAACTCATAAGACCTTCCATCAATACCATTTTCACTAACAGGTGGTATTAAACACATCATATCAGAATACAAGCTTTACTACCTGAGTTCACTAACAGGTGGTATTGAACACGTCATATCATATTATTATTTTTAAATAAACCTTATAAGACTCCTGCTGAATGGAATATCAAAAACGTTGCATTTCTAACTCCAACCTGTAACAAACATATAAGTAGCACATCTATTAAAGGAATCTACATTGGAAATTACATTTTGTTGCTTTCAGACGCTCAACATTTGACATATTCTTCATATAAAAGCCTATACCTGAGGTAGCAATGTGGGATAAACATTAATAAGCTTTATTTTGTTCAGGTTAAGGAAGTCTAGAGTGGCTTCTGCAACACGAGGGTCTGCAAACTCTCTGCAACCACAAAGAAAATAAATCAAGAATAGAAGAACTAATACATGCATGCAGAAATTTTAAGTGCCAATTGCAAGTTTTGTACATAGCTCAAACTCCTATTCATAATAAGAAAGTCAAGAAAATCCCCCTTAACAAACCCTAAAGATAACAAATTGAAAAAGAGCCCCAAAATAAAAACAAGAAAAATGGCTAAAAATTTGGTCGTTGAAGTTATCAGCATTAGAAACAAGAGGAAGCCTAATACGTCGCTTGTGTGAAACCCCTTGAATAAATAAAAAAAAAAAAAGTTAAACACTTGCACATCAAGGCACCTTTTGAAGTAATGATTGAAATTTCATTAAGAAACTCCAAAGTTAAGTGTGCTCGTGCAGGAGCAATTCTAAAATGAGTAATCTCCTAGAAAATTACACTAACGGGACAAAACAGTGAGGTCATTAGGCCAAAGCTTGAGCTATTGAAAAATAGTATCAGAGCAATATATCAACCAGAATATGAGAACTATGTGCTATATAAGACAAAGTGTTATACCATGGGGGCCACCTCTTAAACCCTATATGTGTCACGACCTGGCCCGGATACTTGACTTATCAAAGTGGGAACTAAAAGTCGGAAAGTATTAACATTTCATTCTTTTAAATGATCACATTAACATAAAATCTCTTAAAGCAATTGAAGAGCCACTATAACAAAGATATGCCATAAAATCTATTTATTTCACTTTTCAAAGTTAATAATTACAAAAATCATAATTTATCAGTTTTCATTATTATGTTATCTTCTATAAACAAATTTTTTCCTTCCGACAATTTCTAATCTTTAGAGTTTTACCAGAAATATTTATTTAATAGAATGAGTTTACAAAGTAAACTCAGTAGACAACTGTTAAAACAATCAACATGAAATAAAAAAATATATAATACATATATAATCTTTAAAATACATCTTATTCATTTCTCTTATTTTTATTTCATTCATTTCAGTCATTTATACATATCATATCACATTCCATTATAAAATTTATAAATCTTTCATATTTATTCTTTTTTCCATTTAATTTGTATAGGAGCACCGTTTATATGTACCAAAGGTACAACCATTTTCATTTTCCTTTTCCTTTTTCATAACATTTTTCTTTTTACGTGCACGGGTATGTTGCTTCCCTAGCTAGTACCATACGGGGGTGAACTCATGTAAGTTTGCAGGCATATCCTTTTCAATTTTTTTATTTATTTTTCATTCATTTATATATCATACATTCGTATTTATACTTTTAAATACATATAAGTAGCATATATATGTATAACTGCTTTCTAAAATTTTTCTTTTTATTTCTTTTACCTTCTTTCACATATTCATGCCATATTTATATACTTTATCAAGAAAATCTATGTATATTATCTTATATACATTTGGAGTATGCATAGCTTTATTCATAAAAGCCTCAAAACAAAAAAAGCAATTATATAAATCTTTCTTTCAATTTGAAAATGGAAATGAAAAAAATGAAATTTCAAATAACTTTAATTACCCACTTTATTTTCCTCTTCCAATATTCGTCTAGTTTTGAAAGTCTTTAACTGTTCACAAGAATATAACAATGTAATTAATATTAAATATAAATTAAATATATCAATAGGCATTTGATTTCTTTTACAAAACTTACCTCACAAGATTCTTTCTTGTTAAATTCTTAAAGAACTCACCACCTACAGCTTACTTCTTTCCGTCTAAAATGCCTAAAATTAAACAATATAATTTTCATGAAAAAATGATTTAATAATAAATCTAAGAAAATTTATCTGAAGGAAATTTTACTTATAAAGAGGGGATTTTCCAAATTCGAAAATATTCATCTTTCCCTCTCAAAATCTCTTTCCTTTGCTTCCGAATCGCTTTCTCTTCCTTTAACAACATATCATTTGCTTTCGATGAAATAAAACGACGAAATTTATAAAAAAAAATGGAAAAAATGTCAACAAACTGTCTTCTCTTTCCCTCAGTCGTTCCTCTTGTTTCTTCCTAATTTCCACTTATTTGGCGATAGGAATGAAGATGAGTTGTTGATTCTTATCCCCAAACACGATGGATTGCTAAAAATGGTGAATCGAAGTCTCCGAAAACCTCCTACGCAAGCGTTCGGTTCTACCCCAGACGTCCGCCCTATGTCTGTTCGCAAAACGGGGGCACGGTTACCGGAGGGGTTTAATTAGGATGGGCTGGTTCAACTGAACCAGCCCAACCAAATTGAACCGGTCCATTACAATATGGGACAAAGTGCTACATAGCTGGAGGCACAACTTGAACATGTAGGGGTCACCTCCATAATCTTATCCGCCTCATGGATTATTATGAGATAAGGCTACTGGCGAAAACGTCAATTACTAAAGTGGGAGAAATTATGAAAACTCCTAAATAAAAGAAGCTAAACTCTTAAACATCAAGGCGTCTTTTGGTGTAATGATTGGAATTTCATTAAAAAACTCCAAAGTTAAGCATGCTGGTACTGGGGCAATCCTAGGATGGGTGACTTCCTGGGAAGTTATACCAGCGGGACAAAACCATGATGTCATTAGGTCAAAGTGAACAATATCTCGATATTTAAGAGTTTAGGTTGTTACAGTTTAAGACTTAATCTTATTAATGATGAAAAGTTCTAGGTAACCAAAAAGAAGGAAATAAAACAATCGCAAGAAGGTCTCAAAAAGGAATGATCTCTATCAGAAATATAATAATCAGAATTGAGTTCATTTGCAAAAGGAATGACCTCTACCATCAGCATTCTAATAAATGAGAAATTAAAATAATCTCTGCAGAACTTGTTCGAAACAAAATGCATATTATTTCAAGTCATATCATACTACCAAGATAAGATTTGCTTGATGAAAATAATGTTTGTGGAGAAGAAGTCCAGGAGCACAGCGTGAGGCTTTGAACTGCAAATTGAAAAATTCATGCATAGGGAAGGGATGAGGGAGGAGTTTTGATACTGTCATATATGAGCGAACTATTCAAAGGACAATGTGAGTTTATAAAACTTGAAGTTCAAATTTTATGAAATAGGAGAAAGATGCAGGAGCTATAGATTGATAGTTTATGAGTTTTCATACTTCATTTTAAAATTCATAGTGTAAAGGAATACTTTATTTTATAATTTATATGAAAGTAGCTTATGATTTTTTGTACACATCTGTGTAATTTGAGGCTCATAAACATGTGTGCAAGCGAGAGAAATAGAGAGAGGAGAAAAAGACTCTAAATGAAGATTAAGCACAGTTCACTTCTACTGGCATATTATAGCAACAACAACAAGTTTTTATCCCACTACGTGGGATCAGCTACATGAATCATTTTTCTTCATTGTGTCTGGTTAAGAGTCAAATTCTCATTTAAATGTAATAAAGAAAGGTCATTTCTAATATTTTCTAACCGAGTCTTTTTAGGATAAATACTTGGTTAGTATATTGATAAACTTAAATTACTAAAATAGCAGCATTTTGATCATTTTCTGCAATAAAATGCTGAGTACATAAGTGCTTACTCATAAATTTAATAAAACTATTGGACATTTCACTAAAGCAGTTGTTAAAAACTGGGATTGAAAGTTGCTTGCCTGCTTAAACATGAGCGGAAAAAGGTCCTTAAGCTAGGATCAGCATCGTGTAGAACCATTTCTCCAAAATCAAGAAAAAATTGAAGGATGGTCTGCAAAGGGAAAGAGTAAAAAATAATTAATGCATTAAAATAAACTAAAGTTGCCTTTTCTAAAACATGCAATGAATGTAATTAGAGTTCCATGTCAACTTAAGTGAACCAGCAAGAAATGAGACAATTGGCATGCACAGTGAAATATATGCAACAACAAGAGTGAGTCATTGATGATAATTAAGGCTTAGTTTGGGACGGCTTTCTTACCGCTTCTTAAAGTAGGTTTTTAGTTAAAAAATTTTAATTTTTGTATTAGAAAGCTGCTTTAACAAGCAGTAAGAAAGCCGTCCCAAATAAAACTTAAGCTCCATTCAGCTGCTCCTCACACTTGCAACATTATTTGCATCGGAAAAAGCAAACAAGTAAACTGGAGCAAGAACTTCTGCAGTATCATCACCACTAAAATCTTATTAATGATCAAAATAGTGGGGGAAAAAAAAGTTAATACCACTTGTCATCATCTCACTGGGTATGAAGCACCGTATGCACAGAACATACATAAATATGTGCAAAATATCTTATTTTTACAAAAATGCAAGCTTGCATATCCTGTCATCCATCCATGCAATGATGCAAGTACGTACATTCAAAACAAAGACTGTTGAATCTTGCTCTATAGAGGAAGAAGCACTTCCTCTTGAGTTCTTGAGGAAGAGGGAGGGAAGAGGAGAGGGAGAGAGCCAAATTCTCAGAAAACTTTATTGTTTGGCCACACCAGCCTATTACAATTTATACCTATTTATAGCCACCTAAAGCTATACAAAAGCAACACCAATGGCTTTACAAGTCATACAAGAAACCTAAACACAATACAATTCTAAATCTATGATCAATATCTAACAATCTCCACCTTGATCCTAGATTTACACAAAAACGATAACCACTGTTCACAAAGAACAACCATGCTGGTCCCCCCCGCCAATAGCGTCCACCGGATGGTCAACATCACGCACCATATGCGTCTCGCTTTTCCGCGCCCTGTGCACCCACCTGCACCCTGCTCCTCGTGCCCACACCCTGCGCCTCCAGCCCGCATCCTACGCCTCCAGCCTGCGCCCGCGCCTCAAGCATGCGCCCGCGCTTCAAGCCCACGTCCTACGCCTAAAGCTCGCGCCCACGCCTTGCACTCATGTGGTCTGACTCCTATTACATCCTGCATGTACCCACCCGTGTAACGAGCCCTGCGCCTTCACCTACGCTCCGCTCGTCACAATCCCACGCCCTGCACTGCCGCGTCTAGCCAGTGCCCTGCGTGTCCTCCACCAGTGCCCTGCGCTCCAATGCGACCTCCTCATGCATCGCACGACCTAGCACCTCCAAGCGCCCCACACTCCCGGCACTGCTCCTCAAGAACAGGCCAACTCCACCTCAATGATCTCTCGGACTCCACCTAAAGTTCAAAACTCCATCTCAAAAAGATCTAATCAGATCTTTTAATAATTTGTGACAACTATCTTGCCTTCTTTATTTGCTTCCAAGATCTTAACCCAATCTTTATCTATTCTTGCCAAGACAACACCTCCACTCATAACCTTTAGAACAAAAATCTGGTGTATCCCCTGACCTTGGACATGCAAGAAACCTCCTCAGGCTTTTGTGATTCCTGCTAGGACGCCCGCTTCAACACCTACGAGTCCTCCTCCGGCTTGAGCACGCATGTCCGCCTTCTACAGATCCCGTGACCGAACTCCACACGATCCGCCCGTGAGGCTCCAACGCCCACTTGTTGACGCCGGCTGCGACAGCGACGACAGCAACAACCTGCGATTAGGAGATGGAAACAAGGATTACCTCCTCCTGCGAGCTCCACGGAAGATTACTACTTCGTCGTCGAACTCCGATCACCACCTGTACTCCTACAGGATACAGAAAGTTCATCAAGCATGAACAGGGTTTTGTTTTTCTTGCTCTCAAAAATCTATCCCGCCTTTATTCGAATTAGGCTTTAAAACCACTGAACTAAGTCAGCTACAGGAAAAGCAACAGGCGAAAATAATAGGGAACAAACGAATACGAAAACAGGAAAAACAACGAAACAAAATACTCAAAAGAAATAGAGGAGGCGCTGGAGCTAAAACAGGGACACTCCGGTGTCACTTGTCCCGCGAGGCTTCAACGATTTGCCTACTGTTCCTACACGCGATCGTCGCCTAAACAACGCTACTTCATGCTCCGTCTCTTCCCTTCACGCGCGAGCCCTTCACACCCGCCAGCGACTACCGCATGAAGAAGCCACGACCGAACCTTTTCTTCCGCACGGTCTTCCGTTTGCGACAAGAACTCGACATCCAGCCTTCGCCGCCAACCAGAAACAACCCCTTCCGTTTCCGGCTCCCTCACACAAAGCTGCGAATGAAACCGCCTACCGCCTGCTTCTTGCACAATGGCCGGCAGCGCGCCTTCGCCTAGTGCCTAGCTTGCGCAATCTCCGATGCGAACTTTAAATCGCGATACCAGGCCACCGCTAAAGTCACCTCCGGCTTCTCCGGTCAAACCGAGCAACCCCGACGACCCTGCAAGCTCCGTTGTTCTCCCTCTGTTGAATCGTTTTCTTTGAGCAAGAAAACCACCTCTCCTCCACTTCTAGATCGCCACCACCGTGGCTCTGATACCAGATGTTAAGAACTTGCTATAGAGAGGAAGAAGCACTTCCTCTTCTTGATCTTGAGAGAGGAGGGAGAGAGGGAAGGGGAGAGGGGGAGAGCTGAATTCAAAACTTTATTTCTTAACCCCACTTATTACAACCTATAAGGCCTCTATACATAGGCACAAAAGCAACACTAAAATCTATACTATTGGCCATACAAGAAACCTAAACAAAATACAATCCTAAATCTAAGATCAATATCTAACAAAGACAAACACCTATTGCATATAAGCATTATACATATTTGCAATCATAAGTTGTAAGAGCATAAATAGACGATAATAAACAATTATTCTCTTGTAAGAGTTTGCTTTTAAGAATGTATCCAAGTAAACTATCTTCCTACAAAATGCAAAGTAATTTTGTCGTTATATTCCAAGTAAGATACAGCATTTGCAGGCTTCCTATAAAACCAAAGCTATTATTTTGAAATTCTGGAATCAGATATCAGAAACTAACTCGGCATCCGACTAGCATTTAACCAAAAAAGCATCTTTGGGTGGCCATCGGCTACAATTGTGGAGTTCTCATAGAAGAGCCAATACTTCATAGCAATGCAAAATGGATATCGGGCAATACAATTCAAGCCCTAAGCATTAAGCTAAAGCATCAACCCAGAAGAAAACCAAAAAAAATATCACGGAACTAAGCGAATCAAACGCTGACAAGTCAAAGAATATGAGTTAAATCTTCAATTCCTACCAGGCCGAGAGAGAGAGAGAGAGAGAGAGAGAGAGAGAGAGAGAGAGAACCAGTAATAGAAGCCCATTGGAGGTCTGGGACTGAGGCAGGGCGACCACCGATCGGTGGAAGAGTTTGTTGATATGCGGGTAAGCGCGGGTGACCAAATCCTCCGACATAGCTTCCTTGCAGATGTCGTAAATCTTTTTAACCTTCATGGGAAAAATAAAATTATGAAATTTCTCGAAGGGTCATGGAAACGAACACTACATAGAAGTACAGAGACCTTACGGATTGGAGGATGTATGGATCCGAAGCTGGATCACTAGCAGCAGTAGAGTCTCTCGCGTTAGCAGAAAGGGATCGCAGGTGGAAATCCCAATCTCCTTCCTTGTCAACCAGCTTCGCCATTTTTTTTTCCTGTCACTGCTGCCGAAGGGTTTGGTGTAAATCGCCGCAGAATCGAGAGCGGCAGTGCCCCGTCTGCTCCAGGAGAATCTCCTGCTCCAGAAGAAACATACGCTTCTCCTAAAATGTTTTTTTACTATAGAAAAAGTATGAAAAAAATATTTTTGCGAACTGAATTTGGTAGTTTTAATTTCTCTACCAAAAAAAAAAAATTTCTCTACCAAAAAAATATATTTTAATTTGGGCATAATTTAAGAGCTGTTTGATTCAAAGTAAAGTGGAAAAAAAGTATTTATTATACATGGGTTTAAAAATATGTATTTTTACTTGGATGAAAAATGAACAAAGTGTAATAAATTCTAAATGTAATGTAAAATATTTTAATTTATTTTTTGAGCTAAAATAACAAATTTATTTTTGAGTAAAAATAAATTTCACTCCAATCAAGCTACAATGTCAATGCCCCTGTTAGCCACCGGCCACCGATCACTATCGTCTGCCACTACCCACCCCAGCCACTAACGTACCGAAATCACTGTACCAAACATCCCCCCCCTCCATCGACACCACGCCTCGTAGCTCACGCTGCACTAGACTAGATCCCCTAATCACGTCGACGCCACCACTCCGCAGCAGTCCATACTCTCTGGCGACAAAGCCTGCGTCTACCACCATTTTTGAAACTATAATACTTCAATCATTTATTTTCAAGCATAAAAAATCATACCTCTAATATATATGTTTTTCCTGTCCACAATAATTACAAAATTTCAAAGTACAAATGTAATTCATTACATCTATGTCATTTTTTACTATATTCCCCTTTTTTAGCAACACCAATAGCCCATATTCAAATAATATTTAGGTTGTTATTTTTATATTAAAAGTTTAGATTTATTTTTAATTCAACGAAACATTTGTAGAATGTCTTCATTATCTATCAAATCATTAACTGATCAACGAACACAAATCCCATATATTTTTATATTTACATTGGTCCTACGCCCACATCTAGCGTCAATCATCCTAGCACTCAAGTAATCAATAACCTTGAGCTAAAGCCATGACTTTCTCCGGTTGGTATCCCCACTTTCAAATCACAAAAATTATCTGACATAAAAATTTAACAAAAAAATAATAACTTCATCATATCAAATAATTTTTTAATATATTATATAAATAATTAAAAAAAAAATGCTCTTAAACTATTACTAATGCTAATTCTAACATTCTTGATATTATATTAAACAATTTTTTTATGACAACATTTTTTTTTTCTTCCTCATATTTCTTACCCTCATAATTTATTCATTTCTCATACTTAACAGGCCTTGCTTACGACCTTCTTTATTTTTTTCCCTCTGCACATGTTTTGAATTTTGGCACACGTTTTGAATTTTGGATTATTGAATGAACACGGTGTATTATTGTATATTGGTATGTATTTGATGTGTATTGGTGTGTATTACTGTGTAGTACTAGCTAATACACAGGTAATACACCACAATACACACCAATACACAATAATACCTAATAATACACTAGTTTACGCATCATATTTTTATTGGAGTCCGAATATAACTCTGTATTGGGTGTCCGCACATAATAATTTCTCCAGAATTTGGCGGGGGCACGACATGCCCATAGCCATTTAAGCAATGACATAAGCATAAAAACACTCAAAAAAATTTTAAAAATCTATTAAAATCATATTGAATAAAAAATAGTCCACATGTCAGTAGGGCTGTCAAAACCGGGTCACGGGTCGGGTTCGGGTCCAACCTGAAATTGACCCGACACTATTATTACTATTTTAAAAACTCCTTGAAGCGCCGAAGTCTTTAGTTGAAATAAAAAACATAAAAATTTAAGATCTGTTTGAGACAGCTACAACTACGTGTAAAGCAAATTGTGAAGCTATTGTGAAAAAAGCTGCTTATTAAAGTTGTTTTACATAAAACAATATATTATGTTTGAAAAATATAACTATCAAATTGCTTTGCTGCATAGGTATAAGACCAATTTATATTGATACCCTCAAAGTACATTAAAAAAAAAATTGAGAGCAGCTCTCATGGCAAAAATGTTGTTACAAAATGCTTTGAACTAAACCTATTGTACATATTTGACCCTTTTCAACAACAATAAAAACAACAACAAATCATACGCTATATGTAAAATAAAGTACGTAGAGTGAGACACATGCATGCATGTAGTTTTTTAGTGTAAAAACTAATCAATCTAAATATCTATGATAAACTAAAGTAATTACACTAAAAAACAAATTAGTAAAAAATAAGAACAATGTTTTTAATGCAATTTGTATAGAAAAGTACTTTTTAATTCATCTCATTGATTAGATGTGATTTGCTCTCAGTATCTTCACCATCTTGTGCCCCGTGTTTTATTACATTTTCTTCATTCTCTAATAATGATTGGCCTATTCTATACTCATATGTATCTTTAGGTAAATATGTTTGATCTGCATCACATATATTGAATTCTACATCAAATGATGTCTCAATTACATTGGATAATGATGTATGTAATTATACAATGTCGTCATTGTTGGCACTATTTTAGTTTATTTTTTAAAGAGTATGAGGGCATATCACGTAGTATAGCTTACTTCTTTTTCCAAACATCAAATGATGTCTCAATTACATCTCTTAATGAAAATTGTCTATTGTTAAAAGTTTCTTGCCTTTCATATATCGATTGACTTCCTCTTTGAAAATTAGAAACATGATACTTTGTTTATGAAAATGGTTTAAAAAATCCCCCTTGCATTGGATAACTAGCTTCCACAAGATAATATTTATCTATTTCAATGTACATATAATTTACTAAAATATTAGTATTAGTAACTTATTTATTATAATTGCTTACCATGAGGTGATATAGGAAAGTTATTATGTCTATTACGAATGGCAAATTTGAATATACGATGTCATATGCACTTCCTTCCCATCTTGACTTCATAACAGTAAAACACATATTGAAGTCATATGCTGCCATAATATTTTGTGTTGGTGAATAACATTATCCTAAGTGTACCACTTTTTGGCTATTTGGAACTCGTACCTTAACATGTGTCTCATCAATTGCTCCAATGTAATCCTTATTAAGATATATTTATTATATTAACATAACTATCGAAAAATCATGTTATATCATGATAATGAAATATACCTTAAAATATAGCATATATTGATTATTTTAGAGTATCTCCCTTGGTGTATTTCTAAATTCAGGATCTTTGTCATCCTCTTTTTCAAAATAATAATAATCGTCGTCGTCTCATTTTTTTAGAGTCTAGATAGATCTAACAAAATTAAATCAAATTAAATTGAATGGAATCAGATCGACCCATTTTAAGTCAAATTAAACCAAGTTGAATCACATTAAACTCTAATATAGTTAGATTTGGCTCAATCCGTTTAGTTAATTTCAAAATCAATTATTTCCATCTTTCCAAATCGAATCACATCCATCAAATGGCTGAAATTAGAGTAATTGTTATATGCAGCTAACATTGATCTGTTGGTGGGGAACTTTGGCTACCAATTGAGAGATCTTTGATTTGAGTCTTGCATATATGATATGTGTGAATTAACCTTAGTTGGCCCAAATGTCCAAAAAAAATAATTGAAATAGGCCTTAATTGGCCTAAATTTCACAAAAAAAAGTAACAGCTATAGGCCTTAATTAGCCCACGGTCCCTCCGTCCTCCATCGCCCACTTCGTACTCCTCCATCGCCCTATCGACTACGGTCCTCCTAACCTTCGTCGCCCACTCACTGTGGTCCCTCCAACCACTATCGCTCGTTGACTGTCAACTACGGTCGCTTTGACCACCGTCAACCGTCGACTACGGTCGCTCCGACCACCTTCACCCGTCGACTACGATCCCTCCGACCTCCATTACCCGACTATGGTCCTATCTACCAAAAAAATATGATAACGTTCTCTTGAGAATAACTCTCATATCATTAAACTCTTCCAAACCCAACTACGTAATGCACTCTATATTTTTTATATTGAGTATGGAGTTGTCAATATTTGACATTGCCTGAAATCCGACGCTGATTCAACCAGAAAAATTTTGGTTTTGGGTCAACGCGTTTGTCAAACGGGTTGGGTTAGAGTTCAGAAATGTGTCCCATTTCTAAAATCGGATTGGGTTCAGGTTGACATTGAAACCTGAAATCAACCCGAAGTTGATTCGGATTGGGTAGCACGTGGTTCGGTCTCGCCTAGCCCGCTAGCACGCGACACTGACCTCGCCTAGCCCGCGTACGCGGCATGCTCACGCTAAGCCCAATCGCTGCTCATGCTCACGGCCAGGTTGCCTTCACCGCACGTGGTTCACCATCCGCCACTCACCAGCTGCTGGTGACGCCACGTCTAACCCGCCTTCAGGCTTCACCCGTTGGTTAGCCACTCGCCTGCCTCGTCAAACGATATGTTATTAATAATTGATATATCACCAAAAAATTATCTTAATCAGCTTGAATCTCGAGGGAAAATAATGTTAGAAACTTCAAAAATTAAATCAGAGACCATTTGAATTCCGATTTAAGCAAACTTGCAGTTGAACTGAACTTCTCGAAAATACGAACCCAATGACACCAAACTCGCTGAATCCGAGCCCAAATGAGTCCAAATCACAGACCTGAAGCATATTTGAAAAGTTCAAACCATAATTTGGATTATCAAACGATTTCCAAAAGTGACATGCTTATGGTCAAAAAGAGCAATGCTATTTGCATTCTTAGTTTTGATCTTAGAGCTTCTCTTGACTCCAATAATGAAACAACAAATGAAATTATTTTAATGTATTCTAAACTTTCAGATGAGACGATAACAAAATTATTTTAATTTAGACCCTGTTAATTATATTTATAACATAAATCAACAAAAAATCGTCCCAAAATATTCTTGTAGCTTTTTGGTCAAAGTTTTTGACATAGTTAACTCTGTTTTGTAATTTATGAAAATAATCAAATACTCAACAATTTATTCAAATCGTCAAATAACCACGTGAGCTAACCTTACCTACCCCCTAAACTATTCTGGAAACATGCTGAAACTCTTCTCCTCGGAAAACCTCTCCAAAGCCTCTTCCTCTACCAAAAATCCAATTTTGTCTCTACCAACTTTCAACAGTTGCGACTTCGATCGCTAGGTTTTACCAAAATCTCAGTTTTATAACAATTGCTAAAGGGCTTTTCTTTTGAATCCCAAAAGTCTCCGCTTTTGCCTCGTTTGTTTGGCTTTCATATTGCGTACTTTCCTCCATCACTCGAGAACGCCTAAAAAGATCGTTCCCCGGAGCCATGATATCCGCCTTGAAGCAGCCGCCGGCGACTTCCATTGCCATTGTCGATCTAACACGAGCTAGCTCACCCTCCTTCCGGCGAAGAATCCCCCTTCCTTCGCTTCCTGCTTCGACTGCACCCTCGTTATTGCGCTCTTCATCGCGGGTTTCTTTCAAGCCTTTGTGCGCCTCTTCTTCGCTTAAGAGTTTAGGGTTTGGATCACGGGATGATCGGTTGGAGTTTAGGTGCGAGGCCTATGAGGCCGAGAGATCGGAGATCGTAGCAGAGGAGCCTCCATCTGTTACGGCGCAGAAAGTGAAGATTGGGATCTACTTTGCCACCTGGTGGGCGTTAAATGTAGTGTTCAATATCTATAATAAGAAGGTGCTTAATGCATTCCCTTACCCTTGGTTGACATCTACACTCTCGCTTGCGTGTGGATCTCTCTTGATGCTCATCTCATGGGCGAGTAGGATTGCTGAAGCACCAAAAACTGATTTTGATTTCTGGAAAGCGCTTTTTCCGGTGAGACAATATAGATTTCTTTTTTTTTTTTTCCTGTTTTCTGAGTTGTTGATGACTGCTTTATGGTTAATCATATTTTGCTTGGAACTGTCTTTCCCCTTGCTTTTATCCTTTTCTTTCCTCTGCATATGAAATCAAGCTTTGCTGCTATATTACTATGATTTGTTTTGATTTGGAGTTTAAATCAGCTGTCATATTTTTCATGAATTACTTTGTTTTATTTACAAGAAGAAGCTAAATCCAATTCATTTTTGTTGGTTTGTGGTCTTATAATTCTTTATGAATCCTTAATGTTAACTTGGTTTATGACTGTTTTTACATATGAATCACTGTCTATTTGATTTGATCTTACCTTTTGAATCCTACTTGTTGTTTACTGAGTTATGTAAGTGGTTTTCCTTTTTCAGGTGGCCGTGGCCCATACAATAGGGCATGTTGCTGCAACTGTTAGCATGTCAAAGGTAGCGGTATCATTCACTCATATAATTAAGAGTGGGGAGCCAGCTTTTAGTGTGTTGGTCTCAAGGTTCTTGTTGGGGGAGACTTTTCCTGTGCCAGTTTATTTGTCACTCTTGCCGATTATAGGTGGTTGTGCGTTGGCTGCTGTGACAGAGCTCAACTTCAACATGATTGGTAATGGAATGAAATTTTTTCGAAAAATGATTTAGGCTTTGTTTGGGACGGCTTTAATTTTTGTATTAAAAATCAGTTTTAAGAAGAAGTAAAAAAGTTGTTCCAAACAAAACCTTAGGTTTGTTTTATTTTAAATTTTCATTTGAAAGGATACTGTTAGTACATATAAACATAAAGACTACGCTAATATTTGCTAATATGGACTAATATGGAACTTCCTCTATATGCCCCTCTTTGTTGGATTTTTCTAGTTTCTTGAAGGTAGCTTGTTTAGGAACTCCAACTATTCATGATTTTCTTCATTTTTGTTTCTATCATGCAACTCTGAAAGTTTTCATTTTTGTTTTATGAGGAATAATTAATAGACATAAAGCTAGGAGTCTTATAAATTTCTGTATAGATTTTCATCTTAGGAGTTGTGCTTCCTAGTTTTTTTCCTAATGCTGAACCTTCAAGTTTTTTCTCTTTCAAAGTCGCAGTTTTTTGTTTTAATTTAGCTCTTCTTTCCTTTCAAACATCTCATGTTGAATTTTTAAGGTCAACATATAATGGTAATTCCCACATATCTCAATTTAATTTGCGTATAATTTATTTTGAATTAGCTTGATGGATTAGCATTGATTGTATGTTGTAATTTCAGGATTTATGGGTGCAATGATTTCAAATCTTGCATTTGTATTCCGAAATATTTTTTCGAAGAGAGGAATGAAAGGGAAATCAGTCGGTGGGATGAACTATTATGCTTGTCTTTCTATGATGTCCCTCCTAATACTCACTCCCTTTGCCATTGCTATTGAGGGGCCCCAAATGTGGGCTGCAGGCTGGCACTCAGCTATTTCACAAATTGGTCCACAATTTATATGGTGAGTTTATTCTTGTATTGTATTATATGCTCTTATTGTTTTTTATTCTTGTGTGTTAATTAGTCTGTTTGCTCCATAGTTTATTGCAACTAGTTTAAAGATTTTGATATGTTTTTTAAAATATGTAAAAGATTTTAAAATTACATAGAGAATTTGTTTTATATGTATTAGATTGATAGTTCTATTTAGAAATTCTTTTTTTTATATGCCCTCTTAAATTTTCTTATGAAGTGAAACAAAGTATTTCAATATTAAATTATATTGAAATAAATAGTATTAACCCTTGTGAGCATCAAAAAATATCTTTAGAAAAAAAGATCAAATGTCAATATTAGATGATGTTTATAATTTTTCATATTACTTATTTTTTGCTTTAATATTATTATATGCATATGCAATATTGATCTTGTTTGGAAGATCAAAATAAGTTCTTTTAGTTGGAAAAATTTGGGACAAAAATAATGCAAAATATAAATTCATATTCTTACTTAGAAATGATCTATGAAGCAATAGGTCTATTTCTAATAAAAAGATGTAATTGCAATTAAGATAGATAAAAATAGGAAATTTTTTATAAGTTAAAATAAGAAATTAGTTGCTAGATTCATAATTTGAAATTATTTTCATTATGATGTACATAATATGAATATGTTTATTGAAATTATTTTTGAGAACCAATGGATATGATCATATGATTTGCTCTTTTTGTTTTACGAAAGATAAAGATTTTGATTTCGTTTGGGACGGCTTTCCTATTGTTTCTTAAAGCAACTTAAAGCTGCTTTAAAAAGCAATAAAAAAGCCGTCCCAAACGAAACCTTTTGTATCTGTGGAACATCCAGAACTTTTTTAGTTGGTAGTGATTGCCTAACTTTTGCAGCTGTTATTGACGGGAAGTTTATAGATGATTAAAAGCTTGAGTAACTGTTTAAAATTGAAGCTAATATTTGTAGCTACGTTAGATTCCTTTCAAATACGATTTTTGTGAGTCTGTCATTGTCTCGTGTATCCTATTCTCCTCCCTTCAGGAAAGTTCTTTTTCTTTGTAAATTGGTTACTTCTATGTTTGTTCTTGTCCCTTTGGCAGTTTCTTCTTGTCCATGTTCATTGTATATTAGTCAGATAAGCCATAACTATCAAATTGCTGAATAAGGCTATAGAACATTTAATTAAAATATGATATCTGTATGTTTGGAATATAATTGTAGATTCCTTAACTTGTTTATTCAAGTAATTTATAAATTGATTGTGTGGCTGTGAAATCTCTGCATTTGCAGGTGGGTTGCTGCACAAAGTGTTTTCTACCACTTGTACAATCAGGTTTCATACATGTCTTTGGATGAAATCTCTCCACTGACATTTAGTATAGGCAACACGATGAAGCGAATATCAGTCATTGTCTCTTCGATTATAATTTTCCACACGCCGGTCCAACCTATCAATGCTCTTGGAGCGGCTATTGCCATTTTTGGGACCTTCCTGTATTCACAGGTGATTTTTTTCAATTTTTTTTATCATGCCCGTTTAGTTTCATAATATTTGGGTCTATGTTGGAAGCATGATTGAGTAATATCTAAGTTCTTCTGTTTTCATGTATTTTGCATGAAAGCTAAGTTTTGGAAGCTTGGAACCTCTCTTTATTTATATAAATTACAATTCAACCAATATATATGCGTTGTTCTGAATTAGATTCACCTTGTGGTTGATATTTTGCACAAATTATACCTCTATGTGCATTACAACTTATTTAATTCTTGCCTTATCTTTTTTCAAGTTAGTTCCTTTGTCTTAGGTTTTATTTGGGACGACTTTTTTATTACTTTTTAAAATAGAGTTTAGTACAAAAATTCTTTTTTAGGTTTCGTTTGGAACAACTTTCTTTCTGCTTCTTAAAATAGATTTTTAGTATATAATTTTTAATTTTTGTACTAGAAAGCTGCTTTATGAAGCAGTAAGAAAACCGTTGCAAATGAAGCCTTAAAAAGCGATAAAAAAAGTCGTCCCAAACGAAGCCTTAATCAGTTAGGAGGGAGCAAATAAGCAGAACCATGAATGAATTAGGGCTCTGTTCATTAGCTGAACTTGAATGAGCTCAGTTTGCTAAAATGCTGAACTTGTTTGCTTGTGTTTGGCTTGGTTTTTATCAAATTAAAATGAAAAACAGCAACGCATGTTAAAGTTCAGATAACTTAAAATATATTATTTTCATGGTTTATGAGGTAATATAAGTGATTTTTAACCATAAAATGTATGATAAAACTATGAGGTAATTCCTTGTATATATAAATATAATCAAAATGAATGATTATTGAATCAAATACGAGCTATCTGCAAAAATCTAGCTTTTGTTCTTGAACCCCTTAGTTAAAAGCACACTAAAAGCTAAAGATGCCCTGAATTATTTTAGTATCACTACCTTGAACATTTTGTCCCAGAACTGAATTTCTTCTAGTCTACCTGAATTTAATTCTGTAATATGCTTCGCTTGATGTTGGCATGTTAAATCTCGACTGCTACAAACGATAACAATAAACTTTTGTAGCAACAAAATGCAAGCTTTATAGATGCTATGAGACTCTTTTATGATTCTAAGCTCCCAACCTCAGATTATTTAAAAGTTTCTCTTATTGATTTATAGATATCGTTACTAAAGTTTGAGCTATATCACTGCAGGCAAAGCAGTAAGGTGCTTTGAGGACCTTCCGAACCTGTAACAAGATCAATCTTCAAATAATCGTGGCTGCTTCAAGGTGGTGGTGCCAGTGGCTGTGGATTCTATTCTATTTGGCTTGCAGAATAACAGTCTTTTGTTGTAGAGTATAGAATAATCCTTGCTGTTTTCTTACAGTAAGATGGCGTTTTGGTCGCTTTGCCATTACTCAATAGTCTGTCATAATATAACGATTGTAGAAATTTTTTTTATGGGAGCTTTCCGTAGCATGGTGGAGGATGATATAAAAACATTGATAATAGTATAATGGTACCATTGTTAGGAACTCTAAATGTAAGAATTTTTTTTTTTTTTTAATCTTCGTATGTTTCCTTTAGTTGTTTGATGCCTGCAAAAAGGATTTGTACTGGTTTTTCAGAGTTTTTTTTGTGGTATTGCTTAGAAAGAGAGGCTTTGAATCTTTTATGGTTAGAGTTATAAACAAGTTGAATTTGAGCAAGATTAAGGCTTCATTTAAAATAATTTTTTTACTGTTTTAGAAAGATGCTTTATATTAAAAAAATTGTTTAGAAAATAGTAAGAAAATTATCCCAAATGAAGGGATGACTTTAGATCATTATTTATTTTATTTTTAAGAAATTTTTATTTTAAAAAGTTTAATTACAAAACAGTCATTTCAAAAGATCTTGGCTCATTTGATTTTCTTCTGTTTAAGCTTACCTAAATTACCTTTTTATTTTATTTTATTGGTTGTTAAATAAATACTTCTTACTGGCATTACCTTATTTATAAAATTAGCTTTCTTTTACATCTAATTTGAAAATTTTCATGTAAATATTAAATTTCATGATGAAATATCAATGTTTTTTTTATGTTGATTTTTTAATAATTTGATTTGGTGTGCTTGAATAGATGAATTTAATAGTAAAATAATAACAATATTGCTTTTATTAATTTGTGGAGTTTACAAAATAATTTAATAAATAAAATAATAAAGAGGAAATATATCATGAACATTTTTAGATTTCAAAATTTTTACAACTATTTTTTCTTTCATTAGTTTAAAATTCTCATGTAAATATTAAATTTCATGATGAAATATCAATGTTCTTTTTTTGTTGATTTTTTAATAATTTGATTTGGTGTGCTTGAATAGATGAATTTAATAGTAAAATAATAACAATATTACTTTTATTAATTTGTGGAGTTTACAAAATAATTTAATAAATAAAATAATAAAGAGGAAATATATCATGAACATTTTTAGATTTCAAAATTTTTACAACTATTTTTTCTTTCATTAGTTTTTAAAAACAAAAAAACAAAAATATTATTTCAAAATAAACTCATCTACACAACTCTTCTTTGCCTATTGGTTGAGAGCTTAGGCTTCCAACTAAGAGGTCAAAAGTTCGAGTCTATATGTATTCGTTGTGTATGTGAGTTTGCCTTAATTGGCCTAAATGTCCCAAAAAAAAAAAACTCATCTCAACCTCAACATATATTTGTGTTTTCTTTTCACAACTTCATTATACACTTCACCCTATATATATTGAGTTCAATCTTAATCTTTTTTCTACAAATTCAAGCCGACTCACTAGTCATATAGTTTATTAGAAAAAAAAATGCTTATGATTTAAACAATTATTATAATAAAATACTAAAAAATGATAAATTAAAAGAAAAATAATAAATCATATAATAAGGTATAATGTTTAAAAAATTTATCAACCTTGCACTAAAAATCTCAAAAGTTAACATATTTAATATTTATTTTTTGAATTAATAGGCTCGGTCAAGTGAGAGCTAGCTCAATTTTAACTCATTAACTCATGAAGCTCAACACAACTCTCCTTGGCCTATTGGTTGAAAGCTTAGGCTTCCAACTAAGAGGTCCAAGGTTCGAGTCCTTGTGTATGCGTTGTGTGTGTGAGTTTGCCTTAAATGGCCTAAATGTCCCAAAAAAAAAAAAAAACTTTGATTTTTACTTTCAAAAACTCTTCTTAAACTGCTACAAATCCTGAGCTAGTTATAAAGCCAACCAAGCATGAGCCAACTTGGCTCGGTTAGATCGCTCTAACCAAATTAACGCCTCAACCAAAAAGAGTGTTTAGAACAAATATGCTTTTAAAATACACTTAGCTTAAGCTCAATGCCCATAATAATTTAAGATATTGTCTACATTAAGTCATAGATTATTTAAAAAAAAAAACATGCCAAAAATAATAATTATTGGGTGTAGAAAAAATATTTGGAAAAATTGCCACAACTGAGAAAATTGATAGGCTGGAAATTGCAGGACTCATTCATCTAGTCCTTGTGAGACTTTGAATTAAAATTCAACAAACCAATAGCTGGTAACAAGAACCTCTCCTCACTCCCCTCGGAGAGCATGAATCGATCATCTCGCCTATATCTTCACGCAACCAAAAGACTAATAGCAAATGGGGCAACTCTGTCAAACGATGAACATTTTCATCGCTACAGTAAATAGGGATGTCAAGTCGGGTCAACGGATCAAGTCGAATGCTAAACTGACCCGATCCGAACCGGACCTGTTTTTATAAACGGGTCAAAAAGTAACCCGTGCCGATAAGACTAGACAACGTGACTTTACATCTCAACCAGACAGCGATGGAGCCAGCAAGACAACCAGACGACATGACTTGATGTCTCGACCAAACACAGCAGCGGTTGGCGGGACTCACATCGACGACGGAAAGGCGGGGCACCGTGGGACTTACGCATGCATTTGCTCATTCATTTGGGTTCGACAGTGCGGGTCTGGCAGGCAGCATCCACGGGACATCGCCGATGAGCAACTTGACCAGACGTTATGACGCTGACGAGCGCAATATTCCAGGGTGAAATTCGGGTTTCAAGTCAACCCAACCCAATTTTACAAACGGGTTAAAAATCCGAAACTGAACTCAACCCATTTTCAAACGGGTAGACTCTAACCCGAAATTTTCGGATCGGATTTTCGAACTAAGTCAAATATTGACACCCCTAGGCCCTAACCACAAGTCTTTTTTCTTGTTAATCAACAAAATATTAAGTTCAACCTTCAAACACTTTCTCGATTCAAATCACACAGGCTCAACTTACAAGATGTTAATGCTGAATTCTTAGTGTAAAGTTGAGATCAGCCTGTAATGTTGCTGGCTATAAGTTGGCTACCTTTGTCTCTCTGTCAACAATGATGTTAAGTGTTGAATTCTATTCAACACTTTCAAAGAGGTACAACCATGACAATAGGAAGCATCATTTCATTTTTTTTTTGTATTTCAAGTGAGAAATTAGCACACAATTAGCCACTTCAAAGTCATTGAAGAGCTCACAGACTTGTGAACATGAAATAGGAGCATGATCATTTTTAAAGAGGAGTAAGGATCACCAAAGTAATATCAAAACCAAATGATTTCACAAAGAACAAAGCAAAGACAACAAATTCTGGAACAAGGAAAAACTATTTTCACTTATCTCAAGTTCTCAACAATTGGATCAGAATGAGTAAAAGAAAAAGAGATCCGAAATGAGACAAAAAAATAGGTTAGAGACAACTCAAGAAATTCTAGAAATTAAAATCATTTAGCCTCCTGATTCATCACTAGACAAACATCTCAGCCACAACTAGTCATAAGACTTTATGTATTAAGTTTCATTGAAATACACATACTAAGGCCATCACCTTCGAAGCTGGGCATTTTTACTTTATAAGGAAAAAAATTCGTAACAAATCTGACTCGGAAGGCAGGCTAGCCTAGGGGTGTAAATGAGTCGAGTCGAGTCGAGTTTAGAACTTTATCGAGCTCGGCTCGTTACATGGAAAGCGAGCTCGAACTCGAGCTCGTCTAACTATAAACGAGCTCGAGCCGGCTCAACAACCATGGGCGGGAATTTTTAAATTTAGGCGGGATTTTTAAAACTTAGATAAAATTTAAAATATATATATATATGAAATGTTTAACATTTAAATAAAAATTAGGTGATTATTATTATTTTTTATATTTATATTTAATAAATAAAATTATTTTAAAAATATAAATATTTATTCGAGCCGGCTCGCGACCTCACGAGCCGAGCCGGCTCAAGCTCGAGCTCGGCTCGCGAGCCCGATAAACGAGTCGAGCTCGAGCCGGCTTGGCTCACTTACACCCCTAGGCTAGATTAATTGATTGAGCGAGAGAACCTCATTCACATTCTCACTCATTTCTAGTTATGGATGCTAGATTTTCAAGATTTAGAACATGTTGTTGCATAGGCATCACTTACCCATGGCCTTCAAGAAGATTTATTTCATTACACTCGACTTACAACAACTAAACAACTATTAAGTAAATCTTATCTATTGACTTGAATTGACCAATAACCATATCAATGTGAAGGATTACAATCATATGACCTTAACTTCAACATCCTCCTCATCACTCAGAACCTAAAATGGACTGTCGCAACATCCCAACGATAATTGTAATGAAAAAAAAGGATAATTGTAATAAGTCATGCAGTATCATAGGTAAGATAGCAAAAAAGCCATTGTCTATGGAGATTTGTAGGAAACCCGACAATGCTACTCAAGCAACCAAATTTATCCAAGAGGAAGTTCTGCAATTTAGTGTGGATAAAGGAGCAAGCCTTGAGACCTAAAACACAATAAAGAGGTATTTATTTTATATAGCGGCCCCATCAACACCGTTCCCATAAACTACTTTTTCAATCAAAAACATTGTGAACAACTTGTCAATTTCCTCTGATAAAAATCACTTTTTTCATGTCCAAAATCATAGGATTTCACATCGATGTCAATTACCATCGTGTAAACATTGATGAGCCATCCGGCCAATAAAGTAGAAAAATCACTAAGGCTTTGTTTGGTTATCTGGTACCTTTTGTAAAATGTAATTTTAGAAACATTGATTAAAGGAATGAAATTTTCTAACGGAGAAGCAAATATCAAAAGGCTTCTCAAAACAGCAGAAAAATAAAGTTTCATAAAAAGCTTTTCTATAGAAGCGTCACAAACAAACAACGAGCTAAAAATAATTTTGTCGTTTCTAAACGGAAAAGGCAAAAAAACACTCTCGAAGGAGGCCTAAGTCATCAATACTTTGGTCGAGCATATCAATTATGAAATCCAAAAGCTATTAAAAACTAGCTTCATCTAGATAATAAAGTAAATATCCAAATAAAATTTATAATGTCATTATGGTCTAAAAATTCAATAATAAATGAAGAATCTAAGGCTTTGTTTGGGACGGCTTTCTTGTTGCTTGCTCCTTAAAGTATCTTTCTAATACAAAAATTAAAAATTATATACTAAAAAATTGCTTTAAGAAATGATAAGAAAGCCATCTCAAATGAAACCCAAGTCTGACTTTACTATACTAAATCAAAATTGTCCTAAGTGGATAGCTACCCATTCATGCGGGATGCACTAGTCAATTTAGTAATTATTATCATATCATGAGCTTTTCAGATACCTATTTCAGGCTATCGTTAAATTAGCAGGCATCGTGTTGCTCATGAGAAGATTGCATTCATTATTGATCAGGGGCTAAACAACTACACCATGTCGAACTCAATGCCAAGGCAACTTAGATCTACATGAGACATTTGATATATTAAGAAAATACAACAAACATCATCATCCACTCAAGTCATCTTTGGAGCCGATTCAAAAATGTTGACGAGATTGAAACTCATGAGGATATATGTTGGACTAATCTTGTTGATAATGCCTCGAAAGTTGGAATCGTAGTTGTACTAAAAAGTCCCCTTAGAATTAGAATTGTTCACACAATCAACAAGTTTAAAAGTTATGAATAATCAAGCTAGCTAAAAAACTGTACTCATTCGCTTGCAATTTTCCTTGAGAAATAAACCCAAGCATCTCATCATTTTTCCAAATCCATGTAATTGTCAACCAAAGTAATGGAGAATATTGTTACACCCAGGATGCGGGAGGGTGGGAGCCTGCCCGGTTCAGCAGAATTGAACCCAGCTGAGAATGGGAAGGGGGGTTTGCCGATTAGACCAAGTTTCGGAGACTATACTGGAGAGGAACTTCATGAAAGGGCTCAAACCAGATATTCGGGGGGCAAATACAGTAATGAGACTTTGTGATTTGAGAGAGGCAATGGAGCTAGCCCAGTTAATGGAGAATCAGAGGCACCTGGAGAGAGAAGCTAGAGGCAGGAACTCAAGATATTTGTACAGGATGGCAACCACCTTTTTGACACCCAAGAGGCCAACATCGAGTATTCTTAAGGGCCCCGAAGAGAAAGACCGTAGGAAGGGGGCCTAGGGGAAACTTCAAGAAGCTCGCTAAGATAGAGTTATAGGAGAAGAGGGCGAAGGGATTGTGTTTCAGATGTGAGGATAGGTATACACCGGGGCACATGTATAAGGACAGAACTTTTCAGGTTCTTACCATTTGTGATGACGAGAAAATTGGAGAGAGAGGTGGGAGGAGTAAGTGGTGAAGGAAAAAGAGCTGCACTTAAACGTGGTAGAGGTCTCCTTAAACTCAGTGGTGGAATTTACTCAAATCACACCATGAAAGTGAGATAAGGTAACAAACATGGAGGTAGTGGTGCTGATAGACAATGGGGTTCTACCAATAATTTTATCTCCAACCAGGTTGTGGACCAATTGGGGTTGAAGCTGGTGGTAGGGGTGTAAGTGAGCTGAAAATAATATATAAAAATATTAAAATATATGTTAAACGTCTGCTCATTAATAGCTAGCTATAATACTTAATGCCTTATCCAAGTGACAGATGCTCAGGCGGTAAAAATGGCCACATGCGGGAGAAATGAAAAAAAAAAACGGGCACAAGCCAGAAAATTCAAAACTGAATCGAGCGGCTCGCGAGCCGGCTCAAACTCGATTTTAATGGGACGAGCTCGAGTTTGAGCTCGCTTTTTGAGATTGACACGAGCTCGAGCTCGCTTTCCAATTGACAAGCTGAGCTCGTTAGTGCTAAAACTCGACTCGACTCGTTTACACCCTTAGCTGGTGGACATAGGGTGCTAAAGGGTGATGGTGGGCACAAGGAAGGTGGGGACATGCAGAGGAGTGTGTACATGGGTGGTTTTGACCATACCGGGGGTCCAGCTGAGGGAGGACTTCCTTCCATTGGAGTTAGGGAGCACTGATATCATCCTAGGGATGAAATGGCTACAGACCTTGGGAGACACCAAGGTTAATTGGGGAGTATTGATGATGGAAATGATGGTGGAGGGAAGGAGGGCGGTGATCAGGGGAGATGCAGGGTTATCCAAAGCCATGGTTTATCTCAAAACCATGGCGAGGATCATACAGGAGGTGGGGGAGGATTTCTGGTAGAGTTGCAGAGTTTGAAGGGGATCAAGGTGGAGGGGGAAGACATCTCTCTTTTAGTATAACCATGTATACAACAGTTAAGTGAGGTATTTCAACCACCTCCAGGATGGCCACCACCAAAGGAACATGAGCATCAATTGCGTGCCAAGCTGAAGAATTGTTTCTTTGCACAGCCCAATTTAGTGTACTTGAGCCACGTGGTATCTCGAGAGGGGGTGGTTGCTGATCAGGCCAAGATTGAGGCTATGCTAAAATGGTCGTTAACTAGGCCTCTGAAGGAACTTAGGGGTTTCCTAGGGTTGACCGGGTATTAGAAGAGGTTTGTGCAGGTATATAGACAAAGCAGCTGAAGCAAGTGATAGGATATCACGCATCATCTTCACTACCCTTGACTCTGACAAAAGGCATGGAGGCCATTTTGAAGCCCCTGGAATTAGAAGGGGTGCAATAAGGGGACACAGGGGCATAGGAGGTACTAATAAAGTGAAAAGATTTGTCATAGTATGAGGCCGCATGGGATTTGTACGAGATGATCATGAGATAATTCTCATCATTCCACCTTGAGGACAAGGTGTGCCATTTGTGGGGAGGGGGGGAATATTGTTAAGCCCAGGCCATGGGAGGGTGAGAGGCTTCTGCCCGGTTCAGTAGAATCGAATCCAACTGAAAATAGGAAGGGGGTTCCATAAATTTGGAGTGGATATGATTTAAAAAAAAAAATTATACAAAAATAGGGCACTAAAAAAATTTATATATTATACTCTCAATCAGTGAAAAAGAAATGAAATTAACCACCAAGTTAATCACTACTCTCAACTCATTATATCTACAATTCAATCAACAACTTCAACATTTAAACATTCTCAAATACTCATTAAATTTGCATGACAAACATCACCCTAAGTTCTAACACTTTACGGTCTAAAAGTTACCTAAAAAAGGAACTCCCCATTTGTAATAAGAACAAAATTACGAGAAAGAAGTCTACTCTAATGACAAATCTTAGATCCAATTATCCTAGCGAGAAGACAAAATAACCATTGAAGTTTAGGCCCATCCAACAAGGTGATCATTTATCCTAACAGATATACCACAAATTAAAAAGCCGAGCAAGACTTAACATAACTAACAACTTCTAAAGACATTATCTTACACAAATAAAAATTATTTAATTCATAATCACAAAAAAAGAGTTATATTCATAGACACGTCATACACAACAAAGTTCAAAAACTTGTTTTACTTTCATCAACTCACAAGTTACAAGTTATCTGTGAAGTTCAACTAACATAAATTCTTACAAAGAATGAAATAGAAAAAAAATTCTTAGTATATATTTATTAATCTATTCGCCTACGAATCTTTATCCTCTTTATCTTCAAAATTTTCATCTATGCTAGCAAAGAATTCGACAACATTCGTTGACAAAGAAGTCAACAAAAATTTGGTTCGCCAAAATCTCTAAATAACATATTTCCTTCATATTTATCAACGAACGAGTCTATATAAACATGCAATTTTCTGGTAGACTTTAATTTAATAAAAATGTTATATCTACCAATCAGAACTTAGCATCAATCAAATTCATAGACAATACTCTTACTCAACTAATCTTCCGTCAGGATGACTCTAAATAATTTACACCACTTCAAAATTCTAAAATTATGCCTTTATTTAAAGGCACGGTTTAAAGAGTTGTTGGCTCTTAGTGCCTGCATGTCTTCTTGTAAACTCTCAAGATCATGTCACCACTCTATTTGATTCGCCAAAATAGCAAGTGAAGCATCATTATCAAACAATTTCCCCTACAAAATGGCTGCAACTTCCCATGCTTTAAACACTGGGCTTTATCAACTTCATCTGCAAGAGGACACTCTCTTCATTGAAATATTTCAAAACCCTTTTTCTTATTTATGATATCAAAATCTTTTATTTTATTCTCAAATTTACCAAAGACTCTTACGGTTTCTCACCATGTCAACACTCAACAAGCTTGCACATGGCTATCAAAAGTCAACTTTGACTCAATACTCAAATGTTGAATAAATGAACTCGCTTGAGTCTCCGAGGTTATTCAACTAAAGAACTGCATACTTGCCCATAGTACTCATTAGTTGACTAGGAGTTCTCGCCATAAGAATTCTCCATAATACTTGGCCAAAGTTCACAACTAGCAGACAAGTATAAGCTAGATACACCAGCAACAATGCTAACTACATCAAAGTAAATTATCTACTTCTTATGAAATCACATTATATAATCAATTCTACACCAAACTTAATCCTCAACTATAAATAGAGGGGGGCCTTGGTCATGCACAATAATATTAGAACATCATATCACATCGAATTGTCTCATTCTTTCTAGGATCCTTTTCAAAATCTCTCTTTTTTCTTTGAATAGTTTCAATAGTTTGACTCGACTCGTTCTGCTGAATCTTTTGTAAATAAATTCACCAAAAGAATTATTGAGACCTACCTCTCTCTCTCTTTCTCTCTCTCTCATCCATTATAATCTTTGGGATTGATACATATCCCTAGGAAGATCTTTGCATCTTTCCACATATAACATTGATGCAACAAAAATTGATTTATAAAGAGTACAGAGATCTATATTCATATGTCCATCAAAATTTGCATTATGTTTAGATCTTAAGATGTCACATAAACAATACCTACAACAAGTGATTCAGGGCAACCATCAAAATAACTGTCGATAGAAAACAAAAGTACATAACATAAAGAATTATTGTAATGCTACCTAAATAACATCAATAACAATTCACAGCACAAATCTTCAAACATTCATCTTACCAAATACTGAAACACATCACAGATCCAAGTAGACAAAGTAAGCACAAACTTAGATTACTTGAAATTTTCAGAAAAGCAAATGAAATACATTAAGTACCAAAAGTTCAAAGAAAATGTAGAGCAATGCATCTAAAACAGAGAGGTTCCCTTGCCCTTCTTGTCACCACCAATTTCAAAATGCTTGCACCGCTGCAAATGAAAATTAACATTTCAAATTGAGTGATCGAATAAGCACAATGAGCATAAAAGCCGTAAAAAATAATACCTTGATCGGGTGCTGAGAAAAATGCTTGCAGCTTTGGCATTGCAGTTTTAAAACAATCTTCTTGGTGGTTTTTGCCTGATAAACAAATTCCATCATTACTATAATGCTCAATTATGCAAGAAAAATGACATCAACACTCAGGATTGTAAAGAAAAAGCTACTTTAAATGAAGCATGCACTATATTAGACTTGCATCTACAAAAAAAAATTGTATCAGCAATAAACCTTCTTGTGGAAAACAGGCTTAGTCTGTCCACCATAGCCAGATTGCTTCCTATCATAACGACGCTTTCCTTGAACTGATAGACTATCCTTTCCCTTTTTGTATTGAGTGACCTTGTGCAAGGTGTGCTTCTTACAAGCCTTGTTCTTGCAATAGGTCTTCTTGGTTTTTGGAACATTCACCTACATGTTAAATGGAACAATAAATCTATAGAATAGAAATGATTTTTTTTCTTAAGTAACACATGCACATAAATTCATAACAATATGAGAAGTTGTTACCAAAATGATAAAAAAAGGTGTCATGTACTAGATGCAATGGTATACTTGCCCAAAAAGCAAAAATTCATATTATAGCTCGAACAGTTAAATATTGGCAATAGTTATGACTTATGAGTTCTTCTACTTGCAATTTTGAAGGGATATCCTACCAGGCTACCATCTGTGCATGTAACCGAACAAAGCACCTTCATCAATATGGCAACAAAAATTTACAGAGAACCATACGATACAAAAACACTGTTGCCCTACCAACTTTGTACGTAAATGCTAAAATAAACCAAATGGAAACAACAATACATTATTGTTATATAGAACCATACTTCACACAAGAACTACAACAGTATAAGTTGGCAAAGGAAAGCTAAAATACAATAGCAATCAGAAGAAATGGCAACGTTATGGATGAAAAAAAAAAACTGTAGGTCTAGCCATTAAAGGAAAATTAGTAGCTAGGTAAAGTTAGCTTCAAGCTGAACCCAACCTCCCAATACCCTCAACTGAGATGCACATGCCACTTACAACTTTACAACAAACAAACAGTGAAATATGATCCCAAAAAAAAAAAAAAACGATTTTATAGTCCCCAGAGAAAGATGAAAGCCAATAAAAAACATAAGCGTTGCATATAAAGTGTTCAACCCCGATTCCATGCGAAACAAATGAGTCAGACGCAATTCAATAAACAAAACAGACAAAGATGAAAGATGGCATGACAAAACAATCACTTCGCTTTCTCCCACAGTGTTTATCGCCATTTGTTGACCTTGTAGACATCAAAGAGATCAAGTGAAAGATATCGAACTCAATTTCTGGATAGATCGTTTTACAGTTTCGATTACGCAGCAAGAAATTTAGCAAAACGATAAAAGAAGCTAGTTTTATTGCTTCAATTCCATAAATATGGAACATTTAAGATCGTAAGAGAACAATATTCGAAGAGGTGAGAGAGATTACCATGGCTGCTGCGGGAACTTGCGGCCGCGAAAACCCTAGCCAATACTATGGTAAAGAAAGGAGTTTATGTTTTATAGTGAATAGGCGAAGCGCACTAGGGCTTCGTTGCCAACTTGCCCGTTTAAGTGTTTAACGCACAAGATCATTGGGTCCGGATTCTCTGGGTTGCTAGGTGGAGCGGCCGGGTCGGGTCGGGCCGGTCCAGCTGGACTGTACGATCCGGCCATGTGGCTCAGCAGAAATGTGCTATTTAGATATGATACTTCATTAAAAACTATGAGGATCAAGCACGAATCTTGATGCACATTTGAATTTAAAACTTCCAAAATCAAATTGGGACTATCCAAACTTCGATTTCAACAAGCTTTTATTGAAACTAAATGTATCAATGCGACTAACGCAACAATATCAAAATCAATCAAATCCAAGTTCAAATAAGCTTAAATCAAGGGACCGAAATATATTTGAAAGCTTTAGAGCATTAATTGAATAATCAAATGATATCCAAATATAGTATCGTTATAGTTGAATCGAGCTGCTCGACGACAAGAATCCAACGAGTCTATGATCACTTAATTCTAACATCTTTAATGTACTTAAATGTTTGATGAATGCTCTATGATCAAGGGAACTTATATGATTTGTCAGATTGAGTACTCCGAATTTGTCTTTGATCTTCTTCATATTTACGGGTTATGTCACCCTCAAAATCTATAAATATATCCATTCTTCTTAAATGAAAAGGGGCTCCGACACCACGGCTGGCTAACCCTCGCTGCCTGGCCACTGTTAATCTTTTCCGGTCATCATCATCAGACCTCTGTCTCGCTACCACCACCGGGTCTACCTCCCACTATCATCGGTGACCCATCACCGCTAATAAACATTCTATCAATCATTGTCGTTAGAACTCCCTCTGACCACCTCTTTGGGTCTACCTCTCACCATTATTGGCCTCCAACCATAGTCCCACCGACCTCCTTCTCCCACCGACAACAGTCACTTCTATCTCACCCTCCAACCAATATGACCTGCCGACTATGGTTTCGCTGACAGTCATCACCTGTCAACTACGATCCCACTGACTATGGCCCTCCCGACCTTAATTGTCCATCGACTACGTTCCCCCTCGGGGACCTTTTTCGCCCGCCGACTACGATTCATTCGACCTTAATCACTCGATTGCAGCCTCTCCGACCTCCACCATCTTTGAACTTTACACTACATTCATTTTACCTTAACTTAAAAAAAAAAAAAATCTTCTACATTAACTTTTTACTCATTCAAATAACTCAAAAGTTTTTTTTTTTTTACATTGCATTCATTTAACACAACATTCTTTTTTTAGCCAACCAAACAACCCCTGTGTGAAAGGATCTCACATTAGTTCAAATATATTTTAAGTTTAAAAATGATTTGAACCTATATTCTAATTGATTCAAACCATATTCAAATTAGTTAGAAATGTATTTGAAGCAATGTTCGGTGTCACGTAGATTTGTGACGAAGATATATGTTCACGTAGGTTTTCCTACGTTCGAAGGAGGAGATGAGTTTCTGAAATATTGATGAGATCCAACGGTGTGTAAAAGGAGAATAAATGTTCATGATGGGCAACAAGTAAGCATCGATGGAATTCGATAGTGTGTGAATAAGTTGGGAGGTTTGTGACAACTAGGAACTTGCATTAATGGGATACAATAGCGTGTGAAGGATAAGGGGAGTTTGTGACAACTGGAAACCATCATCAACAATATAACGAGGTGTTTATGTAACGGATCCCAAGATATGTGAAGGAAAAAACGAGTGCCATTGATGGGATCCAACATCATGTAACGAGAAGATGCGCTCGTAATAGCCCGAACCGTCATTGACAGGATCCAATAGTATGTGAACGAGAATATAAAATTTTGCCAAGTTTCTTAGCGACTTCAAATCTTTTTTGAGCCTAGGTTCAAATTAGGCTTGAATTTGAACAAGTTGAAATATATTTCAAACTTTGACAAAAAAATAAAATAGTCCGCAACTACAATATGTTATCATTCGGTAGGAATATATTAATTTTATTCAAATTGACTTTCAGACATATTTTCTTAATAACATAAAGATTTCATCAATTACATGTATTATACGACATATAAAATCAAATTTCTTTAAAAATATATAATTTTAACTTACCTAAACATACTATTTTATTCCTCTTCCATATAACATAATCCGAAAAACAAATACGTTGAAGATAATAAATTTATGAGTACAAGAAACATTTTTTTAATTATTTTTATTTCTTATCTGATCAAGTTCTTAAATATCCATTTAGTTTTGAGATTTGCCGTTTGGAAATTAGATTTTAGTATTTAGATATATTCCTCATTTAGCATTATTGCAAGCTCAATATATTACACTGATATAGATAATTTAATATTAGAGTGATATGAAAATTAAGAATATATATTACACTAATAAATACTATAGATTCCTGCAATAAATATTATTTATATGATAATATAATAATTCTAACAAATACTTAAAAATAATATTTTTGTATTTTTTATGTGAAATTAAAACTATCATATTTGAACTTAAAATTGATGTTATTTTCTAATAATATTTAATTAAATCCTCCAAAAAATAAAATAAATAAACATAATAAATTCAATATTTTCAACATAATTTCTAACTTCAAACAACCAAATCATCATCAATATATATTTTACTTTACGTTCGTTTGGGATGACTATAATTTTTTATAAATACAATTGTAAAATTGTCGTGAATAAAATAGTTTTTCTTTAAAACTAATGCATAAAAATCATTAAAAACAATGAAAAAATAATATTTAAACAAAATTGTTTGATTAGGATCTGAAAAATAAATCATTTAGAAAGCTGTTCCAAACAAAAACTTAGTAAAAATAGGGGTGTCAATTTTTGACACGATCTGAACCTGACCCGGAAAAATCCGGGTTGGGGACAACCCGGACCCGAAACAGGTTGGGTTCGGGTTCAACAAATCAACCCGTTTTAAAAATCGGGTTTGGTTCTGGTTGACCCAGCAACCCGAAAATGACCCGAAATTGACACGAAACTCATATTTAACACGGAAACCCAAGATTGACTCGTTTTTTACTCGATTTTGACCCGAAAATAGAATATTGACCCGATGTTGACCAGAAAATTAGCAATTTTAAGTCAACTTCGGCTCATTCGTGTCGGGTCGGGTTGACTCGGACCTGAATCGGGTTGGGTTCGGGTCCGGAAACCTGAACCGTTTTTAAAAACGGGTCGGGTTCGGGGTTCGGGTTGACCCGAACGGTGCCGGGTCAGTTCCGGGTTCGACCCGAACTTGACCTGCTGACCCGAATTAACACCCCTAAATAAAAAAAAAATTTCTTTGGAAGCCAAAAACAGTCAGTTTCATTTCTTCTGAGAGTCACTTACAGCCTCTTCAATTCTCATTGCTTTATCCAATATACGCTAACAGGCTTAACTGAAGCTTAAATGACTATCCCAGCCCTCAATTTCTGTAATATGAAAAGATTTCAGTTTCTTAATCAGCATAAATGCAATGGCTGCCCTAATTATTATGCATTTAAACCCACTTAATGCTCAATTTCATATCATACGGCTTATAAGAAAGTCCTCTATATAAATCCTTTGCAACCTTCCAGTTAATATCGAATCGCATCGCCAACTTTCTTTCAGAAAAATCTGTTTCATTCCTCCTTTCTATCTGCAAAAATGGCAGCTCATAATTCTCTCGCTGCCTTTCTATATTTTTCCCTGCTTCTCTTCTCAGCCATTACTGGTAGGCTATGTAATTATTTTTTAGTTCATTTTTGCATCTTTTTCTCTACTAGTAAAAGCTTCCTTATTATTTTCAGAACATGCCATCTGCTACACCCATAGTGCAAATTGAGAAGAACATTAAACGTATGATAAAGAAATATGAATGTATATTTAATAAAAATAAAAGAAGATTAAGAGACATTAGTGAACTCAAAGAATTTATTCATTTATTTACTTAAATGAAAAGTTATTATAAACTAATAATTTTTAAAATGATTAATTAATTATAAAAAGATAATAAATCAAATGCCATGATTCTATTTGAATAATTAAAATTAAAATTAAAATCATAAAAAATGGAATATGAAGCGTATGATATAAATAGAGCAATACAAACGAGTATTTAATAAATATAAAGGAAGATTAAGAGATATTATAAAATTTAAAGAATTAATTGGCATTAATTTGCATAATTATTATATTTTTTAAATTTATTAATTATTTATATTACTGTGAAGGGATAAGATAATTTTAGAAGAAATAAAACAGATAACCAAGATTTGATATGGAAGAAAATTCAAATGGCTTTTATATTAGTAGTATAAATTTATCAGTCTCATATTTTCTTTGTTATTGTTGTTGTTTTACTGGAAACAGTGAAGGTGGATGGATGCCAAGCCAGTCCCCAGTTGGTAAGTAAAGAACCACTTGATTTCTGTTGTGTTTCTAAGCTGTTTCCAATATGATTAAAATGTTAGCATTCTATTGCTTAGCCTGAGAAAACTTGGTGTGTGGCAAATCCTTCTACCAAAGAAGCAGAGCTTCAGAACAACATTGAATTCGTCTGTTCCAAACTTGATTGCAGTTTGATTCAGATTGGTGGCCTTTGCTTCGTCCCTGAAACCAAAATTTCTCATGCTTCTGTTGCCATGAACCTTTATTACCAATCCATGGGAAGAAATTCATGGAACTGTCATTTCGGTGGTTCGGGCTTAATCGTTTCTACTGATCCAAGTAATTATCTTTTCTACAACGGATCCAAATCGAGTAAAATTATTATGTGCGGATATCGGAGTCCGGAGCCTAATCAAAATGCGCCACATCACCTAGTACCGAGCGGTACCGAGCCTCGGTACTCGATACCAACTGACCTGACGCATTTTTATTGGGTTCTGGATGGCGTTCGGCGTCCGCACAGAATAATTACTCCCAAATCGGAGCCTTACCCTATTTTAGTGGATAATCAAGACTTGATTCTGTTTTAACTGGCTTTTTGTTCTTTTTTTTGTGAATTGTTACAGGTTATGATGGATGCAAGTATGAATGTTTTTAGATTTGCAGAATATGGCAGAAATAGAGTTGAAGTGTTAATGATGTTGCAGCTGAAGTAAATAAAGTGCCAGTGTTATCAATTTGTTTTGATTTTCTGAGAGTAATAGTTGCTTTGTTGTATGTTTATGTGTACCTTATTATATGATGAGAACAGTTTAGTATGTTTAGTTATGGTTAATGTATGAATATTTTGAGTTGTACTTGGCTTGTAGTTGAAGACTTTTGAAGTTAATGAAAGAAATTAAGGTTTCGTTTGGGACGGCTTTTTTACTGCTTTTTAAAGTAGCTTTATAATTTTGTTACTAAAAATTTGTTTTAAGAAGCGATAAGAAAGCTGTCCCAAACGAACCTTAAAGGTTAATTCCCCACCAATCTTATATCACATGTTCCAGTATATATGAATATGTACTATAACTTTTGTCTACTTTTTGTAACATTAAAACAGGAATTTTTATCCATGGTTATCAACTAATTATAGATAATAAACACTAAGGAATACAGACATGATTTTGTTCACTAATTGTCTCTCAAGCCTTTGACAGGATTCCCTTGCTAGAGCTTTTCTGCTATTTTTTTGACAAGACATAATTTAACTTTGTGTGAAAAACAATAAGCATCCTCTTTATTAATTTATGTTATATGCCATAGCTCAAATTAAGGTTTCGTTTGAGTCGTCTCTCTTATTGTTTCTTAAAGCAGCTTTTTATTACAGTATTTTTTTTTTAACTAAAAAACTAATTTAAGAAGAAGTAAAAAAGCCGTCTCAAACAAAGCCTAGGCCTTAGTAATCACAACGGTGTTGGATGTAATGAACACCAATTCTTGGCCTAACAGTATATAATTAAGTAAGAAAGACTATTAAGAAAATATTTGCCAAGAGTAAGAGATTAGTAGCATTAAAATGAACAAACAATTAGAGTGTTGGTACCAAAATGTGTTAGACCGGTCCGACTACAACTGGCCCCTAGTGGGCCGGTCTTGGTTTACTCCAGGAAAGGGCGGTTGCAAAGAGAGAGGGACAGGAGCGGGGTCAACTATGAGTTAAATTCAAATCCCTTGGAGAGAAAGGAGGGGGCGGCAAGGGCTGTTTAGTAATTTGGGCTTGATTAATTAGTGGTATGCTTTAAGTAGCAGGAGAAAATTAGGGTTAGGGTTATGCATGAATTGAGTTGTTCCTTAGGAATCTTCTTTGGCGTCTTGGGCTCTAGATCTATAATATAGAAATTGGAGAGACGATCATCCTCTCGAATTGAGGATCAATTGTATCTTGCTTGGTGTTGATTTTGCTTTGATTCTACTATTGCAAATTATCATCTTTGGATTGCTTTTATCCAGATTTTTGGTATTTTTCTCGCTATTTAGGACCAATTATTGCTAGGGTTGTTTGCGAACTAAAGTGTTTCCTCTTGAATAACTTGCGAACTCAAGTACTTCCTATTAGAATGTTTGAATTTAGAACGGGCTCCAAAAATTATATGAAACTCAACGGTTTCCAATTATAAAATACTTCCCGTTTACAATCAAAAGTTAGGTTCTTAAAACAAATCACAGATTCACAACCATTAAATTCAGACACCTATATTACCAGCATTACCATTAACTTATGCCTTTTCTCAATGAAAGATACTATATCAAAATATGCAATTACGCTTTATAAGGAAAAAGGGCCAAACAGAAAATGTTCCGTGTGAGTTAGAAACTTAATAAACTGTATGCTATTAAAACACTGGCATGACTACAGTATACCACGATTCAATGTTATGAAAAACAACAGAACTGTAAAATGAGAGACTAACTTGGCTTCCCTTCCAAGTAATCTCACTAGTATAAGAGATGAATTATTTTGTGCGGACGCCGAATACCGTTTGGAGCCTAATGAAAATGCGCCACGTCAACCCCTGTTCGGTACCGCGGCTCGGTACTAGATGACGTGGCTGCACCTGATTTGCCTCTGAACGGTAAGCTGTGTCCGGTATCTGCACAAAATAATCTCTCCTAATAAGATAAAGTATCTACTTCTTCTCGGAGTGGCTCTCCAACTCCCTCCTTAGCTGAAGGGAGAAATCATCATTGACATCATCATCATCCCAGTCATCCTCCCATTGTTGCATGGCTTCCTTGTTTTCTTCCTTGTCATTCCACTCTTCAACATAGATAAAGTGGCCCAAGGGAAAATTCAGGTTTAGTGGATTACAGAAGACATAGCAGCTAAGGATTAAGTAATACGATTAATAGAAAACAATCAATTACAGTAAGGTTCAAAACCAATAAATCATATTCAGTATCGCTACTCTGCATCTTATAGAATCCATTAGTCTGAAAGGAATTGAAGAATCTTAACAGTTGTATGTTAAATTTAGTTGCGTATGCAGTAAAACATATAAGACACTGCTTCTCAATGCATATAAACATGTAAGAAGAATCCAAGGCCAAGTTCTCTGCCCCACAATGGAAGAAGCTATAAACTGCAGTGATGGATCACTCAAAAGGATGGATAGATATGATTCTACCAAAAAGTTAATGAACCAATGACTTGGTTAAAGAACCAAGTCTAATTTTAACATACATTAATACATTAAAAGGTAATGAGAATCTCACTTTAATCCTCATCATGTATGCACTTCCACATCCTGTCACTTTGAACTACACGCCCCACAACAACAATTACGTCTTCACTGACTTAGTTTGAATCCATCAACATGTATGAAAATGATTATTTCTCCCAATTTTGTTTTTACTTATATTACTTTATATAATCTTCAAACTCTAGAGCACACTATTGATTGTGTTCTACAACATTAAAATTACATGTGGATTGAGTTTAATCAATTTCTATGAATGTACATAAAAAATTCAAATATGTTGGGATAAGACACAGAAGTCCTATTAAAACTCTACTTTTACCCATACATTTTATCAATCAAATTTGTCCAACGAATGCAATATATAAATCACAAATAATGAAAGTTTCAAACTATTTGAAAGTCACTACATCATATCACAAATTCAAAATCATCTTCTCATCCAATCAAAGAGTAGAAAATGCCAAAATGGTCACTGTACCTTTTTTTAGGGGTCATTTAATCTCAAACTATTTAATGTGCCAATTTTGGTTCTTAACACTTGAAAAACTATTTCAATTTAGTCCCAACATTAAAACAGTCACATAATCTGATAGAATATCACACACAATTTTAATTGGAGATTAATTCCATCAAATAGCTTTATACTCGTTAATATATCATATTCATTTTTTTTTTTACTGTGATACAAGCCCAAAGTTAAATTCTTACCTGAAGTAGTGGCAATTAAGTGCCAGCAAGGGGTCCAGTGAGAGGCCTGAACAATGAAGGATTGATAGGACTGACTACAATGTAGTTGAGTCTGACTATGACTACGGTGAAAGATCCTTATGTTAACATATGTCTAAAATTTTCTTAATGGATTATTTGTTGTCCAACATGTTAAAAGAAGCATTCTAAAGCCACAATGACAATACCTCATAAGCATGTTCTCATCTCTCTTAACTGATGATGAACTACTCATTTTTTTATAGACATAATTTGTTCTTATTGAAAAATCAAGTCAATGCAAACAATATAGAAAATATAAACATCTAAAATGTTTATATATATATATATATATATATATAATAGAAAAAAATAAACTTCTCAATCCCGCCTGCATCTTTGTCGTTTGAGGATTAATGTCTGTCTCTGTCGCAGGAAGATTAATTTCTATCTTCATCACACCCACAAGAATAGTCATCGGGTGAGACGCGAACATTCTCCTCGGCTCAACGTCCAATCATGAAACACATTCAACTACACATCAATCTTACAATCGACAATTGCTCATGGAGCTCAAACTTTGCTATGGGTCGGCCTTGCTGGAATGAAACTACAGCCTTGCATGAAGAATCAAATTGAATAACATACGAAACTATAAGGATATGCTAAGTATTATAAAGCTGTTTAACAGATTTAAATTCCAAGCAATGTCATGCATGTGATGTTTCATTTAATTACACAATAATCTTAATGGAGGGACTAAATTTAAACAATTTTCAAGAGTTAAGGAATCACATTAAGTGGTGAGATTAATTTTTGTCTCTATCATTGGAGGATTAATATCCATCTTCATCGCCCCCCATAAGAATAGTCATCAAGCGAGATGTGAAACTTCTCCTCAACTCAGCGTCCAATCATGATACACATTCAACTACTCATCAATCTCACTGCCGATAGTTGCTTGTTGAGGCCAAACTTAACTAGGGGCCGACCATGCTGGAATTAAACTAAAGCCTTGAATAAAGGGTCAAATTCAATAACATAAAAAACTAGAACGATATACTAAATAGTATAAAGCTATTTAATATATTTAAATTCCAAGCAATGTCATGCATGTGATATTTCGTCTAACTAAACAAAAATCTTAATGGGACAAAACTAAAACAATTTTCAAAAGTTAAGGGATCAAATTGATCACCACCCCCCTCCACATTCCAACACAAACGCATACACTCAAAGTTCAAGGATCATTTAAGGCATTTTCTCAATTAGAGTTGTTCATTCTAGAAATTTGATTCATCAAATTGACGATCAAAGAACCTAAAAAATTATTGAAATCATAAATGTCAGTAACTTTTATGATACTAAGGAAAATAGATAGTTTTAATCTTCTATTTGAAAATCATACCTCAAAATCTCTTTTGGTGAAGTATGATAGTTTTTCTCATATATATACATACACACATACATCCGTAGATATTCTTTGTTATTAAGTTTATCAAAATGGTCTATCCCGCAAAAGATTAGAGTTAAATATATGAAGGAAAACAAAATTAGTTAGATGATTTTGCAATGAGTAATACAAGCTACCTTAAATTTGTAATCGTAATAAGTTCTTAATTATACAAAAATTTCAACATAAGAATCAATATACTAAGACTGATGGTAAAACTAAAGTATAATGAAATAAATAAAATCATTATATATACCATAAATATAATACCCATTTGATGATAAAAAAATCATGCAATGTTAAACAATGTTGTCAGAATCAGATATGCATGGAAAAAACATGTTTAAATAAATGATTCAAATAGCAAAGCATGTGCACTTCATTCATGCGATCACAACTCTTAACAATATTACATGTTTCCATCTTTTTTGGGGTATGGATGGATGCGCACTAAGTAATTACGCATTATGCAGGAATAAGATGATAATTCAGACTTAAGTATCTTAGCAAATGAATCTTTGGTGACATGTGAGTGACATATTTGATATTAAAATAATATAGGGTAGTTTTTATCATGTATGTAATATTAAAATTTTGGAAGTTAAATATGTAAATAAGATGATATTAAGTGGTATGTAGGTAAATTTCCCAAAAAAAAAAAAAAAAAAAAAAAAAACCCTTTGCATACCCCACCAGGCTTTTTGAGTTTACTAATATTATTTTTTTAATATTTAATTATTTTTGTGTTGTATTTTTGCCCCCCCTCAAAGTTAAAGCCGGTTCCGTCCCCGCACACCAGGCTTTTTGAGTTTACAACCTCAATTAAAACTAAAAAACACTATATTCTATTTAATTTTACTCAACCATCCTGTATTTAAGATTCATACAATCTAGGAAGATGTAAAAATTGCATTACCAGATTCAGTTTACAAAAAAAATTCACGAATAAAAGCCCCTGGCATCACAATTCCATTTTCTATCCACCTTCTCTCTTCTTTAACACATCAAGCTAAATAGTTCATTGCAGAAGGCATAAAAAAACCCATCATCCGCTTCTTGTTTAATTTCCTACACCACAATTAGAAGGGTTGCACCTGAAACAAATTGAAAATTTACAGAACACCATTCAATTTTTTGAGATCAAACACCACATCTGGCTTATCAGACCATGCATATATTAAAAAAAGTTAATTTAAAAGAAAAAAAAAATTTATTGGCTTGCTTCAAAAGGAACCACTACTTTCCAAGCATCCTTATAATTAAATCACCGATCTAAGTATCAGTAGGAGGACAAAGGCTGAAAAAGGCCAAATTAAATTCATACGCACATCTGCAGTAGTTAGTTACTTCCAATCTACATTATTTCCACAAATGTTATCCAGAATTGCCCGGCGCATGAAGATAAACAAGAACTAAATTTCTTAAATAGAAAAGAAAAGCGTCATTGCAGTTACCTTCGCCTAATTCAAACTCCTCAAACTCATCATCATCCTCGAAGAGGTCCATCTTGACGTCTTGACCCGCCGCAGGTTTCGTCTCCGTCGCCATCGGTCTAAACGCAGAGGAAATCAACAAGCTCAAAAAAAAGGAAGAGAATAAAAAAAAAAAAAAAACTAAGTACGAAAAGGAGATATGGAAGAGAGCTCCTTGCCTCCTAGCAAATGCAGGAACTCGCCCACGCACCTTCGAAATTTCTCAACTTCCACGAGCCAAATTGATTGGCAAAAAGCTTGGCGAGAAAAAAATGTAGAAAACAGAAAAACTGGGAATTACGCACCTATAGAAACTTGTCGTTTACTAGTATAATTGTATTTGCACCTATTTATTTGAGACAGTTTTTGACTTTTTTTTTTTTTTTGAAAAAAATTGGGGCCTAAGCCCATATATTACTGAGAAAAAGAGAGATTACATGTGAAAGTAAAAAGAAGATTACAAGTAAAATCCAACATAAGCAAAAACCAGAACTTATGTTAGAAAAAGCAAAAAAGATCAACTATATCACCCATACTCAACAAAAAACAGTAAAAGAGCAAAAAATGTGGTATTTAAAACAGAGTGAACAGAGAAGCCAGTCAGCAACGACCGGCCCAAAAAATTGCTGTAGAAGTAATCCCAAGAGAAAGAACCAGCTCCCAAAAGCTCCGAAACCTGCAATATAAGGTAAACATAATCCAGCTCCCAAGCCTTAAAGACTAGACTCAGAAAATAACGATAAGAAATAATGAAAGCCCGGGTTGCCCGGAGGCCATCCACAGGATCTGCAATAGGGAGTGTCATCATTGTCCAGTCTTTGCTTTGCAGAAATATCAAAGGGACAAAGGGACCCGTAGTGAAATTGCGCAGAAAGTCACCACCACCAGCACATATGAAACAACCCACCAAGGCTGTTTCACAGAAACCAAAATACCTCCAGCTTATAGCAGTTCCAGCAATGAAGAAGAGTCTTTCCATTTTAAAATTTTCTCAAAAACAACTCTTTTAATAAGCAGGGAAAGAGTGGTAGAACTTTGTATGTTACCCCCGAATCTTCTTGAATTTCTTTCCTTCCAAATGTAATAAATAGTGCAACAGATCATGAATTTGTGAAAATTTTTCACCAAAGCATTGCCTTTGTAAACATCATTAACCCAGACAAACATATGCCGCAAGGAAGGTCTAAGAAGAAGCCCCACCGTGGCTGGGATCAATGCTTTAAGCACAGAATAGGAGTAAGTGCATTCAAAGAAAAGATGATTAACCGTTTCATCAAAGATATGGCATAAGCTGCACCTACTAGGCACCACAATCTGCCTAATACGGAGCGCTTCCGCAGTTTTAAGGCCCCCAACTAGAGCCATCCACACATAAACATTATGCTTTAAACAGTTTCTCTTATGCCACACAGCTTTACTCCAGTTGCAACTAGGCAATTCAAAATAGAATTCCTCAATATAGTCTTTGAATTTAGGTATGAAACCATTTTTCCAAAGAACACAGGGATCCTCACTAGCATTATTGTGCAGAAAGAGGTTTTTAATTTGAACAGGCAAAAAATCTGGGAGAATCCAATTGTTATCCATGAAAAAAGATCCCAATACACAATCTGGGAAATCAATAGCATAGCCCAAATATTCCTCAAATGTAAGATTAAAGCACCAGTGATCCCGTAAAAAAGAGATGGGGGCATGCCTAGTAATTCTAAAGCAAAAACAGCCTTTAGCATCAAGAGCAGTCTTACAATCAGATTTCCAAAATTTAGAGGCAGTGGAAGGAGGTTGCTTCCAGGGAGATGAATATTTGCTTAACAGCCAGGAGGAGAGAGGGGAGGATGAATTGTACATCCTAAAAATAACATAACCATTAAAACCAAATTGCAAAGCATTGAAAGAAGTGACACCCAGACCACCCTTGTTCTTAGGACGGCAAATAACATCCCAAGACACCATATGCAGCTTCCTGACTTGAGATGATTCCCAAAAAAAAAAAAAAAAAAAGGAAACGAGAGCTCGCTTTCTTTAGGAATTTAGAAATAGTTTTAGGTATAATAGAGCCACGAATCCAATAAGTAATAGTATTTTGTATAGTGAACTTGAGATATTGGAGTCTACCAGCAAAAGAAAGCAAGTTAGCCTTCCAACCATTCATTTTTTTGTTGATACTATCCACTAAAGGTATAAAGTCTTCTATCTTGAGTCTGTGGAAAGACAAAGGAATCCCAAGGTATATGATCTTTGGAGTGATATTGTGAATGGATAGGATGTTGCATATGTCTTGATGATTAACTTGCTGCTTAGGGAACATGATAGCGCTCTTATCAAAGTTAATGTGCAATCCCGTGGCATTGGCAAAATCACTAAGGATGCAAGCTAGATTGTGGCAGTTTTGAATAGAGGCCTCTCCAAAAATCAGAACATCATCAGCATAAAGAAGGTGTGTGAGAGAAAAATTATCCGCAGTGATACCTTTGAAACCTCTAACCTCTAAGAGATTAGAAAGAGCATCCATGACCACACAAAATAGAAAAGGGCTCAACAGGCAACCTTGTTTTAAGCCAGCAAAAGAAGAAAAATAGCCCTCCAAAGCACCATTTAGCACAACAGAATAATGTACATTCGAGATACACAGCCTGATCCAGTTAACAAGAAGATTGGGGAAGCCTTTTTGAGCCAACCTAGCTAAAACAAAATCTCTAGATACAGAATCAAATGCCTTTCTGATATCAAGTTTAGCACAGAACATTTGGGTTCCACCCCTCTTACTTGCAGAAGCAAGAATCTCACTAGCAAGCAGAACATTATCAGTGGAGATTCTAGATTTCACAAATCCAGACTGAGTTTGGTTGATGATGGCAGGCATGACCGGTTTAAGCCTACTAGCAATAATCCTAATTTTATTTTATTATTAACATATTATCTCTATTATTTATGGTAGAATTTTCTTTTACAATAATAGTATTTATTTTGTCTTTAATAACTTCACAAATAATTTTATAAAAAATTGGAACAATCTCAAACAAATCAATAATTATAAAATTTAAAATCAATTTATTTATTATTACTTTAAGGGATTTTTACATACATAACACTTAAAATAAGTTTATTTACCTATTTAACACCTAAACTTTCCTATTTACCTATATAACACCTTAAAACCCTTATTCTCATAAAAAATAACATTCCGTCTCCTCCAGTCAACACCAAACCACAAAAGAGCGCGGGAACCCCTAACTCGAGCAAAGCAACTTCCTCTCTTGATGTAAATCACACAGTTCACGAATCTACAGCAGTGCGACGTAGGCATTTCTTCTGTTTGAATCACACAATTCACAAATCTCACATGCTCGTCTTCTCCTTTTGTGAATCTATCTGCTTGGCGTCTTCTCCAGCTAGTGGCGACACATGCATTCCCTTCACTTTAGCTATTTTATTCTGATTTCTCTGCAGCTCCAACTGATATGTTCTGTTTTTATCAATATGCAGCATTTGTTTCCACTGCAGCTTGGCGCTTCTCCAGCTAGTTGTGAAAATGCTCCAAATATTTAAAGCTTACAGCTCTGCTCTGCTATTATTAATATGCTTTCTATTTTACCTTGGGTTTAATCTGAATAGTTTACAACAATTGTGGTTTATACAATTTTACTGCAAACAAGTTTATACCAAATCTTTGCGCAAGCTTCGCTTTCCATGAATGGTTTTATATACCTCAAAAGCATCTGCATCTGTTTGCTCAAGCTTCGGCTTGAGAGGATCAAAGCATCACAGGAAATCGAACTAAAATGCTATAGGCAAAGTAAAATTTCGCTTGAAAGGAGTATGTTTGCTTAACTGGAGGCGAAGTTCAGGTTAATAAGCTACACGTAAAGTTCGGGCTTGAGCAAAGTTTTGGCCAGAGACCATAAGCAGATTGCGAGCGAAATAAGCTGTTCGAAGACCAAAACGACATAGAAAGATGGAGAAGAGCATACATATAGGAATAGATTGATGAGTCGATCTAGCGAGTTGTAGAGGAGGTGAAGGCGTAGTGAGCCAACCAAGCAAGAGGAAGATGAGGTCAAGGCATAGTAGACGGTCGGGTTTTCAATTTGACGGGATGGAAACGAAGAGGTAGTTTTGACGAGGGTTAGGATTTTTAAGTGGTATACAGGTAAATATGGAAGTTTAGATGTTAAATAGGTAAATAGACTTGTTATAAGTGTTAGTTATATAAAAATCCCTATTTTTAATTATCCTTAAGCTTTAAATATATGGAGTTGAAAATTTTAATGACCCATTTAATTTAAATTAATAAAATTCTCGCTTAAATATGAAAGGCTAAAGTTTCATTTGATTAAACTTTATTAATGCTTTATTTTTCAGACTACAATCATAGTTCCTATTTGACCCCAATTTTTTCACAGCTTTAATAAATTTTTTGTCTTAAGAAGTTACTTTCTACAACAGCTTTTAAAAAAATATTTTCTTCACAACAATTTCATAATTATGTTTATACAAAAATTATAGTCATTCCAACACACCCTACCAGTCTATTTGGAGCGACTGCAATATTTTATAAAGTTGACTCTGAAGTTATTATTGGGAAAATAATTTAGCTACTTAGGTACAAAAAATAGCTTCGCTAAAAACATCGAGAAAATAATTTATTCTAAAAACAAAACCTTTAGAAAACTGTCCTAAATAGATCCTAAAAAATAAATCATAAGAAAGATAAAAAGATTATGCTTTAATATGAGGAAAATAGATGAATCATTCAAAGAGAATCATAATAAAATAATGCATGATAAATATGAATACCACTTATTCGGCTAAAATAAAACATAACGTAAAATGTTTGCTTAGAAATCTTTAAAATGGAAAATTTCAAAAGAAGATGAATTTAAATTTTTATACATTTCATATGTTGTGGCTCATTATTTATTTATTTAGATATTTAGATCAATTAAGATAAACGCACATGTGCATCACGTACACAAGACTCAAACACAAAACCTCTTGATCAATAGCCAAATCTCCCAACCAACAGACCAAGACGATCTGCATGTAGCTCATTAGACGTTATAAGTTATCCGTACATTGAAACAAAATGGTCTAAATTAGAGATGAGATGATTCTAATAAGGATGTAAGCAAATAAGTGATATGTTAATACATTATGGATCAAACTAAAAAAAAAAAAAATTTCGGTTGATCCGATTAAATTTTAGGCCAGATTTAGATTTGAAATATTGACCCGATTAAATTTTGGATACCGTTCAAGTTGACCTAAAAAATCGAAATAGATAATTCAAATTGGTTGAGTTCAGGTTAAATTGGCCGGATTCGAATTGTATTTTAGATGAAATATTTTGAACCGTAAAAAAAATAAATAATATTCAACTAAAATATATTGAATTAGATCAGCTTCAGATCAAATCTTAATTCAACCCGCTAGCCTTAATTGACACCTGTCCATTATTAATATCATTCAATGACAAATCAAATATTAAATAAATAAATAAATCAATTCAATACCTCAAAAAAATTTATGATAAAATTTATTTTTATAAAAAAAAAAACCTCTCTGTGCAGGATCAAGTGCCACAATTGCTATTTCATCTTGAAAGATTTAAGATCTGTTTGGAATAAATTTTATGGTCTATGAAATAATAATCATAATTTTCATTTGATTATATTTTTTTCCCGGCTATTTTTATTAAAAAAAATATTATTTAATGAGAGAAAAGTTATTTTTTATTTTATTGTTACACCGAAAGGAAAAATTATTCTGTCAGGTTATCTGACGTAGAGCTACATCAGGTAGCCTATAATATGTCGCCACGTGCACTTACTCTTTACCGCGCGGCTCGATGACCCGACCCGGAACGGACCTGGGAGTTTGCGTAGCTTGATATTGCTAGGTATTGGTCGATTTTGCTCGACAAAAATGAAAAATACTATTATGTGAAGACCAATACCGAGCAATACCGATCATTACCGAGTTCAATACCGAGCAATACCGAGTTCTTTTAGGTATTACTCGGTATTGCTCGGTATTAGTCTTCACATAGTGATATTTCTCGTTATTGCCAAGCAATACCGAGTAATACCTAGCAATACCGAGCAAATACCGAGCAATACACGAACATAGTAATCCCGGATACGGTCCGAGTCGGATCATCGGGTCGCACGATAAAAAATAATTACACGTTGCGACATATTATAAGCTATAGCTCTACCGAATAATTTTTCCACCGAAAGCCACCTGTGCAGCGCGTACACAGCAGCTTCAAATTCCAGATGCGTTTCTCATGGCGAAACGGCGTTTCCCGCCGCTGGATGGTATATCGCGGTGGAGTTGATTGAATCCGCGGGAACGAGGTCGGGATCGGGCGAGGCATCTCAGAAACTTCTGGAAGGTATGGTGCTTCTCCAGGCACCGCAGCTTCGCATTCAGAGTTCCTTCGCTTTCCCTCTGTAAGAACAGAATTGTATCAATGCTTTCCTTTTATATAATTTTTATGTGTCATTTATTTAGAATTGGATCTTCTGTCTCTCGATTTTTATTTTTGAGAAATTTACAGTTTTTTTTTTTATTTGATGGTTGTTAAATTTTAGTGTTTTTTTAGAAGGTGGGAACGAATTTTTATGTAGAATCTGCTTTGGCTTCATCACTGTATCTCGGATTGCAATTAATTTTTGATTCTATATACATAATTTTAGCTTGCTCCTATTTTAGTCTTTTTATTGCTGTTAAACAAATTGTTCATTGTGATTCCTTTCAGCTAATAGTGTAAAAACCCTAAAATGCTTCTTCTCTGTGGTTCCAGTTTTAATTTATATTTCGCATGTCTCCATTGCCCTACAATTGACAGAGCTTCTTGAATCTTTCTGCTTACTGCTCGTTTAATTAATTATATTGATGTTGTTTAAAGTGCAGCTGAAGTGAAATTTTCCTGTAAAATGTTTTTTGTTTTTACATAATTTCTTGCATCGGTCTCCAATTATCATACAAACTTCACATTGTGGAACTAAAAATCCTGGCCATCCAGTGCGCTTGGAATGTCTAGGGTTGATTATAACAAAATATTTTGAAAACACTCTAATTAGATTGATTTCAAAGAAGCTTGTTGTATTCAATTATGGGCGGCCAATGTATGTAACCACATACTTTATAGGCACTTCTTACTCGGAGAGGATCCTTGTGAGAAGATGAGGAACACAGCGAACAAAGGAGAAGAAGGAGAAACATAACAGTAAAAATGTATTATTCATATGTAAAACTGAGTACATAAGGGAGTATATATATATAGCGCTGAGATAACAAATAATACTCGTCATATAGGCGACGTGGATGGGTTGCTAACAATCCTAACCCCTTCATCAAGATAGTAGTTCAACAATTTACAATTTGAATGATTTTTTACGGGCTGGAGATTATCGGCTTGCAGAGGATGATTTCATTCAAGCAAAGGATGTTTAACACATATATGACTAATATAGTTATGGGTGTGGAGCATGAAACGGTTCACCGTTGGTGCATATGTTGTCAGAGAATTGTTCATTAGAACAACAACAACAACAACAACATCAAGCCTTTATCCCACTACGTGGGGTCGGCTACATGAATCCTTTTTCTTCATTGTGTCCTATTAAAAGTCAAATTCTCGTTTAAATCGAATAAAGAAAGGTCATTCTTAATATTTTCTAACCAAGTCTTTTTAGGTCTACCCCTACCTTTCTTAACATAAGTCAAATCTAATACCTCTACTCTCCTAACCGGGTCATCGCAAGACCGCTGTTTTATGTTTTCAGAGAATTGTTCATTAGAAAAAGAAAGAAAAAAAAAAAACACATTTGAGATACTTTTTTGAGGGCCTGTTTGTTCAAACTATGGCTTTCAACATAACAGTTCGAACATTTTAAAAGGGGCTTTAGCACATTATAATTAATGGTAAGAAAGGTAATGACATTTGCTCTTTGATTGAAAAAACTGTGTTCTGGTTATACAATGTTCTTAAAATTATACCACTTGGAAGTTTTATTGTGAATGTCTTTACACTCAAAATTGACGAGAACAAAACAAAAAGATCTTATAATGCTTACATTGTTGCATGAATCTTAATTATTTCCTTTTGTTATGTTTATTGATAGTGATCTACATTTCATCACCTGTTTTCTCCTAATTGACAATCAACTTGCTTAGATTTTTTTATAGGGCCCATCTTAGTCCTTTAACTAACTCTTCCTTTTAGCCACTTCAAAGTTACTGTTCAGACCATTGTGCAGCATTTTTATTGAATGAAGGATGATATGATTGATATTGAAGATCAATTCTTACATTGCATCCACAACTTTATAATCACCCTCATGCAACAGCTAGAGTTCATTTGAAATTGCTTGATTTCATAATGTTATGGTATTTGATAGTTCATTTGATTTAATAAGGATTGAAGGTTCCGCTTTACATCACCTTCATTATGTTGGGATTTTTGCATGATGCCTCGTAACCATTTATTTGCATGATTGATTGTTTGGAAAATAAATTAGTTTTTTCTTAACAAAATGGATTAACTTGCTAAATAACTTTGTGTTGGTTTGCATTAAGGTTGTTTGGTTTGAACTATATGAAAGATCTCGTCCTATATTGACTACCAAAAACCGAACATTAAAGATGTGGCGCATTTACAATGGAAAGAAAAGTGTCTATTTAGAAATCCATATTATTTGACCCTTGTTTTGGTTCAATTCAACGGGCAAATTTACTCATATTGACTGTATAAATACCATAGCAATGCAATCAAAAGTTGAGAGAGATGCATAGATGAGTTTTGAGATTTTTTTGAGCAGTATACATGGTGTCTTGTTTGAGGTTCAGCAAACTATACAAAGATGGTTGCCTCTATCTGATATTTTGTTGATCCCAGTATATGATGCTTTTGAGCTGAACTTTTTAAGGCTTCATTTGGGACGACTTTCTTAAAGCAGCTTTCTAATAAAAAAATTAAAATATTTGTACTAAAAAGTTATTTTAAGAAGTAGTAAAAAAATCACCCAAGCCTAAATAATCTTAACAAAGTGAAGAATATTTTTTAGTCTATCAGTTTTTGTAGAGAATATGGAGTTCTTCAAAAAAAGAAGAGTGGTATATTCTAGTCTGGTTGGAGATAAAAAAATCTAGAGCAGACGCTTGCCTCGGAGTTTGTAGGTCTTAAATGGAGAGCAAGGGAATTGGCGGTCAGATTAAGATTCCTGCTGAAGGTTTCTGTTGGGCTAATTTACATGAGTCTGTAGTGCTGAGGAAAGTTGTTGATTCAGCACGCAAGCAAAAGGACTACCTCGGATTAAAGTAGTAGGCATTTGGGGAGACGCATCAAGCTGAAGATGAAGCATGCAGCCTCAACTCTTCTAGTCCATTTTTATGAAGATGGAGTCGCAAAAAGTCATCTTGGCGGTAAATACACATCAAGATTGAGATTTATGGGATATCTTTACATTTACGACAGTTTATTTCAATATTTTTTACTTATATTTAGAGCAATTGGATTAGCATTTTAGATAAATGAAATTGGTTTACCTTAGCATTAAGTACTTTTGTTTTGTTTTTTTTACGTAGCCTTCACTACATCTACTTTCATTTCTAATCCGTATTCTTAGTTGGAAAAAAATTTCTGCCTCTCAATATCATTAGCAACTTGAACTTGGATATGTACGTTTGCTTTATAAAGTCTCCTTTAAAAAAAAAAAATATATTCTTTGAACCTTTATATGGAATGCATCCGGCTTGACCCATATTTTCCGATTTCTTTGCATTTTATTGCCATCAATAGTAACTTCTATTTTTTTTGGCGAAAATGTAGGAGAAAATGTTCTAAAAAAGGAAAGAGAAGTTTCAGATGTTCTGTACAAGAGACCCCATGTAACAATGATGACGTATCTAGAAATCTTTTGTCCGGTTTTGCTGCTTCAATTATGTTCCTTTCTCTACCAAACCAGGTTATTAACAAGTTCATTCTTTATAAATTTTTGTTGTTAGGAAGGGGTTGGGTTGAGGGAGGTGGATTAGTTAAGAGTAAGAAATACTGAAGAAAAAGATAGCAGTCTTTAGTGGTGTTTTCTACTTAATGAATGGGAACATTCATACAAGACATTGGTTATCTGCTTTAACATTTGAAGACTTACATGGTATTTCCTATAAATTATAAAGTGTCAGCTGAGAGTGATGCAAAACGACTAAGAGTTATCTATTATGATTATTATGATGCATATTATATTTTCATGCAAAGAAAAATTGAAGATTCATAGATCACAAATGACCAATTATATCTAACACCTCACTTTCTTCAAATGAAAACAAGCTATATTTGTTAGTGCAATTGATAGTGAAATGGTCATAAATATCCATGAGTTTGAACATGAACTTGAAAAAAAATAACATCAGTGATCAAACTAATTAATTTTCACAAAATTATATTTCTGGCGTATTACGTTTTAACAAATCTAGAGCACTAATTTAGCCACTACCAATTATGTTTAAGAAATTGATATGAATGAATTACCAAATGCATGTACCGTTTCCTACAAAGAGGATTAAAATATATTCCTTGTGAGAGTTATTTTGCTATCATTATTGAGCTAAAAAAAAAAGATAGAAAAAGTCATTAAGAGTTCAATGAATGAAATCTTGTAAACTTACTACCAACACATCAAACTAGAAGAGAGGATTAGCAATTTTCTTTGTAAAGCCAAAAATCTTTTCCTGATTGTAGGGATCTTTTTTTTTTTTCCTGCTGGCCAGGTTGCTGCTTTGGAGTTATCTGGTCCTCAAAACTTTTTCCAGCTTGCAAATGCATTGGATAGCAGTGCCCTTTTTAAAGGTGATGAATCTCAAGATCAAGGAAGCCAAAAATTTTTTTTATTATTCTTTTGTTTTTTTTGTTTTGTTTTTTGTTTTAGATCAAGGAAGCCAAATGATGTTGATGATGAGGGGCATGACTGCCAAGAATTTTGATCCAGTTAGATATTCTGGAAGGTGGTTTGAAGTAGCTTCACTTAAACGTGGCTTTGCAGGCCAAGGACAGGAAGATTGCCATTGTACTCAGGTTATTGTTTTGATGTAATGAATTTTCCATCTTGAAACAATGATTACAGAAATCTCACATGTATATATGACTTTATTCCAGGGAGTATACTCCTTTGATGCTGAAACACTTTCCATTCAAGTTGATACATTTTGCGTTCATGGCGGCCCTGATGGCTATATAACTGGTATTAGAGGAAAAGTCCAATGTCTTTCATTGGAGAACATGGAGAAAGCTGAAACTGATTTGGAGATGACAGAAATGATTAAAGAGAAATGCTTCCTTCGCTTTCCAACTTTACCTTTCATACCGAAAGAACCATACGATGTGATTGCAACAGATTATGATAATTTTGCTCTTGTTTCTGGGGCTAAAGACAGAAGTTTTGTTCAGGTACAACTATATCATCTAAGGATTCGTTTGGGACATCTTTTTTGCTACTTTATAAAACTATTTTTTAGCAAGAAATTTTTGTACTAGAAATTTGTTTTTGAAAACAGCAAAGAAGTTGTCCCAAACAAAACCTAAATCTATCTCAAAATTTGATTTCTGACTCAATTTTTTTTTTCTTTTTCTTACCTATCTTACATTCAAATCATTGAATGCTAACTTGTGAGAGACTTCACAACAGATTTATTCAAGGAGACCTGACCCTGGAGCGGACTTCATCAACAAGTACAAATTATATTTGGCAGATTTAGGCTATGATCCAAATAAGATCAAAGATACTCCTCAGGACTGCCAAGTTATGTCCTCTGCTCAGCTTGCTTTGATGATGTCACGTACAGGAATGAAGGAGGCTCTGACAAACCAATTTCCAGATCTGGGGCTGACAGGACTAGCAATTAACCCATTCACAAGCATTTTTGATACTCTTAGAAAGCTTCTTCAACTGTATTTCAAGTAAAACTTTATCAAGTAATCTGATAGTATAGTAGGGTTTGAATGCAAGAAATATGGAACAAGCCTATGAATTTGTTCAGATTTCTGTATTTTTTTTTTTTACTATGAATTCCCAATTTATGGGTAACTGCAAAAATTCAGAAGAGTGATGCCTTTTGATTATAATTGGACAAAATTGCCTCATAATATGGTTAAGGTCATTAAAGTTTCGTTTGGAACGGTTTTTTTACTATTTCTTAAAACAATTTTATAGCATAAAAATTAGGAAGCCGTCTCAAATGAAGCCTAAATGTTTGATTTTGCTGAGTTTCGAAATAAATTTAATTATTTTTTATCAGAATATTTTAACCTTTTTTTCTTCAAAAACCTTTTAAGAAAGTCAAAATCAATAGGAACCAAAAAATGCTAGAATTTTGCCAATGCAAACGCAATTATCTAGCCTTTAAAGGTTGGCAATTTTGGGGAAACTCCAATCCTTATTTATCTTGCCATGATCTCTTCTAGGAAAATTATAGATGATTTAATCTTTGTTTTCTTCTTCTTTGTTTGTGATAATTTTATTTTTTAGATTGCAATCATAATTTTTATTTGAATATTGTTATCTTTTTGCATTTTAAAAAAAATTATACTAAAAAATTATTTTGTAAAATAGTTTTAAAAATTTATTTTTTATACTATAATTTTACAAAATAGTAAGAAAGTTTTTATCGTTATTTTTTAGTTCATGGTTAGAAACATAGAAATACTTGAAGGTTTTATCAGCACTTTTAATTATTTTAACCAAAATTTACATCTATTTACATGAATAATTTTTAGATTATGAGATTCGCTTTTGATAATTGCTCCACTCTTCTAGCCTTACGCCAGCATGTGATTCCTTTCATTAAATATGCAATTCATCTTCATCTGCTAGTTGAGAGTTTTGACTATTAGTCAAAATTTTTTAAATTTGAAGCTTCCATATGTCATTTGTGTGTGAATTTATCTTCACTAGCTCAAAAGTTTTAAAAAAAATCCCTTACCTTACGAATCCATAAATATTTCCAAAGAAAAAAAAAATTTAAATTAACCTTAACTTCGTAAGCTACACTTGTTTGCTTCAAAATAAAAATATTTATTTGTTAAAATAATGAAAATTCAAAATTGTTAAATTTATTGTTTGTTTGAATGCACTTAAAGATTAATATCAATACTAGTTTTACAAAATGAATAAAATGTAAAATGAATAAAAACATAATTTTCAAATATGCTTCTTATCTTCAATCAACCATTTGAAAAACTATTATTAATTCAATCTATCACACACACACAAATATATATATATATAAATAAAAGTTTTTTTTCTAAAGATAATTGAGTGCAGTTTAATTACTGTTTTTTAAAGCAGTTTTTAGATAAAAAATTTCTAATTTAAAAAAAAAATTTATATTATAACATAAAGCAATAAAAAAGTTGTCCAGATCTCATAATTTTGATGCCTCTTCTAGACATGGAAACACAACCAAGCTAGGGAAAAAAACAAGAGAAATTCAGATCATGTCTAGACAACATAGACAAGCAGGATTTCACATCTTTTCAATACAGTGTAAATCATATAAACAAAAGCAACAATATTGTAGAAAGCTAATTTCAACATTTGCTCATACTTTCTTCCAAAGATAGCAAATTATTTGAACTCAGACATCAGCTGAATGATGGTAAATATTGTTCCTCCCGACTTTCAGTTGGAGCAAACATCGGCTCTCCGAATCTCTTCTCGCGGCTGCAAATGTTCCTGAAGTTAGCTAGCACGTAATGTACACATGAAAAGCATCAATGATTCATTTTTTCTTTACTTTTTTCTCGCGACTCAAGTTACGACCTCAAGCACGATTTTCGTTTTCCCTTTTCCTCCTCTCTCGTCCCCAAACGAAGACGGCCCGTGCAGATATTTATATATTCTAAACTCTAAAGACCAGGTTATTTGCATTCTTAATTTTAATTTTACAGCTCCTATTAGCTCCGGTAATGAGATGAAAAATGAAATTATTTTAATATATTCTAACCTTTCAAATGAGACGGAAAATATAACTATTTTAATTTAGACGGTCCTGAACAAAATTTCTGGCCCGATCTAAAATTAGAAGAAAAGTTTGCCTAAATCTTAAGCGAAAGAAAAGCAAAACTGAGAGGATTATACAATCACCTTCTGTGGTGTTTCAGGGCCAACCTTCGCCCGGTTCCGGCCGAGACGCCTTCGAATGGCGCACAAAGAGGACGCAATCCTCCCCATAGAACGGATGAAGGAAGAAACGTCGATTTCATCGAAGGAAGATGATTCGTGGAGATGAATGGAGCAAGGAATGGAAGCCATGGCTAGGTTTCTTTCTGCGGGAAGGGAGAGAGAAAAGAGAGATTAATTAAAATGTTTATTTTTTATAAATAAAAAATGGAGATCTTTTTTTAGATAAATGTCCAAATTATGAGGTGATTAAGCGAAGATTGCGACGCGATTACAATTGGATACGTGTCAATCTTTTAGTGGTGGGTGTGAAAACAGGTGGGAAGAACTGCCAAGACCGTTAGAACAAATCCGAGATCAAAATCTTCTTTGTCGGTAACTGTAGAGATATGATTGGTATGATGTACATGAAAAATATGATGGCATGTTTATGATGTATGTGATGATATCTGTGCCTCAAACTGAAGATCCTCCATCAAGATTTATAAAATCATTTATAATATATTATTAAAATTTACAATATATTATGAAAATGAAAATTTAAAAGAGAAAAAAGTAACTAAAATAAATTTTTTAATTTTTTATAGTATCATTTATTAAAAAAAAACAAAAGATATAAAATATTATTTACCAAAAAAAGGGGAAAAAAAGTCAAGTCATTAGTTGCGCTAATGATTGTTTTTTTTTTGTCTTTTCAAGTTTTCTTTTTACGTTTTTTAAGTATAATATATATTTAAGTTGATAATCTTACTTATTTATAATATCATTTATTAAAAACAAATAGTTAAAAAAAAATGCAGAAACTGTTAAAATAATGCCAATTTGTTTTTCTTTTTAATTAAAAAAATTTAAAAACAAATAATTAAAAAAAGTTAAATAAATTTAAAAAAAAACTGTAGAAAGTTTTATTTTTTTTTTCGTTTTTTATAAATACTATATGTTTAAGTTTATAATTTTACTTGTTTATAATATCTTTAATAAAAAAAAAGAAAACTTAAAAAGAGAAAAAATAAATAGTTAAATTAAAATTTATTTGTCTCATACTCGATCCACATAACCAGCTAAATGCGTGCTAGATAGGCGACCAGAGTCACATGCTCGATCCATATAATCGGCCAAATGATATTATTATAACAAAAAAAAGTTAACAAAAAATTGAAAAAATAGAAGTAAAAATTCCATCCATTGATTGATATGTGGGGCCACAACCAGAATTTCAAGCCATAAATATTCTACAATTACTACTTATTGAGGTTAAGAAAAGTTGCAGAGATATTCAAGTGAAAGGAAAGGCTCAACCACCTCTCACAATCACTACAGTTGTCCAGACCAAAGAAAATTAGTTGGTTCAGTCACTGGATCTAAATTTGCGTATAGATCACTGCTCTTTTCATGCGCTTTTATTATGCTTTCGATGTATTTTTGTAAAAGGGCAGCTAATACATAATTTTAATTGCATATTATCTGCCCTTTTACTATCCTTTTGATGCGCTTTTATCCTTTTACTGAGTATTTACAAAGCACATCAAAAGGGCAGCAAATACTCAACGAGTAAGATATTTGTTGCGCTTTTGCTACACTTTTGCTTTGTTTTTGCAAATACTCAACAAAAAAAACAACTAATTTGTAATTAAAATTATGTATTAGCTGACCTTTTGTAAAAAATATATCAAAAGCGTAGTAAAGGCACATGAAAAGCGCATGGAATCTGAACACTTAGGTCCGGTGATCGGACCTAATAATTTCCCCCAGACCAATTAAGCAAGAAAAAACCTTCAATTTCCAAAGCCCATCCACAAAGAAATCAAATCAAGCAATCTTAGCTCACAAATATTTTAAATATTCAATTCAGATTTTGTTCTGAATTATGCTATATTATTATTATATTCTTAATATTTTTATGCTGTATTCACTGCATTGGAGAGCTCCTGAAGCTGTCATAAAAATGGCTTCCCCATTGGAGATTGGAGCACAAGGAACCATTGGCTCCCTCATCTCACATGAGGTTGAATACTTCAGGAAAGTAGATCTTGGTGATTGGAAAAGTTCACAGCGCATCAAATCTTCTCCTTCTTCTTCAGAAAGCAACAGCTTCAAACTGAAGAAGGAATCTGATTCCAACAATGCGAAGAAGAAGAAGAAGAAGAAGAAGGAGAAGAAGAAAGTTAAAGAAGGGAAATATTTTCCTTCCATCTGTTCAGCAATTGAAATATCTGAAAATACTTCCAGAAAAGAAAGCAGGATTTTTCTACAGAAGTAGGCGATGTGTTTATGAATTGCGTTTGAAGAATCAGACTTCAGACGTATAAGGAAGTAAGCATTTTTATTTCTTCATTGTTTTTGATGAATTGCAGGCTTCAGGTAGATGAGTTCAGGGAAGAAAAAGTTTATCAATAAGATTTGGAATAATGAATTCAGATCTGACAGGGAAGACCATAGATGCACAACTTCTTTATTTCTTTCATTTAGCGTTTATAAATTTGTATCATTTGAGTTGATCATAAAAAATTTCTTGTGCTCTAGTTAAAGTACCATCATGTAACTAAACTCAGGCTTTGTTTGAGATAGCTTTTTTACTGTTTTTTAAAATAATTTTTTCGTACTAAAAAGCTACTTTAAGAAACTGTAAAAAAACCGTTCTAAACGAAGCCTTTGCTTTAATTAGCTTATTCTTAGCCTCAGCCAGACAGGCCTTCGGATTCATTATGAACAATGGCTAGCAAATGCAAGAGCTCGGTCAATAATGCTTAGCAAAATTTTGAAATGAATTGAGCAAATTTTTTCTCCTCTATTGTATAGTGCATCATCATACATTTCAAGAAGAGGAATTAATAATGGTGATGAGAAGACCAATTCTTTCTCATATTTAAATATTTTGGCAAACTTTCAAAAATTTTCTCAACTAACACTCATATTTAAATTTATAAGCTTAATTCCCTCTTTTTAATTATAATTTGAGTAGCATAATAGTATTTTAACAACAATAAATATTGATATAAAATAATATTTAATTTTCATAAAATCTTTGATGCGAATATTATTGAAAATAAAATATAGATTCACTTTTAACATAACACTATAATTGATAGAGTTTAACAGATCAATCGTATTGTATTGGAATCTGCTTGTTCTCGAAAGCTGAAAGATTTCTTCATTATTGTAGTTGCTGAAGCTTCTGCTCTTGCCAACTCAAGCACTGTAGGCTCCGCCATTAATTTCATTCTCAAAGAAGGGGAAGCACATTAAGCCTCCCTCAAGCTTCCATCATCACCATCATTGCTGCTGCCTTCGCTACTACCTCCATTGTAGTGCCCATCCTTTATTTAATCAAATGAGTCCTATTAAATCTATGAACTAGAGACTATCAAACAGCTCAAAATTAAGTGTAAGATTGACTAAGGCTTCATTTAGGACGACTTTTTTGCTGCTTCTTAAAGCAACTTTCTAGTATAAAAATTAAAGTTTGTCTTAAAAAGTTGCTTTAAGAAGCAGTAAGAAATCATTCCCAAACAAAACTTTAATGACATATAAAAAGAATAGAGTTAACAATGCAAATCAAATGAGTCCTAACAAATCTATGAACAAGAGACTATCAAACAGCTCAAAATGAAGTGTAAGATTGACTAAGGCTTCATTTGGGACTGTTTTTTTGCTGCTTCTTAAAGCAGCTTTTTAGTATAAAAATCAAAATTTTTATCTTAAAAAGCTGCTTTAAGAAGCAATAAGAAATCCTTCCCAAACAAAGCTTTAATGACATATAAAAAAAATAGAGTTAACAATGCATTTTTTTTACCTCTAGAAAGGGAAATAATAAGATGCAGGTCATGAGTGTAATCAATCAAGGGATGCTCAATTGAATCCATTAATATGATGGGAGCCATTGTTATGTGAGGAGAGGATGAGGAGAATATAATTGTAAAATTTAAGGTAAGTAAATGAGCCTTTGTTGGAAAAAGAATAAGGGGGAGAAATCGTGAGGAGAGAAGAGAGAAATATTATAGTCTCATATAAGATTGCATCAATGAAAATATATAATAATCGTGTAAGTGAATCATCACACTGATGACCTTGTATCATAATACCCAAGAAAGTTATATTGAGTAATAAGGAGAGAAGCGAGGTGCATTAACGAAGGAAGGACAACACAAAAACTATAAAATTTATCCAATTATGTGGAGAAAGGAGAAAAGTTTATGATGACTTCTCATCTTGATGTTCAATTCTTTGTAGTCCATACAAGTTCAAGTCCTTTGTTGATTGTTCATTTTTTCCCCTGTCATTGTCCACACCTAGGTCCCAAGTTCATCTAAAATTTCGGCAACCTCCCAACATCTCTGCCTTTTAGGATAAATCTGAGAGCATGGGCCATCCCACCACACTGCGAAGAACGTGTATAATAGGTGTAAGACGACATCGCAACCATGAATCTTCAACCCCCAACACACTACAAAGAGTGCACATGGATCTTCAAGGTACCTGTTTGAGAACAGTCTTTCACCTTAAATTTGTCCGCGCGACCCTACAAAAAGAGTGTGTACAAAACCTACACACATCGCCGTAAACATAACACCGAGCTCCCTCCCCACCATATTATGAAGAGTAGGGGTGACAATTCGGGTCAACGGGTCAGGTTCGGGTCGAACCCGAAACTGACACGGCGCTGTTTGGGCCAACCCGAACCCGACTCGATTCGGGTACAGGTCAACCCGATCCGACACGAATGACACGAAGTTGACCTAAAATTGCTAGTTTTCGAGTCAAAAATTGGGTCAATCTTCGATTTTAGGGTAAAAAATGGGTCAATCTCGGGTTTTCGAGTCAAATAGGAATTCTTGTGTCAATTTCGGATCATTTTCGAGTTACTGGGTCAAACCGAACCGACCCAATTTTTAAAACGGGTTGATTTGTTGAACCAGAACCCAACCTATTTTAAGTCCAGGTTGACCTTAACCCGAATTTTTTTGGGTCAAGTTCGGGTTGTGTTTTAGCTCGTATAAAAAATTGACACCCCTAATGAAGTGCGTATATAATGTCTATAGTGGATTCCCCGGTGCACTCCGAGCGCCAAAAGTGGGATTTGGGTTTAGACCTTCACGAGGAAATGCTAAAGGCAATGTCGGTGTGATTACAGCAAAAATGCACAAGATATAAGAATTTAAAATTTTTTCTATTCTCTCTCATTTTCTAATAGAGAGAGAGAGAGAGAGTGAGAGAGAGAGAACTATTACATGTTTTGCTGACTTGTAAGAAAACCTACACATAATTTAATGCAATAATGAAATAAATAAACCAAAACAAACCTAAGCAAAATATTCAATAATGAGGATATCTACCAAAATCTTCTTCCATAAATAGAAGGTTACTAATCAACTACAAAATATCCCAAACAGTGTCAAACAAGCGAATTCACCATATCATATGTGGATTCAACCCCTCTCAAATCTTTACACTAGCAAAAACTCCATGCATGACATAGCTCATTTGCTTTAGTTGTAAAAAAGCTAGATTTCCACATTACCACAAAGAAACACCGAAAAAAAAGCCTGTATCATTCAGATTTCACAGCCTGAAGATCTCACTGGTTGCCAGCCTGATAAATAAGAGCACTTTATTTGGCTATATTTTAAACCATAAAATTCAAGTCCACAAGAAATAACTCAAAATGGAGAAATTATAATGTGCAGATGCCAAACACGGTTCACCGTCCGGAGACAAATCAAAATGAGCCATGTCAGTAGTACCGAGCGTGCATTCTGGTTGGTCTCGGGACAGCGTTCGGCGTCCGCACAGAATAATTTGCCCTCAGAATGGCAACAAAACACTAAAAAAAAATTCATATGCAGAACAGAGCACTAAAATCACCATCAAACAATAAATAGCATATAAAAGGAAAGAAACATAGACCTGAAGAATCCTACTACCGATATTCATTAATAATTCTACAATTTACATATTTACATGGATAAATAATAACACAGCAACCCCAGAAGTGCGCAAAAAACCTGAGGCAGCTCCTGCTACAGCTATTGACTGCTTCTAAGTAAATGAAGATGTTACAGGAAATACTACAAAAAACGATTAGCTCTTGATATGCTTGTAACATTTACATCTGCTGAAGAGCAATCATGTTTTCCATTAAAATTTATTGCTACAACTGACCCAAGCGCTCCTGCCAAATACATAAATAACATAATAGAATGTCAACATATATGGCTGTTGAAAATGCATGGCAGAGAAAGAAAACGCAAAATAATTAAACACAATATAACTCATCAATGCTATATCCGTCGTGCGTTAAAATTGCACGTCATTTTCATGGGAACGCTCGCTGAGATGGAAAAATAAAACAAGTTTGGTGGGATGAAAGTTGGCAGTAGAGGTCAACAAGTTTATTTGATAGCCAAATCTAGTTGGGTAAAAAGCTTGATTCAGGCAAGGTTTTGCCATGTCAAAGGATGAGTATAGATTGATAATTCAGTCAAAAAGTGCAAATGATAGAGCATATGTTATAAAAAGCATATTATGCAGAAGATTTGAATCTTTAAATGCAAACATGATATGCAATGGAGTTGGGTTAGACTGGCTTGATGGTTTAATTAAAAACTATACTTACCAATAAGTAAATTGAATTTCATTTGGGAAGGCTTTTTTGTTGCTTCTTAAATCAGCTTTTTAGTATAAAAATTTTAATTTTTGTACTAAAAAATTACTTTAAGAAGCAATAAAAAAGCCATCCCAAACGAAGCCTGAATTTACAGTTGGGAAATAAAAAAGCGAAGTCCAATAAAAACACTTAAACATAATGCCTACCCAAGCAGGTCGGGTTCAGCTTACTCTGGAAACCCAGTTAAGAAGTGAATCAAGCCAAAATTGGATAGCTATTATGCATTATAACAATTAATATAAATATTGGACATAAATAAAAAATATTTGATGTTTGGGAGGGAAGAAAGGGAGAGGCAACCTAAAAAGTAGAAGTCTTTTGAATTTCCTTTATATGTTTTGGTGGCAAGTCCACATTTTTTCCTTGACATATATTATTATTAAGCAGCATTCATCTCCAACTGCCATCTTCACCATTCTGACAACCGCTTTCCAAAGGCCTCGTGAACACCCAGGAAATGTAGCTAGAAAGCCCAATTCTATGAAGTTGTGTGATGTGGATGCAGAGGCGGAGCAAGAAATTTTGTTCGGGGGGGGGTTTAATAATTAATATTAAATAATAAATAGTTAGTTTATGATAAAAGTTTTAATAAAATCATATTTAAATAGTTAAATATTTTACATAAAAATTAATCAAATAGCCCTGCAACTCTAGGTCAAAATCTCTTTTCATCATTCTTTCCACATTGGAAAGTCATTCCTCCCTCTCCCACATGGATGCCTTAGGGTCTAAGGGTTTATTAATTCGAATATAAGATGAGATGCTAAAAAAACGCTTAAAATATCAAAATTCACATTTTTCAACTTTAATTTAAGCAAAGAACAATATATTTAAGGAAAAAAGGGATAAATATATTTTGATGCAAGATCAAAAAAATGTTCAACACAAACAAAAATTAAAAGCTGCAAAATCCAAATTTTCACAAGAAATCCAACAAAGAATATAAAATTTGAGATTGACTGAAATTCATACAATTAAAAAAATCTTAATGTATCAAATGTGGCAGTCTCAAAAACAAACAAACCAATCATTTTACAATTTAGAAGGAAAAACAAGAAAAAAAAGGAATTGTAAGATCGTATCGCTATAAGATCTATAATTTACTAAACCATACGCTAAATTTTACATTTCTAAGAGTCAATTCTCTATTTAAACAAAGGCTGATCCATGGTTCGTCTTTTATATGTGGTTTTTACAGGCTGTAAAGATTTTCCAAATTTGCAACAATGCGGCAGTGCTTGATTGTCAATACTTTGTCATTTAGAGAATGGACTGCAATCTTTAGTTGATGGAAGTGACTTTTAATTATTTGAGTAATTATAAACAAACAACAACAACAACAACAATAAGCCTTTGTCCCACTACGTGGGGTCGGCTACATGAATCCTTTTTCGCCATTGTGTCCTGTTAAAAGTCAAATTCTCATTTAAATCTAACAAAGAAAGATCATTTCTAACATTTTCTAACCAAGCCTTTTTAGGTCGACGTCTACCTTTCTTAACATAAGTCAAATCTAATACCTCAACTTTCCTAATAGGTTCAACGAAAAACCTCTGTTTAATGTGACCAAACCATCTAAGGCTCTCTCTAATCTTATCTTCCACTAGAGCTACTCCAACCATTTCACGTATATGCTCATTTCGTATCCGATTTCTAAGGGTAAAAACCACTCATCCACCAGAGAATCCTCATGTTTGCAACACTTAACTTAGTATTATGCTTCTTTTTTAAAGGCCAACATTCGACACCATAAAGCACTGCAGGTCTCACAACCATTTTATAGAATTTTCACTTAAGTTTGAGGGGAACTTTTCTATCGCGCAACAAGCCCGATGCAATCCTCCACTTTAACCATCCAACTTGAATTCTGTTGATAATATCCCATCTATTTCACCATCACTTTGAACAATAAATCCAAGATATCTAAAACGTGTACTCTTATTAACAACAAATTAAAATCTCAAAATGATCCTTAGAATTTTTGTGGGCAATCTTAGACGATTGAATGTGTCTAATTTATCCCTTAACTCTTCAAACTTTATCCAAACTAATCTCACCGTTAGAATATGGGTAAATAGATGGATAGTTCCCACGGAGATAGAATTATAGGGAATAGCTATCTTTTGTGTTTTTCTATAGCTTCTCAAATTTTTTTCTTACCATAATCACTAAATTTCATTTCTAACTCAACTTTGCTACTGAATGAGAAGAGCTAGAGAACGGAGACTGGAGGTGTGCATAAAGAATAAATAATGGAGATCATGATGACTAGCAGACGAAGAATGAAGATGGTGATAAGCAGTGCAATGAAAATAGGATCACTGAGAAAGGTTATTGTGACTAGAAGAAGCCGAGGCTTGTAAGAGGAAAAAAATAAACTTCTCAGGTCCTTCTCCATCTTAGTTGCTTGAGGATTAATGTTCATTCGTCATACTCCACATAAATCATCCTTCTCGAATTAGCACCCAGTCATGCTACACATTAAGCTTCTATTAGACCTCACTAGTGCAGATACTTGTCAATCTCAAATAGTTGGAGGACAGCCTCACTTAAACAAAGGGTTAGATTTAATAACAATAAAAATAAAAATTTGAACACCTTATTAAATAGTATAAAGTTGTTCAACAGATTTGATCTCCCAGCAACATCTCCTGATACAAGAAATTTAACCGTGAAACTAATTTGGGCCAATTTAGAAGGATTAAGAGATTAAATTGAGAACATTTATTAGTTTCGAACAAAAATGCCCCTAAAATAAAAGTTTAAAGACCAATTTAGACTTTTCTCATAAAAGGTGGTTTGAGGCATGTAAACAATTGTTGGTTGCTTAAAAAATTTCTACTTAGATGTGCAACTCCTTTTTCTTTGAAGAATCAATTCCTTAAATCAAGTGAAATAATTAAAGAATTATGATAAATAATATCTCTTTGTACATGAGTGCTTTCTTTTCAAGTGAATTATTTTCCTTTTGTTTCAATTCACCTTTTCTTCTTTTTTATTTTTAGTTTCAAAGTAGGATTATCTTCAATCATATTTACTAAAATTTAATTCATACTGAGATTTCTATCGTGCTTTCAATGTCATCAACATAGTCATTATTTTTTTGAGTTAATAGCTTCCATCCTATAAATTTGGTATGTTTGTTGCATGATTGTTTTACATCTAATGTTAAATTTAGATTAGAAAACCTATACCCTAAGAAATCCTAAATCAAAATCACTACTAATTGTAAAAACAATAAAATAAAGCAGGTATAAGCTTTGCAGCATTGGAACTAATTGAAAAGCTCCACGAAAAGGTAGAGGTTAAGCATTATGAACGTGGTGTCCAGTAGAATTGCAACAAGCCAGATTCTGACATGCTGCTTCTTTCCAAACAATCTAACCCAAATTATAAAAGCCAGTTAGACATGCAGCTACTCATCTAGCGTTATAAACCAAGCTGTTAGATTAGGTGTTGTAGAAATTAATGTAACCACCGAAGTTAGTGAAATTCTACAATCCAGCACATTAATAATCTACTCAAGCTATATTGGTGACACAAGGCGGGAACAATTCATCAAATTGACAAGCTAAAGTTATAACCTGTTTGCAAAAGATCCGCAACTTCATTTTTTTTTTATAGACTAACTAGAAGATTCAAATGAGAATTGATCTTAACAGGACAATGGAGGAAAATGATTTATGTAGCCATCCCCACGTAGTGGATAAAGGCTTGATGCGTTGTTATTGTATGGTTCAACCAGGAGATTCAACATGCGGACAAGATATAGAAGTTCATAAATAAAACTGCATGGATTTCAACCAGTGGCATATGTGTGCATTCAGTTACAATGAAAAAATTAGCTTCTCTCAATTCCTAGCTGCAAATAAAAGACAAAAAAATACCAAACCAAACATAAACTAGATCATCCATTAATCCAACAATTTAGAGTGAAAAGAGCAGTTTGCTTCACAAAGCCCTTTCTTCTTCCAAACCTTAAATAAGCCAGTGACCTCAACTACTTTGTCTTCCATTTCCTTCACTTCAAACCTTCTTCATCATTCAAGTCCAGTCAGTTGAGCATTAATGCACCCTAATTGCAAAAAAGTCAATTTCTGGTAGTACATCTAATGAGGTTAAAAAATTAGGCCCCTCTCCTAAAATAAATGAAGAACATATACAGTACAGAATAATACAAAGGCCGAGTCAAAAATAAAAATAAAATAAAATAAACATTAAAATAATACTTCCACATTCATTATAACAAACTTTGAAGCCTAATTGCCAAGCGAAATATTATTTATTAAGAAAATAAAGATAATATAATTTGCACTTTAAAAATGAAATTAGAGTAAGTCTTGAAAAGCACTAAAGTTATACTAGATGGCAAGTCTCAATCCATATTTCAAACCTGAAGCATCTGCATTAATTTTGGATGCTGCTCCAGCAGTTGGCAGAGTTTATCTCGATCACTCAACAATGACTGCCAAACAAAAGACAAAAAAAATATTTATCAGTAAGATTTATCCCAATTATTAGGGTAATTGGGTTAAGATTACATTATCGACAATCAATTAATCACGCAAGGGAATATCAGTTCATGCATTTGAAATTAAAATGTTTCTGACACCAATTTGGGCTCACACCCAACACCACGTTGAGATCAAAATGCATTAGATGTTGAGAAATACATGCACATTGAGCTCCAGGCTTTGGATGTGAACTCAGAGTAAACGTGAAAGCATTTATCTTCGGATATCATAGAAGGGAATTAAAATTCCTACCTGAATGGCTTCTGGAGAAGAAAAGTATTGCTGTAATGTCATCCCTGAATCCTTTTGCTGCTGAGCTATATTTTCAGACTCTTGAATTGAATTTCTCATCTGTGCTGCAAGGGGAATTTGAACAGGATGTGGCATGTGTTCTTGCTGAGGTGATGGATAAAAAATTTGTAATTGAGGGAGCTGCTGTTGAATATGGACGGGCTGCATTTGAACTTGAATAGTCCCTTGAGGAAGAGACATCACTTGATCGAACTGTGGCTGTGGAACCTGAATAGGAAGCCCAAGGTTCTGAGAAGGATGAGGCGCACGTGGCTGAGGTGGCGGCGGCAGTGGTGGTTGCACTGGAATAGACTGGAGGGAAAGTGGAGGATTCGGCACACCAGGCTGGGAGATGCTAGTAGGGTTCTGACCATGTGGCTGAGGAGGTGAACCAAAAAATGTTCCAGCAGCAGCTGGTCTATTGTTCAGCATTGCTGGTGCCAATGGAGGTAGTGAATAAGAAAGGCCAGCGCCTGAAGCAGAGAAGATTCCTAAATCAGTAATAGGAGTAGAAAGTTGAGGAACCTGGCCTGCATTTGTGGATTGCAAATATAATGAAGTTTGGGAGCTAAAATTGGACGTTGATTGAGCTAGTGGTGTGGAGAACGGAGGTGGTGTAGGAGGAAGTGGCGGTGTTGGCCGTGCAGAAGTATTGCTTCTGCTAGGTGAGTCCGAATTCCAAGAAAGTTTGTTATCAGCAAGAGGTTGAGCAGTTAGTGACACTAAAGAGCTCACTGATGATGCATTCTCTGACTGGCCCTGTGTGATTCAAAAGGAATTCAGCTGTAAATAAAAGAAGCAAAGGGAATGCATAAAGGACAGAATGTAACATAAAAGGATCTATTACTCTTACATGAAGATTTGTTGAACCATTGGCATTAAAAGTTTGCACTGGATATCCTGAAATAAAGGGCGGCTGCATTTCTCTTACATTAGGAATATAATGGGATGAAAGGCCTTGCACAAGTTCAATACCTGGGGTTGGCATGGTAGAGACAGTTGGATGAGGCATAGGGGGGAGGGGTGGTTGATTGATAGGGAGCTTGTGTTCATAATATCCAAAAGATCCAGAAGGCAAAGAGCCCAGAGTAGCTTTTTGTGAGCTATCCCTCTGAAGAAAGGTAGGTCCACGCAATGGCTGAAAGGTTGTTGTAGAGCTGGAATTTAACAAACTTGATGGGCCAGAAGTGGCTGCATTTGGGAGAATATCAAATCCTCTAGAACCCATGGGCTGCGATACATTCTTTGATTCATCAGAATTCTGTGAAAAGGACCTTGTGTCTGCAGTAGTCAATGCAACAGTTCTATCTGAAGAAACACGCATATCTGGAGCTACTGGTATTTCAGTTGGCATAGTTCTCTTCAAGCTAGTTTCTGAGCGTGACTCAATGTCTTCAAGCTGAGTGCCATCATTTACGTCACCGTCAGTCTCCTCAACGACAGAACCAGGAGAACTTTCCCCAACTAGAGGGGTAGACTGCAGATTTTCATCAAGTTGAGGAAACGGTAGTCTATCTTCGGATCCTGAATCCTCATCAAACACTATATCAATACCTTGAAGGTCATCATCAAAATCAGCCTTTAACTGCTGTGACTTGTCCAGTTTACTATTATCATTTTGATTCTCATGTGTTGTTTGCCTGACTAGTGTTGTCTCCCCAACAGTGACAAATACTGGACTTTGACGCTCCCTCTGCCTCGCTATAAACTCATCTACATGAATAGATGGAGGTCTCCCACTTGACCCACCACGCTGTGAAGAACCCACATGAGAACTACTATTTAAGCCATCAATATTTCTCTCTCTAGCAACATAATCATCCACATGCATGGAGGGTGGTCTACTTGTATTGGGCTTGCGTTGTCGAAATGTATCCCTTCGACTAGGGGCAGATGGATTGGCAGGGGTGGTAACCGCTCGCAAAAATGCATTTGAGCCAGGAGCCTCTGGTGCTAAACTGTCACGAGAGCGTTTAGCAGACATTTCAGTTGAAACTATTTTTCTCTTTCCAGTAGAACTTGGTATACGCTCTGATGAAGAATCGGGACATTCCCACATGAATTTTTCTGAAAGGCATCCTAGGGCAAATAATTCATTCTCTCCTTCCTTGTTCCAATTGAAATTCCAAATATGAGAAAATGCAGCTTCATCATCATTAGCAATCATGTCTGACAATGAAATCAATAAGGTTTTGATGTTACAGGGTGAGTTTCCATCACTTGATGAATGGGAACCTTCACATGAAATATCCTCCGGTTTAACTGGTGAAACGAAGGGAATCTCCAACAGAAGCAGCATGGACTTCACTAATTTCCTAACCTGTAGGAATAGGAAGACTTTGTTCGGATACACAGTTTCAGGAACTATATTAAACACTTGAGAAGTATTTACTTAAATACCTTGTGCAAATCCAAATTCATAGCTGAAAATGTAAAGTTTTCCTTGCTAATTTTCTGCTCAAACAAAATTACCAACTTAAGTACATCTTGTGACTTTTCATCAGTCGACATTGCAGCATCAGGCAAAGTATCAGGGAGGCCAAAGAGACACCTCACCATTGAAACACCCGCAAAACTATCAAAACAAATAGAATACTCATGAATTAAAAAAAAAAAAAAAGAGAGAATGCAACATATTAGTTGCAAAAAACAAAATACAGCAAGCTAAATTTTAAATAATTAGTTAACACTGGAGACAACCATCCGTGCCAACTGTGAATTGTGCAGACAAAAAAAATCTACACGAACTCCCTATTAAAGTCTAAAATTTCACATTTGAGGTGCCATGACTTTTCTCCAAGTATGAAGGAAGCCCGAGAAAGTTGGAAGAGTAATAGCACATCATTTTTAGGTTCAATTTGCTAAGTGCTCCTCAAATGTCAACAACATTCTGTTAAACTGAAAATAATATATCTTATGTCATCTTTTCATCAGGTAAAGAAGAAAAGAATAGTACAAACATCGATTTACTCTACACCTAAAAAAGGGGGATCTCTTCAGGAGCTTTTAGTTCCATTATTCATCTCAACAAAGTACCAAGAATTACAGAATTAAATTATGTTACACCATTCTTTTGTAAGAAAATCTTGAAAATGTTTCAGTGATGATAAATACAAAAAGGAACATGCATTAATATATCATCTTAGGTAGAACGAAGGTGCCACCTAATTTGGTTGATAAAGGCCTTACAAGTTGCTGCCAAGGTCTTGGGTTCAATTGTCACTACAACATAATAATCTTCCACTTGGAGGAATTAAATACAAAATCTTCTCAGGAAGTCCATACAAGTATATTTCAATCAATACACAAAAGTAACTCCAATATGACATTTCATGCAGGTTTGATAGTAGAAAGATAATATTAAGATACTTTTAAATTCAACCCTGTACTAGTATCCATAGGAAAATGAGCCAATCCACACCTTTTTGTCTAATTGAGAAGTAACATCTAATTCAAGTACAACTCTAGCTCTAGCTGTCTTGAAAGACGAGAAATAGTACTATCCACTTGCAAATGTTTTTACTAAATACAAAACCCAAAAAATACAAAGTGGTATGATTGAATTAATGCAAACGAAGGATGGATGCTATCAATAATAGAGTGATAGGTAGTTCTACAAAAGAGTCAAAATGATCATTTAAGCATAAGCATCAGGAAACCACTAATAGTAAGACTTTCAAGAGAAAATAAGCACCTAAATGCAATTTAGCTATAAATTTGCGAATATTCTTCAAGTTGGGGCATGTAATACCCAAATTTACAAAAAAGTTAAAATGAAAATGTATTCTAAAAATTATACTCTATTTTCATACATACCAAAAAGCATCAAAACTATCTTTATAAATTTTAAAATTTTTTTGATCATTTTAATATATAAGTATATATAAATAATCAGACATAATAGTATTTATAAATTAATTTAATTATTAAATAATTTCCTAAAATTATTTTAATTTTGTTTTAGCAAATTAATCTTCTGTATCAAAAATAAAATTTTATCTAAAATCTCATGACATGCAAGGGCTAATTGTCAAATGGAGAGTTAGAATGGCATAATGGATAATTTAATAACACAAATAATTATAAATATTTAAATAATTTAAGCTAACTTACCAAATTAAATATTTATTTATTTCATACTTATCTATTCCTTGTCAGCAGGTGGAGGTGAAAATAAATAAGGGGGCTTGGTTAGGCTCATCAGTATACGAAAGAGAGAAGAAGGAAGAGGGGGCTCTCCATAGTAAAACGAAGAAGGGAAAAAATAGGGTGAAAATAGGGAAAAAAAGAAGGGAAGAATAAAAGGAGAAGGGGAAGGGGAAAAAAAAACAAAAAAGAAGAGAAGAAGAAGAAGAAGAAGAGGATAACAAAAAGAAAGAAAAAGGGGAAGAGGAGAATATAAAATTTTCTGTAAGAATCTATTTTAATATTTTCATCCACAAATTGAATTTAGATTCAGGTTTATAGGATTGAAGGTTTGAATGAGGGGGAATCATATCGGGGTAAAACTATCATTTAGGGCTAATTAACTCAACTTCAATTTGACAATTCAAGAATTTATATTAAATTGAGAAGAATTATTTTTATTATTTGCTTACGATAGAACAAGACATAGAGGCAATAAAAATAAGAAAATCAATCATGAGGAAAGAAAAGGAAATCAATAATTTAGGTGAGATCTTCAATTTCTAAAATAAGGGATGAATTGTTCATAAATCTAATATTTGTACTTTTTTATAATTATCTTGGTTAGTTATTTATACATTTATAGAATTTCTTCACATTGAGCATGCTAAAAAAACCAAATATTATCAAAATATTCAATGCATATTACATGACTGTTGATTGAAATGATTTCAAATTAATTCTCATCATTTCAATAATAAGACTGTCTAATTTCATACAAGGCTTAAATGAGTATTTAAACATTGGCTTTTACATGTATCATGTTTTACCATTGTTGCATATCATTATAAGTTGTTTTGTAAATGTATATATCAATAATAAAGAATTCTAAAGGTTTTAAATAATGAAGTTAAAATTTCAAGAAATCCTATGAAAGGCCATGTTATGTGAAATAAGCAGGCAAACTATTTGACCTGCTGAAGAAAATACATTATTTGACAAGATGAGCGTCATTGCAAAAATAAATAAATTTCTGGCTTGATACTGAAAAGTTGGAATGGACTAACCTATAAAGTTTCTGAAGTTAATGTATATTTTATGAAATTTTCTACATTTTATGAATTATTATATACATTTAAGAAAATGATACTGCTGATGCATGCTAAATGTGGCAATTGCATGTAAGGAAAGCTGCCTATCAACACTATAATTAAAATGGGTTGGCCGATAAAACATAATACTCTGTACAGGAGGGTGGACCAACGAGCTTTCCTTTAAATATGGTTTGTGGTGTTATCCCGGATAATAGTCCATAACCGATTGACCAAATTATGCCGATGAGCAGAGGGCGACGACTATTTATAGAGTATTGAAAATCACATGTAATAATAATAATGATGATTAATGATAAAAAGATTTAATAATAAGTTTGATAGATGATGAATGAAAGGATGCAAAACACCACATTAAAGATGAATGCCCTGTCTTGCTGAGTCATATATTGATGCATGCAAATATTGATAGTATGTTAAAGCATGCCATTGATGTGTGCGCACTAAAAGCATATGATATGAATATATGTGTTGATTAGATGGATAAGACTAACAAATGCTAATTGACATGTGATAGATGAGAGAGATGACATATGATAGATAAGATAGACTGACTATTGCTGACTAGTAATTGATAACAATGATTGTAACTGATTGAATGGCATTAGGAACATGAATGATAAGTAGCTAGACTGATATGACAATGTACGCCACTAATACGATATAATACAATACAAGATATGTAACTGATGATAAATGACTATTTATCTGATATGATATGATTGTTTATATTGTGCATTGATTTTAACAATAGATATTGGTACTTTCTTGGCTTTTATGCTAATTATATAACTTTTATATACTTTCAAGTAATGATAAGAAAGCTTGAGGATGATTTGATGTACTGGCATTTAGTAGTCTTCCTCTTTTGTAATCATGTTCATTGGGTTGAGCTAGTTCATTGTGTACCATGACTATTATGTATATGTTATTTTGGGCTTGTAACAAATTATAAATATTGATGAATATAAATGTATTTATACTTTTTGATGTTTCTATGAAATTCAAAAGCTTTGGTTGAATGAGTAAAAGATAGATACATGCAATTCTCCAAATTAGATTTTGGGGCAGTAATCTTATTTCTAGATCGGAGTAATGCTTCTTTCCTTGTAAACCTATGCATTAATTTGAGATCTTTATGACTTTTACTTTTTTATAAAAATAAGATGATTCATTGCTAGAAGGCCTTAATTATAAATTATAATGATTTATCTTTTTTGATTAAAATAATCTTTAAAATGTCGATGAATGAAGTGCATGCTTTTATATTGTCACTCTTAAAAAATCATTTGAGACGCATGCCTCGAGGTGCACATTGAATTGAGACAGACGAGGAGTGCCTTGAGGCTTGAGCCTCACTAGCACCACATAGACTTACACCTTTTTTAATGACATGAATGCCTCGAGGTATTTTAAGGAAACACCTCATTTGGCTTAAATTTATAAATCTTTTTATAATTTATGTTATGTTTAACACAAAAAATGAAAGATTGAATTACAAAGGAAAATAATTGGTGATGATGAAATGAATTATTTGGTTATTAATGATATACTATCCGATCATGAATGGATAACACACAAACATAGCAAAAATTTTAAAATTGAAGATGAAAGAATGGCTTTTATGTCGATAGAAGATGTATTTGCCAAAGGTGAATGATACCTTCCCACCTCAAATAAGAGTATCCACGAGCCATGTCTCCTTGTACTGATGGAGGATGTATCGGAAAGTGGTGATTTTCATTTAACAAAAAAACTTCTTATATTTAAAATATATTTCATTTCTTTTTTTTTTTATTTTTATTTAAAATATATCCAACCAAACAACCTCGTGGTGAAAAAGATTAGATATGAGGTTGTTTCGATCTTACTCATGTTCCTACATTCAAACTATGTTTGCTTTAAAATGCTAGAACGAAAAGTATATTCGTAGATACTTTCTTTACGCTAGATTGAAATTACATTGAATGTTGACGTGTGAAGCTGCCTGAGGTTCTTAAGGGCGGCTACACATGGTCTATAGCCAATCAGGATGTCAGTAAGCTGAAGCAAAATCCAATATAGTTAGTTTTCACTTCTAAGAGATTCATTCAAATAAAAATAAGGGAACCAGAGAGACCACAACTCTAGCATAAGGGAATCTCTATCTTCGAACTTGCCCAAATGAACTGCCTTAAGACTAGGAATCAACACCACTACAAAAACAAAATTTACTGAGTCTCTATTTATGAAATAAAACCTATAAGTTAAGGCCTCGAGAATAGAGCACGTGAAGTTCATTGTTGACGGAAAGAAAAGAAATCCCAAATTAAAAGCATTGGCCTAAAAAGAAAAAAGAACCAAAGAATCAAGCCTTGGCCAGCATCTGGTTTGCTTTATGAATCCTCCCCAATTCAAACTTATTGAGCGAAATGAGGCTTTTAATACTATTTTAGGCAAGTCTTTTTTGCAAAACTTACAGCAATGTCATATATTTGGTATATGCCTACATAATACGTTTACATTAATTATAGTTATTTGCCTAATTGATGCATCTTTGACCTTGTGATGCACATGCCTAAGCCACCTAAATCAATTTTCCATAAAGTTATACTTTATAAGTGTTATTATCATCAATCCTTGAGTTTTATAATTTTTCAATCTATCATTACTAATTTTACGACAAATTCATTTTAATATTCTCAGTCTTTTACACTCACTAGGCTATCAAGGACTTATTTTTACCCAACATTTAGATTCCTGTAGTATATCCGATTTGATTTTGGCACTGTAGAGTCTAACCTAAACTCACAAATAATCTCTTATCAATTGGTGCTCTATGAGTTCTAAGTTGTTTTCTCCATTTTTAGTCCCCTAGGTTATACTCCATTTTCTGTTTCTGTATGAGGTCATCTATGCTTGAATCTGTGACTCCTAAGTGATAAACATCAATCATATACACCCTCCAGCTCTGTGATAAAATGGGACCACTTTTGAAGTGAGAAGTTAGCAAACAGAGAAACTCTTCAATTGAAAACAAAGCAAGTCAAGGCAAAGAGATCAGGAGACTTGGATGATATTGTTCATAGTACTAATAATCAAAATTCATTAAAAAAGTATTTCCTACATAGAAGTTACAGAATCGAGGTAAATGTAAAAAAAAGAGATCAAAATTACTTAAGAATCAACTCACTACTGGGTTTCCATGCAAAGGTATAAAGCGCATGATGACAATGCATAAGCAGTTTCAATAGCTAAGTTTAAGGCATCATCCTCAGCATCCAAGCAACTCAATAACTTCTTCCAGCAGTGTAAAAAAGGAGGGAACCTCCAATCAGCTTTATCATAAGCGCAATCTTCAGCATCCTTTTCATCCTCCTTACGGTCATCATTCAATGAGGCTTGGAACTGGCAGAATATGGATTCAAGTGCTCTTCTACCCACTTCTGATGAAATGAACTCCTTCAAGACAGCCATGCATCCTAACAATTCCCTTCCAACAGGAAGAACCTACCAAAGGAAAGAGCAATATGTCAAAAATGCATAATAATTAAATTGAAGACTAAGCTTGAGACATAATCTTGGAAAGTGCTCAGCCTGCTAAATTGAGTTTATAGGGGAAATGGATAGGAAAAACTAACAACATTTACAAAGATTCAATATTTACCTTTAATCGTATCATACCCCAATATGATTGTGAAAATCATGGGAATAGAATCATTCTAGAACGTTAATCAAGAGGCCACCTTTTTTCTTATACTAATACTCGCAAAGATCATATGTTATAAACTCTAATTATGAAAATCTATAAATCTCCATTAAATTACACATGGATAAAAGAATCTCCACCTGCATGTATAACGCTCTTTTTAAAAGCATTTGACCTTACTTTTTCCTCACCATTTTACCAATAATCACGTAAACGTCCTTGTTGTAACATTAACACGTCAAAGCAAACTCAAAAGGAGGTCAGGAGAAAAAATAACTCTTTGATTGGTCTCTACATGAGAAAATTTCCTTGAGAATTTCCATGAACTAGGACAAGTTGGGGGGTTTGCGTTAGTATGGTGGAAGTTTTAATTAAAAAATCATTACCTATTTACCATATGAAATGCATCTACCACACTTCGAAGTTCCTGAGGTTTGACAAAGACTTTAAGACAGTTCATCAAAACAGAAAACACAAGCAATTAATCAACAATTTTGAGGCAGAATTTCTGTTAACAACTTAAAATTTTCAAGGTACAACAACAACAACATCAAGCCTTTATCCCACCATGTGGGGTCGGCTACATGAATCCATTTTTCTCCATTGTGCCCTGTTAAAAGTTAAATTCTCATTTAAATCTAATAAAAAAGCCATTTCCAATATTTCTATACAAGTCTTTTTTAGGTCTACATCTACCTTTCTTAACATAAGTCAAATCTAATACATCTACTTTCCTAACCGAGTCATCGGAAGGCCGCCCATTTATGCGACCAAACCATCTAAGGCGACACTCTAATCTTATCTTCCACTAGAGCTACTCCAACCTTTTCATGTATAAGCTCAATTCGTATCCTGTCTCTAAGAGTAAAGCCACTCATCCACCTAATCATCCTCACTCTGCAACACTTAATATTGTGCTTCTCTTTAATGGTCAACATTCTACACCATAAAGTATTGCATGTCTAACTACCATCTTATAGAATTTTCCCTTAAGTTGGACTTTTCTATCACACAACAAGCCCAATGCATTCCTCCACTTCAACAACACAACTTGAATTCTAGTAATAATATTCTCATCTATTTCACCATCACTCTTAACAATAGACCTAAGATATCTAAAACGTGTACTCTTATTAATGACTTGATCACCCAAAGTCACAATCCCCCAACAAGAACTATTATTACTAAAATTACACTTCATATAATACACAAAATGTTCAAAATAAATGCAAGTGTAAAATTTCTTTTTTCGATTATGTTAACATATAAAAGTATATGAAAAATATTCATTTAGTTAGTAAATAACTGTTCATATTTTTAAAATCAGTTAATTAATTTAAGTTGATTAACTATTTAATTAATACCATATGGTAGCAGTAGTTTCATTTCATTATTTATTGTTACTGTAGCATAGCAGCAAATCTCACTAAATAGACATGCAAGGGTGATGCGGACATCGGCATGAAGATCTGGCGCATCTATCACAGGAGGCGTCGTAAATCGACGGCTCTAATTTAAAGTGTTATTTAAAATTTATTTTATAAATTTTAGCTATTATTTTATGTTTTTTCCTGTTTTACCCCTAGGATAGTTTATTTGAGTGTTATGGCCCAAGGGGCATTTTTGTTTTTTTTATTTTTTTTTATTTTCTCATGTTATGGCCTATATATAGGGCCTTAAGCTATTGTAATAGGATGGTTAATTTGATATGAAAATTTTATGTTTTCCACACTTGTGTTCTTCTTGAGAGAGGACGAGAGTGAGATTTCTATGAGAGGAATCGGAGTTTTCACCAGCCGCAGGATGGGTCCGGACTCGTGATTTGAGTTCCCTTGGAGAGGGAAATCGTATCTCCCACCAACCTTGGAGACGGCCGGGTTCGTGGTTTTCTTTTGCATCTTTCGTTTTATCTTCTATCTTTTCGTTTTGTTCCATCTTCCTCCTCCCCATCTTCATTTGGCCACCGGATTCACCTCACCCGAAGATCCACCACAAAACACCGGCCATGGCTCCCTAGCCACCGGCCTCATCCTTTCCCCTCTCTCCTTGGATTTCCTAATTAGGAGTGCATTATATTAGGAATTAATTTGAAATTCAAATTGATCAAAATTTGAAATTCAAATTTCTTTCCTAATTTATCATGCTATCTTTGGAAAGTTACTAAATCCATTCAATTGAAATTTCGAACATTCAAAGCCACAACTTTAATTAAGCCAATTACGTGAGCTTCTTCACGTAACCACTTAGGAATTTAATTTCCCCCCTTGGGAATAAGGAAATAATTCATTTGAGAATTTTGTTGACCGAATTTTCCCAGCCTTAAGTCACTTTCCAATTTCGGTAGAGAAGAATTAGGATTTAATTCTCTAATTCTTCTCTTCCTTCCCGTAACAGCTCTTTAGGAATTTTTCCAAAAAAATTCTGAGATTTAATTCTCTAATTTAAAATCCAGAATTCATTGCTTCTCTCAATTAGGCCCCTCCTACGAATGATTCAATCTTCCTACCCGTTCTACATCAAAGGGACTGATTAGAGAGTGCATTAATCAACGGTTGAAAAAAACCTGGGACAGGTGAGTGGAATTTGGTAGTGGAGCCTTAATAATATTATAATAATTAGCTTACCTTAAGCTTTAAGCCAAACTATTACAGCATTCTTACCCATTCATTCTCCCCACCCACTGTTGAGTTCGAGTGGATAGGCGAGAGCAGAGAAGTCGGGTGAAGAAAGGGGCTGCGGCTGCTGGGAAAATTCAGCTGCTGGATGGGCTGAATAGGGAAGCCAATATGCAGAAATCAGAAATCTGAAGTAAGAAGATTCAGGTAAAGAATATTGTAGTTGCTGAAATTCCAAAACAACCAACGAATTGAATGGGAGGAGAAGCTGGAAGGAACTGCTAGCGGTGGGAGAGTGGGGAGCCGAAGGTGGTGGGTGTAAGCTGTGGTTTGAAGTGCTGATTTGCACAGGTGATGAAAAATATCTATATATCAATGTTAGGAATTTGTGTAGAATTCCAAAATTTGAAAGAAACATTGGTTGTATTCTCAGATTTTATGTTTCTAATATGGTATTTTGTGGAATAGTGTGTGTAGAAATCTGGATTGTGGAAAATCAGTAGGGAGAAGAGTTAAAGAAAGCTGATGGGTGAACCAAAAGCAGTTAAAACTGTTGATGTATGAGCTGAATTTAGTATTTTGGAATTTAGAAGGATTGTTGACATTAATTCAGTTATTGTTGTTGAATTCAGAAGAGAAAGAAGGTTGGAATAGGAAAAAAGGCAAGGGAAGGCAGCAGAGAAGGAAATTTTAGAAGAAAGAAAAGATCACGTGAATGAGGAACTTAATTGAGGTACAATGGTATATTGGTAAGATGTTCATATTGCTTATTTCTTTATTTATTAGCATGTGCAAATAAATAAATGCATGTTGAAGGTGGTGTACAAAAGGAGAAGAAAACAGGAAGAACGAATTCTCAATGAGGTGAGATACCCAAACAATGCATAGAAAGTAGAAATTTTAAAAGTTGTACATTCATGTTTATTATTTTATGATATCATTTATTTCAGTTAATTCCAGTTTTGTTAATTATATGAGCCCTGTATGATTGTGAGGAATGAATAATGATAGAAGTGAAATAAGTCATATATGAAAAATAGACCCGCACAAGTAAAGATAAAAGACCTGACAAGGTAAGCGTACACTCTCAATTATAAAAGTTGGGAATTTGAATCCAATCTTGAATGAAAGAGCAATTTCAATTTTAAAAGTTAGGAATATGGGACCCAATCTTGAATTGAAAAGCTAGGATAGTGCAAAAGTTTATAGCAATCATATGACTTGTTTAAAGGTGTTGAACAACTGGCAAGATGAAAAGTACTGCTATGCATTTCTTGTGATCAGTATGCTATTTTCAATGTGTTCTAACCATGTTTATTAGTAGTAAATAATATTATGAGTTTCTTAATTATTAACAACATTATTATTATTTTCTTATATAATATTTGTGTATTTCATTGAGCCGTAGCTCATTGGCAGTTATTGTACTGCAGGAAAGGAGAATGATCTCGTAGGGCATTAAGAGGGGGTGACTATCTTTCTTTTGGTGTACATACTTTTTGGGTGTGTATACAGGTTGAAGTGTAAGCTGTAAAAAGACTATTCACGACAAGAAAATAAAATATTACCAACGGATTTGAAAGTTTACAGGCAGATTTCCGGCGTAAAATTTTTCATCAGAAAAACAAGCGTCGAAAAAATTTTTCTGACTGCAAAAATCAGTCGGAAAATTTTTCCAGCTAAAAAATTTGCTGGAAAAATGCTGCCAGAATAATAAAAAAAACACTCGATGGCTGCCCCGCTCGGCTGGAGCTGGATGCCCGCTTTACCCTCCTACCCTGCTGGAGCACTAATTGACCACCAGCCCCGCCGCCCGCCTGGCTAGATCTAGCCGACCGCACTGCTGCCCCCACTGCCCGCCTGCATGCTCGAGACACGCTGTACATGGCGGGGTTTGAACCCCGCCCCTCCCCTTTTGCGCGCGCCAGTCCGACCATCACGTTGTTCCCACAAAATTGTTTTAAAAGATAATTTTTTTTTATGTTATAACTGACAGAACATAACAATTAATACTTATTAATTATTTTAATTAATAATCAAATAAGTTATTAAAGTAAATAAATTAAATTATGTTATTAAAATAATAATTAATTAAAATAAATCATTAAATTAATAATTAATTAAAATAAACTATAAAATTATTAATTAATTAAATTATGAATAAATTATTTTTTTAAAAATTGTTAAAATCTGTCGAAAAATCCGGCGAAAAATTCTACTTGAAAATTTGTCAGAAATATTTCGAAGTAATGCGTCAGAAATTCGCCAGAAAATCCTACGCCAAAAATCCGTTCGTAATGGACAATTATCCTGCAGTGTTTGGGTATGTAAGTAAATTTTAAAGGTTTATGAAAACTCTGTTTCATTTAAGAGGTGTATTTTATTTGAAGTATATTATATATGCTTCCTATCATGAATATCTTGATGTGTTATGATTACTTGTGTTAGGATAGTTTAAATAGACTACTTTTTACTTATCATAAGAATGAGGGTAAGTAAGAAAGGTCTGTTTAGATTCTCCTTCTCTGTTATACTCTAATTTGACTGTAAGTGGGGTTAATATGGGGTGTGACACTAGTCTGTCAACAAGAAGAATATCATCTACAAAAATCATACACTCAGGTACAACCTCTTGTAAATGTCTAGTGAGAGCATCCATGACTAAAGCAAAAAGATATGAGCTTAAGGTTGATGCTTGATGTAATCCAACTAAAAAAAGAAAATACTTGGTCAAATCACCTTGTGTCTGAACACAAGTAATAACTCCTGCATATATATCCTTAATGACTTAAACATAAGCATTATTAACCCCTTTCTTTTCTAGAACTGTCCATAACACTTCTCTTAGAACTTTCTCATATGCTTTCTCTAAATCAATAAATATCATATGTAGATCCTCCCTATTCTCTTTATACTTCTCCATCAAACCTCTCAATAAATGTATTAACTTCCAAAGTAGACCTACGAAACATGAATCCAAATTGATTTTGAGAAACATTAGTATCATGCCACAACCTATGCTCCATAACTCTCTCCCATAGTTTTGAAGTATGACACATTAACTTAATTCCTTTAATATTCGCACAATATTGCGCATCACATTTATTCTTAAAAATAGGAATCAACACACTCCACTCATTTCACATCTTTTTAGTCTTCAATATAATATTAAAAAGTTTAGTAAAACAATAAATTCTTTCATCTCCTAAGCATTTTTACACCTCTATTAGAATATCATGAGATCCAACAGCTTTTCCACAATTTTCCAAGAGTGTTTGCTATTTATTGGGGGATTGAGACCAAATCTTTTGCGTTGAGGCAAGTTAAAAGATCTTTGAGGGTATAGGCAACCAAGCAATCTTTACCCAAAATATTTTGGGAGGTCAACATCCTCCAACATTAAGTACTCCACAAAGATAACGACAATCTCCCACCTCATAGCTAAATCCCCAACCTAACACCAAAGAAAATTTCCTTGAAATATAAGGATAATTTGATCACAACATAAAAATGTTATTGGTGCAAACCTATCATCATTACTTTTACATTTATGAAGGATGCTTTGATCCCAATTAGGATTAATAGAATAAATGCAGGTTAGAATAAGGCTCCTTAGAATTAAAACAAGAATATTTAGTAATCAGATGAAAAAAGAGTTATAAAATAAGGCTAACTTTAAGGTTAACATAGAAAACATCGATATTATTTATGATGCGATGCGTATGGCTCCAATGCCATGGTATCTATAAATAATCATTTACTTGCTAGAAAAGAACAATTGAAAAAATGACCGAACAAACAATAAAAAAGATAAATATTTGAAGAATTATATGATACAAAATCTTCAAGAACACTCTAAAATATTTTAAAACATGGATATCATTTATGTTAGAGTTATTCTATCTACCACAAAATCCTTTGGAGAAAAACTAATTAACATGCACAAACATGGACATGGCGATACAGATACGATACGACACGAGACATGTCAATTATTGAAAATATAGGACACGAACACGGGTTAGACAAATTATTATAACTTTTATATTTTAAAAATAGTATATAAAAAGTTTAATAAGGATAATATTAAAAATACTTTATAAATAATAAATCATTTAACTAGAATTTATGCTTAAATATTAGAATGTCGAGAGTCAAGCATCAATGACGTGTATTGGGGCATCGATGACGTGTATTAGGCATCGAGATAGGAGACAACAATACTGTCGAGAGCCAAGCATCGATGTTATGCAGTAACTATTGGACATCGATGTCAAGAGGTCGTCTGTTGTCAATGTTGAGAGAGCGTTGGTCGTAGATGTTAAGACTGCGTCGGACAAAAATGAGTTGTCAAGTTGTGGGTGTAAAAATTGCTAGTGTTGAACATCAATGTCAAGACTGCGTCGAATTTTGATGTTGAGATGATTTTGAAATGCCAAAATTGTAATGATGTCATATGTCAATGTTGAGATGCATCAAACATTGGTGTGAAACTAAAGTCAGGACCCGCCAAAGAGAAATGAAAATGAGTATATTCAATGAATGAGGTGTTGAGTGCGAGTGATTGGTTTGTTGTGGATAGAAAAAAAGAAAATTTATTTTTTATATTTTAAATATATAAAAAGTTTGAATACAAGAAATTATTATTATTTTTTAAATTTCATAAAATATTTAAGACGTTGTGTCCATATTTTTTTTAATTGAATACATTTTCGGTGTGTCCGATGCATGTCAGGCGTGTTGGATGTGTGTCATGTCAGACACTGTAAGCCTCTTTGAGGAGAAGTGTCGGTGCATCATAGCAAATAGGTTATTCTTACCAGAGAATAAAAAAGAATTAGTTTACTAATTGCCTCAAGATTTAGGAATTAAACGATTCAAAGAAAATGTATAAAAGAACTTCAACAAGAGAAAGAAAGATTTTTCTTTGATAAAAAGCAAATATCAAGATATCATTAGTATTTCAAATTACTTGAGAAAATCTACAATTCCATTTACCTGGCATAGCCTAATGAGTTGTTGCCCAATCAAACAACCATCTTCAACGCCAATATCCCCCATAAGACATCTATTTAATAGAAAAAAAAAGAAGCATGTTAAAATTTCCAGATAAGTGGACAAAGAATAGCAAAAATGTTTAGGAAGGCTCACAGATTATGCATCTTATCAAGCTGTGTGGATTTCCGAGAGTCCAAAAGTAGAGCGAGAGATTTCAAGAGAGGCATGCACGAACAAGAAAAGAATGTTGCATTCTTCACAAGTTTGTTGTCAAGATAAAAATTCCCATCAACAATGCATTCATCACCACATCGCTTGAGGGCATTCACAAGAACCCTGATAGAACTAGCCTTCAATAGCAATATCTGGCCAATGTACCAAAACATACTCTAAATAGTGAATAACTGAACATGAGTACCCGTCAAATCTTGTAAAAAAAAGGGTTATCATTTAGGTAACCTTTGCACGTGGATGCTCCAACAAACTAGCAATGAAGTTAAGTGATCCATACATCTGAATAAAAAATATATATATTAAGTACATTATTCAACTTTTTGAAAAGAAACACATCCTGAAAATGAAAAACCTTAAAAAGATCTGCATCTGAGAGAGTTGCTTCACTAGTGGTCTGGTCAATCCAAGAAATTAAAGGCCTCAGGAGGACATCTGCACATTCAGGTCTCTGGCAAGCAATTCGAACTATGAAGACTCGCAGCATGTCTTTTATGACCACTAATGTCTGCTTAGAAAGAATTATAGTGAAAACAGAATGTACAATATATGGATAAAAAGGAACAACCAACATTATAGAACAAAGTTGCCATTGGAAAAGGAGGAAAGAATTCTTACAGTGAAAGAAAAATGCAGGACTATCTGTGCAATCCTGTCAAGCAAAGGAGTCAACCGAACAAGGAGCACAGCAAGATGCTCAGGCTGTAAATACCAGTGAATATCTTTTTCAACTTCAGGTCCTAGGACAGTCTCTATGGTCAATGTGGTAACAGCGCTCAACGAAGGTATTCCATAATTCCAAAGCCAAATTCCTTCTTCAGGAACAAGATCACTCTTTGCCAATAAAGGATAAGTGTCACATAAACCATTAAAATAGATTATGATTGACCAACTCTAATAGAACCGAACAAGAAAATTGAACAATACTTCTTCAAAATAAAATTCTCTTCGGAACTCATCATAAATTCATGTGACAGAAAGTTGGCCACCGGCCAATCAGAAAAGATAATTAAAGCAGGAGAGCACATACCAACAGACATATCATGCTACATGCATCCTTTGGACCCAAAGGTAATGATGATGTAGCTTGCATGCTTTCAAGAAGACAATGGAACAGGCCAGGAATCCAACCAAATACGGGCCAAAAAGCAAGCACAGACGCAACAAGATGGCAAACAGCACCAAAACCAAGCCCAAGCCGGGGAAAGTGTGAAGAGAAATTTGATGCATATGCTGCTAGCTTTGGACTACAAAAGCATTGTTCCAAGTTAAACCATGCAGCAAGGAAATAAAATCACAGAAATAGGCAAATTTCACCTCACTTCATGATGCAACCGTAGAAGAACATTAAGTAACTTCTTATTCCGGTATTGCTCCTTTGTTTCCTACAAAATACAAGAAAATTAACTTAAAATAGACTGCATAAAAATAGCAACTCTTTAAAATGTTAAAACAGTAAAGTAGAAACTCTTATGTTCCCTAATGGCTTATTACTAAAGTGACAATTTTTTAACAAAAGAAGAAAGAACTAACATCGAACTTAAGATCAGTGAAATCTCACACAACACTTGAATATGTAGATATTGAACCTCTTAGTATAGAAATTATCTGCTACATATAGCTAAATTGATGTAACATAAAACTTCTATCAAAGACTAATGTAAAATAACGTGAACTTATTATCTATAAAAGGCACTAGGGCTCATTCCCATGTAACGGAAGCAATTTGCTTCTCTAGTAAAACATAAAGCACTTCAACTGAAAACTGCTGTGATGTGGCTTAGAGCTACCACATTTAGGATTTTCTGACATCTTCCTTCAACTTATTATCTATGTGTTTTTAAAGTGCTCATTCCCATGTAACGGAAGCAATTTGCTTCTCTAGTAAAACATAAAGCACTTCAACTGAAAACTGCTGTGATGTGGCTTAGAGCTACCACATTTAGGATTTTCTGACATCTTCCTTCAACTACAAATGCTCTAGCTTGTAATAGCACAAATACAATTGTTTTAAACATTCACATATGCTTCTTTTTCTAGATGTTTCAAGTGAGTTTTCCTGTTACTTTCATGGAAATATTATCTATATTTGGCATAGTTCTCAATGAATTTAAAGTAGATCCATCCTTCTTTTGTGTTGTATAAATCAGTGTTGTTAAAGATGTCTGGTATTTGACCAAGTGCTTGTGTAAGACAAGGTGAGATAACAATGCCCCATAGACCCCTCGGCAATTTTCCATTACTAAGGCATGCCTAGGAGAGTACATTTCTCAAGGCACTAGGAAGTGAGGTAAAATTATGCAAATTCTTCAAATACAGAAGATGAGATAGTCTTATATGATAATGAAATTCAATCAGATGATTAAAAAAAATATTAAAACTTTAAACAATAAGACTGCGCAACAAGAATGAGTCATCGGAAAGCCACCGTTTAAATCTAATAAGGAAAGATCATTTCTAATTCTCTAACAAAGTCTTTTTAGGTCTACCTCTACCTTTCTTAACATAAGTCAAATTCTACCTCTATTTTCATAACCGGGTCATCGAAAGGTCGCCGTTTTATGTGACCAAACCATCTAAGGCGATTGTCTCAAATCTTATCCTCCACTAGAGCTACTCTAACCTTTTCACAAATATGCTCATTTTGTATCCTATCTCTAAGAGTAAAGCAACTCATCCACCTGAACATCCTCATCTCTGTAACACTTAACTTAGTATTATGCTTCTCTTTTAATCGCCAACATTCGGCACCATAAAACATTGCAGGTCTCACCACCATCTTATAGAATTTTCCCTTAAGTTTGAGGGGGACTTTTCTATCACACAACAAGCCCGATGCATTCCTCCACTTCAACCATCCACTTGATTTATGCTGTAATATCCCCATCTATTTCACCATCACTCTGAACAATAGATCCAAGATATCTAAAACGTGTACTCTTATAAATGATTTAATCGCACAAAATCACAATCCCCTCATTAGGTCTATTACTAATTTACTATTAAAATTACACTCCATATATTCATTTTTAAGATCTAGTCAAGCGAAAACCTTTAGACTCTAAGGTACACCTCCATAATTCAAGTTTACCTTCAACTCCATCTCTAGTCTTATCAACAAAAAGCATACACCAAGGTACATCCTCTTGCAAATGTCTAGTGAGAACATATATGACTAAAGCAAAAAGATATGGGCTTAAGGCTAATCCTTGATGTAATCCAACTGAAATAGGAAAATACTTAGTAAAACCATCTTGTGTTTGAACACAAGTAATAGCTCATGCATACATATCTTTAATGATTTGAATATAAGCCTTATTAACTCCTTCCTTTTCAAGAACTCTCCATAACACTTCTCTTAGAACTTTATCATATGCTTTCTCTAAATCAATAAATATCATATGTACATCCTCCTTATGCTCTCTATATTTCTCTATCAAACCTCTCAATAAATGTTTGGCTTCCATAGTAGACCTACTCGGCATGAACCCAAATTGATTTTGAGAAACATTAGTATAACTCAACCTACGCTCTATAACTGGCTCCCATAGTTTTTAAGGATGACAAATTAACTTAATTCCTCTATAATTCGCACAATCTTGTGCATCACCTTTATTCTTAAAAATAGGAATTAACAAACTCATTCTTCACTCATCTGACATCTTTTTAGTCTTCAAAACAATATTAAAAAATTTTAGTAAGCTAAGAAATTCCTTCATCTCCTAAGCAATTCCACAACTCTATTGGAATATCATCAGGTCCAATAACTTTTCCATACTTCATTTTCTTTAAAGCATATCTAACTTCGATTTTACTAATATGCCTATAAAAACATTGTTGCCAGCAAAAAATTGGGACAAATCAAGTTGAGTTGAAATTTTTGTAAGTTCTTCTAAAGTCAGCTCATTAATAAGCCTCTTCTACTTATTCAGCTCATAAATTGTCATTATTTGGTTCATTCCCCCTTTTGTCTTTGGCTCTTTGGTTTCCCTCTCTTTTGGCCCTTGGTTCTTTCTCTTTGGTTTCCCCACTTATGCTTCTTCCCCTTCTTGTGTCTCCTTGGTTTCCCCTTTGTGTTGCTCCCATAAATTAAGGCTGCGTGCTGGTTACCTTTTTGGTTTTCCCCCTGGCTGCTTTCCCATGATTTGTTCTTCCCGGTTCCTGTGTTGCCTGCTCAGGTTCCTCCCTGGCTGTGTTCTCGTGGCTTCTCCATCCCGGGTTCTGTGATGGCTCTTCGGGTCCCTCCCTGGCTATGTTCCTGTGGCTTCTCCTACCTGGTTCATGTGCTGATTTTTGGGAGCTGTTTTGTGATATATGTTGCCCTTCCTCTTCCCCTTACCTGATTGGTTTGTTTAAAGGTTGAAGTTGGCTGTTTGACTCCCCTATCTTTCCTATAAATATTAGGTGTTTTGTATTCAAAAAGGAAGATGATATAATCAGATTTTCGGAGCCAAAAACCCTGAGGGTTTTTCTTCGTGGAAAAGCTTGCGAGCTTTTTTCATTCCTCTCTTCTTCTAGGAAAGCTTGCGAGCTTCTCCTCATTCGTTTCGGACTTCTTATCTCGTTCTTCTCTCCGCAAGTGTCCACCCCACATATTTTTCTTCTCGATGGATGGAATGCAATTTTAGGTGTTTAATTTTATGTCAAAGATTGTAAGAGTCATTTTTTGAAAAGGCAACCCCCCCTCTTGCCTATATCAATTCTCCTCCACTTGAAATTGTTCATCTCCTGATGAAGCTTGAGTATGATTTGAAGGCGTCGCATCTAACTCTAGAATTTTGTCCTCATATTTCTTCAAGATTTCTTCTCTTTCTTTCTTGAACTGTTCTTGCAAAAATTTCTTTCTCTTCTCGAATTTCTCCGAACACATGCATTCTCATCTATAGCTTGTATATTTCATTTTGTAGGGGATCTGTTGAATCACCTTCTGATGGAACCCATCTATCCATTGGTATTGAGACTTTAGAAGCTTCTGGATTACTTTCTTCCACGACTGGTTCAATCTTTTTGTGATTTTCCATTTTTTTAACTCTTAAAAAAACACGAAAAGAGACCTAGGAAGACACAAACCTAAGTTCTGATACCAAATTGATGCAAGCAAAAATTTGGAAAAAGCCCCAAATTTTTGCTAGCAAAAGATATGCTTCCTATGATAATAAAAATTACACAAAATTCTCAAAACTAGACAAAATATGACTTATACGACAAACAACAAACTTTAATATTATAAAACGACACTTACAACTCTTGATGCTTACAAACATATGAAATAAACAAAACCTAAAGTTGCTTGCCAATCGTCGAGAAGAAATATACAAGTGACGTCGAACTTGCGGATAGAAGAAAGATGATAGAAGCAGAGACGAAGAAGAAAGGAGAAGCTCGCAAGCTTTCCTAGAGGAGAAGAGAAGCACAGAACAAGCTCGCAAGCTTTTCCAACGAAGGAAGAAAAAACCCTCAGGTTTTTTGATCCAAAAATCTGATTATATCATCTCCCTTTTCGAATACAAAACACCTAATATTTATAGGGAAAAAAGGGGAGTCAAACAGCCAACTTCAACCTTTAAACAAACCAATCAAGTAAGGGGAAGAGGAAGGCTAGCATATATCACAAAACAGCTCCCAAAAATCAGCACAGGAACTGGGTAGGAGAAGCCACGGGAACACAACCAGGGAGGGACCCGAAAAGCCAACACAGAACCCGAGATGGAGAAGCCACAGGAACACAGCCAGGGAGGAACCCGAGCAGGCAACACATGAACCAGGAAGAACAAATCACGGGAAAGCATCCAGGGGGAAAACCGAAAAGGCAACCAGCACCCAGCCTTAATTCACGGGAACAACACAAAGGGAAAACCAAGGAGGCACAAGAAGGGGAAGAGGCATGAGTGGGGAAACCAAAGAGAAAGAACCAAGGGGCAAAAGAGAGGGACACCAAAGAGCCAAAGACAAAGGGGGAATGAACCAAATAATGACAATTTATGAGCTGAATAAGTAGAAGACGCTCATTAATGAGCTGACTTTAGAAGAACTTATAAAAATTTCAACTCAACTTGATTTGACCCCCCCCCCCCCTTGATTTGCCCCCCCCCCCCCTTGCCTACATCAAACATAAATCTTTATTTTCATTTAGGGTGCTAAGGTTACTAAAGTTAATCGTATTTTCACATTCTTCATTAAAAAAGTTAGCAAAATATCTCATCCACTTTTATTGAATATCATCTTCTAAGAAAAGTACTTTAAACAAAGAAACATGATAAAAATATTACAAAAAAGTACTATAAAGAAAAAACTTAAAGTGTAGCCAAACGATTAGGATACCTGTTTAAAGTTTGAAGTTTATATTTTCTTAAAGTTTTGATATGCTTTATTTCCATAAGAAGATTTCACCGAATGCAAGCTCAAAATTAAATGTTGAACCAAATATATTATCAATGGTACCAACAAAGTATCTAGTGTTTCTTTCATTCTAAATGTTCCAAGAAAACTAGAACAAGAAAATATCACAAACATTTTTTACAACATCTTTGATAAAAATGACTCTCTATGAAGCGAAGTTGAAGCCGAGTGGAACAAATTATTTGAGACCCCGAAAAGAGAGAAAATGTATATAATATTGAAATTAAATATACAACAACAAGACTTTATCCTACTAAGTGGGGTCGGCTATATTAATCATATTTCTCCATTGTGTCTTGTTAAGAGTCAAATTTTTATCTAACTCTAATAAAGAAAGGTTATTTCTAATATTTTCTAACCAAATATTTTTAGGTCTATATATATCTTTCTTAACATAAGTCAAATCTAATACATCTACTTTCCTATCAGGGTCATCGGAAGGCTGCCGTTCTATGTGACCAAACCATCTAAGCCGACTCTCTCTAATTAAATATGCAATTAAAAAATAGATGAGAATCATACTTTGAGAGGGAGTTACATAAGATAGAATTTGTAGAAATCCTATAGCCCAATAAGATATAAAAACATCAGTCAAAAGCTTTCCTAGAATAAAAAACTACTAAAGAAAACTATATTCAAATGGACTAAGGCCCATAATAAAGAGTGACATATCACCATGCATTAACAAAAAAATATACAAAGATTTGATTAAGAAACCTTTGAGAGAGCAACCAGAAGAGACGATGCTAGAATTCAACAAGCTAATTTAGTTAAACTCACAGGAGATATTAGAAATGTTATTAATCAGATGAAATTAAATATCCCTTTCCAGTGAAGATGCTACCCAAAAAAAGGCAAGAAAAGAAGTTTCGCCAAACAATTGACATACTAAGCCATCTAAAGAATATTAGGTTGAAGCTTTGCTAAAGGTAAATTGTGGATCCAAACATTTTTCCAACGTTTGATTTGAGTTCTGTTATTGATTTTCCAAGAGAAGAGATGAAAGAAAGACTTAAAAGCTTTCATCGCATCATTCAAACATGAGAAATATGAGAATCTTCACCATAAACTAATATAATAATAGTAAAAAATTTAACTTTTGTCAAACAATTGAACTCCTCAAAACATTAGATATACTACAAAGTTGATTGCGTCAATTTTGATGAAAATTATTAATATATCTAAATACTTGAGGCTAGGGTTCCAAATAAAAAAGAAGCATAAAAAAGAAGTTCAATGACAAAAAAATAAATAGCGGCTCAAGTATTATCATACACTTCGCACCATCATATTAACTTTACGCAAAAGAGTTCTCAAAATAAATTTGATTTTTTATTCACTTTTATTGGTTTTAGCATTTCTAGTGCCTTTATCTATAATTAAATATTTTTTGGCTCTCAACAAGGCAATAGTTCAAATTATGTTGACCATGCATCGTATGTTGGCTCTGCACTTCAAAATAGATTAAATCCCAAAATATTTCCCCAACTATTTGTGTGACAAATTTAATCCACGAGTATAACATTTGTCTAAATTAGTCCCATGATTAAATAAAATTGATCCAAAATGACCTCTTATATAGAAATTACGATACAAAATTAATCCATAAGTTACCATTTTTCATCAATTATATATATATATATATATAGTCGAGGGACTAAATTGGAGAAATGTAATAATCTAAGACTAAATTGACAGCATACAAATAGTCGGGGGATCATTTTAGGAATTAAGCCCTTCAACATAAATGAACATAGGAATTTTTTTTAGTCGAGATCTGTAGAGAAATGGATCATAAAATGCTTGGACAAGAAATGGAAATGCACTCAAAATCTTAGTCAGGCAATCTTGTGTACATTCACATACATGAAGATTAAATACTTAATAAAAGGTAAGGCCAACATAAAAAAGTTTATGGCACTCCATATGACTTCAATGAAATTGCATATTCAAAATTAGAAAACATTAGCATAACTTACTCGTAATTTCTTCAAAATGTTAATCAGTGAAATAAGCGATGGAATCATAAGATCAACTAGGCTCTGCTCATAACTTCGTTCCAAAAGCAATTCAGAGGTCGAATTGCATTCTGCTCCATCAACGAGATAATCTGAATCTCAAAAATGAGAAAGGAGGGGGAAAAAGGTTAAAAGGGTCTATAATAGAACACCTTTTTATAAAGGCTATTCGGACAAACATAAAAAATTAACATGCACATCAGTTCAAAACTAAAGTGATTCCTTTTGGAGCTTAAAATGAACAAAAATCTTCAGCGTAATTGCAGTTATTCAGGCCTGAGATATGGTCATTTACGCTTGCTTCTTTTAACACTGCAATATGGCGTCATTTCTCAACTAAGTCTACCGACAGGAAAAACAGAAATAGCTTTGATTTAATCATTTTTCTTCCAAGCTTCTGCACACTAATTCTAGTAATTGTGCTTTTTCAGTTGCCAGTTGTGCGTTATCAAACCATCCCAATCAAAATTTATATTGCCCAATACTAATAGATGTTACTACTCCAGCATTTGACATTTGACTTTGTGTAGCTTTACCACAATATTCCACATTTCGCTACACCAAGTCACCAACTACCACATTTCTCTTCATTGGCAGTATACTTAGACTCAGAAACATAGCCACCACAGTTACAATTTGAATCATTTCACATCAACCATCATGATACTCTTATCACAAAACATCCAAATGCCCTCCCAAGATTCAGCACTCAGATGAATCTAATTCACCTAAACCTATATTATATTTAGATATAACGATCTATAAATCTTGGTAAATCACTAATTCATATTTATTTATTTATTATACCAGCATTTAATTTATTTAGTTATGACAACTTAAACAAAAATAAATAAAGTATCATCATTTTTCATAAATATATTAAAAGAAAAAGACATAGCTCTATTAAAAGAAAAAGACAAAAGCTTAATATAGATCCTTGGTGAAACCATACTGCGAAGAACTTTATATAGTTACACAACTATTAATTACAAATCATTAATAATGCAAAGAAAATTAAAAAAAAAAAAAGATAATATGATTACCTTAATCAGACTCAAATAACGAACACAACTAAAGTTAGGTTGCTCGTGTGACTAAGAAACATAATCTTTTTAAAAGCGTCCAAAGCAAATCTCCCACAAGATCATAAGCATTACCTTGAGTCTTTTTGCATGGTTGGAACCTACCTCACCATCATCCTCAGCATAAGCCTTCTCACGACTACTTGTTTTGAGGTTTACTAGAATGTTATTTTTATTAATAACTATTACAAGGTTTTGCGTTGCTTTAAGTTAGCTAATACCTTTTGAACGACTTATAACCATGATAAACATAACCTGCTCCTTCTCCAGTCCATCTCTGACGCATAGCTACTGAAGCAAGACACAAGTAAACACACAAGAAAACCAAAAATATAGCTACCTTTTAAACCCGCGGGAACATCAGCACCAGAATGCATATCCAGAAAAAAAGAACAAACACTTACTATTACTACAAAAAACAGTGTCTGCCTACACACGCAGCAAAATGGAAATGTTGGGAAAGAATGATTAACACAAAGAATGAGAATGGGTGATTGAAACAAGATATGTTTGGGTTCTTACCAAGAATATTACATCTAATTTGGATCCTAATATGTTATCACCATGCAAGGAATGTCCAATGAGTGCAAGTAAAAATTAAAAACCTGGTGGGATATACTGACCGGCTGGCTAATAACACCAACAAATATAAATGCACTATAAAAACCAACAACTTTAATAATTATAATTTCCATTTAAAGCACTTATTCTTAAAACGATCTTCATCGTTGGTTATATATCATGATTCATCTAATTTTGATAAATTACTCAGACCCTCAAATACTCCCTTCCCACCCCTAAGACAATAATGAATACATTGTCTGACAACCATGAACTCAACTTTTAAGGTGCACACCTCAATGGAAGCCTCACCATGAGGCTAGGGGTGTCAAAATAGGGTTTAGGGTCGAACCCGGAATTGAGCCGGGTTCAAACGGATTGACCCTAAACCCGACCAGGTTTTGTAAACGGGACGAAAGTTTAGACCCGGCCCATCCCGTTACCGGTTTGCGACAGGGCAACCCGGATTTTACCGAGTTGAGTCATTCGAGTGAGAAAGCTAGTTACACTTGGGTAGTCTCATCTCGCAAGACGGGTGTGGGGTAGCCAGGAGCAACGGAGCCAATGATGTGGCCACTGTAATTCGACAGAGGCTTCTGGATGTCGTGCTCTACGACACAACAAACCACAAGCAGAAAAAGGGGGACAAAACACTGCGAAGCATTCCGCCACCGCTGGATGAGCGGCGATTGGAGAAGCTATTTGAGCAACTTAAACCGAAACTGGGGAAGGTTTCGATCGCTGGAAAGCGGGTGCAACGGCGAAGGTGTGACAATTAGCGAAGGATAACCCAGAAGCTCGACAGAAGCTCACCATGCTCGATGCCATTCCTCCACTCGTCAGATTGCTCGATGCGGAAGACTCAGATTCGCCATGGGAGGGTAGTTTCGGGTTGCGAGAGCTAGTCTTCTATCCCTTTCTCCTCTTATAACTCGTCTTGGACTTCTATCTATTTCATCTCTCCACAAATTTGCACCCCATTGTATCTTTCTTCTCAATCTACATAGTTGCAAGGTGTCGTTGTGTCATGTTTAAATTGTTTGTTATTATTTTTTTATTATAAGTGGTGTTTTGTCATGTTTTTATTGTTGTATTTGTTTAAGTTATTTTGAAAGAAAGTGATTATTTGCATACCTAGTAGGACTTTTGTTTTTTTTGTTTTTATCACTGTCTCAATGATATCACAATTCATCAGGACAATGCTTTACATCTTTAACATTACTTGATGCCATAATAGCCTTTCACTTCATCTTGCTTTAGCCATTCACCCAGTCCGTAGACCTCAAATTCTTCGATCTTGCTTTAGCCATTCACCCTCTCTGACCTTCTTTGAGTCTTACAAAAAAAATGACAATTAAGAAGTGCTTCTTACAAAAATTAGATTGTTTATGTATTACTGAAAGAATACATGATTACTAATATATATGACCTTTGCCTAATGCTAGTAGGTGACAAGATTCTTTATTTACATGTTCAAATTGCATTTCTATTTATTGTTGATTGTCTTGTTTGCATTATTAGAATGACATGTGGCTCAAGAAGAAAAGATCCTGAATCGAAATATGGTACTCAAGTTGAAGTATCAGGTGAAGGTACAAAGAAGGAATATGTTTATATAAAATGTAATTTTTGCAAGAAGCATATTACTGGTGGTGTCAAGAGGCTGAGGGATCGCCTACCTTGCACCCATGTCAATGTTGGACCGTGTGCAAATGTACTTCAAGAAGTGAAACAAGAATGCAAGAATTATTTACAGAAGTTTGCCCCATCCAAAGAAGTAACATAAAAAAATATGGAAGAGATGATTGAAAATTCTTCTTATTATGATTCCCAACAAGAAAGATCTAGTAGTGAGAGCCAGTTAAGTTCTTCTAATAAAGGCACTCAGAGGCCAATGAATAGATTAATGGTTAATGTTAATGATGAGGAGAATATAAACACTCAAAATACTCCTACTGCTATGAAGAAACTCAGGAACAAAGTATGTTTAAATATTTTCAGGCTCTTTATGAAAAAGGCATATCATTCAATGTTGCTAGAAGTTTGTCATAGATCAATATGCTTCGATCAGTTGAGAGTTATGGATGAGGACTACAACTTCCAATCATATATATGAGTTGAGGATATGAATGTTTGATGAGGAGGTCAGGACAACAACAAGATGGTGGATGAAGTTAAGAAAACTTAGGTTGAAATAGGAGTTACCAAAATATCATATGGTTGGTCAGATATTCGATAGAGGAGTATCATTAACTTCTTGATCAACAATCCATATGAAACGGTTTGTTTGAAATCAATTGATGCTTCAAATTTTGTAAAAGATGTACAATTGTTATTTGAAATGTTGGATGATGTTGTGGAGGAAGTAAAAGGGTATTAGTGGTACAAGTTATTACTGATAATGCAAGTGCATACAAAGCTGCTGGGAGATTGTTAATAGAGAAGAGGAAGCATTTTTACTGGACTCCAAATGCTGCGCATTACATTGATTTAATTATTGAGAGGTTGGGACAGTTGCCTCAACATAAATCAGTCCTACTGAATGCCAAATTCATTAATAAGTTCATTTGCAATCACTCTTGGATACTCCGTTTGATGATGAAATTTACTTTAAAAAAAAAATTATTTGACTTGTTGTTACTAAATTTGCAATTGCATATTTAACACTAGAAAGATTTAAGGCGTTAAGGCAGCCTTTGGAAGCTATGTTTGCTTCTGAAAAAAAGGACAAAAGTTCATGGGACAAAAAACAGGAATGAAATAGGTTAAGAAAATTGTTATGAAAGATGATTCATTTTGATGTAGTATAAATTATGCTTTGAAGACAACAAAACTTTTAGTTAAGGTGCTTATAATGATTGATAGTGAGAGGGCCATAGTTATGAGATTTATTTATAAAGCAATGAATAAGGCTAACAAATATATAGCAAAAGATTTGGGTGGTCAAAAAGGTGCCTACAAAGAAATATGAGAAATTATAGTTGAAAAGTGGGATCGCCAATTACACCAACCCTTATATGTTGTTGCGTACTATTTAAATTCTCAATTCATTATGATAAAAACTTTCATGTTAATAAAGAGATAAAAACTGATTTATATGCATGCATGGACATACTTGTTTCTAAAGGGGACAACTCAAAGTGAATGATCAACTTGGGTATTTTCGTTTGAAGAAGGGAATATTTGGATTTAGAGCATCACAAGCATGCTAAAAACACAATCTCCCGGTATGTTTATAGTTTGTATATTTATAATTTTAAAATTTAATATTTCTGTCAAAGTTTCCTACTTCCATCTATATTCATAATATTATATTTTCATTTTCATGTAGAAAGTTGGTGGGCTCAATTTGGATATTATGTTCTTAAATTAAAAACATTTGCAGTTAAAGTTCTTAACCTAACATGTTTTGCTACTACATGCGAGCGTGATTGAGCAACTTCAATCAATTCATACAAAGAGAAAAAATCAATTGGCTGCAAGACGAATGAACAAATTAGTATGTGTTATGTTTAACAAAAAATTGAAGGATAGTTATCTCAAATTCCATAATCAAAGAAATAGTGATAATGAATTATATCTTTTACTTGTTGATGATTTACAATCTGATGATGAATAAGTTACTCCTAAGAGTACAAATTTTCCTAAAGTTGAAGTTGAAGCTGATGGAGAAACTCATGTCAATGAAAAAAATGAAGTAATTACTGTAGATATCAAAATGTCTATTAAATTGGAGTTATCTTCCACTTCCCAAGTATATAAAAGAAAGAAAAAAAATGAGATTGGAGCTTAAAAAAATTCAAAGATAATCTTAAATATAATGAATTATTACTTATTTTTTATGTTACTAATTTATTATTTCATTTTAGAACGAATGATATGTTAACTTATATATGTGATAAAGCAAAAAAATATTATAGATGATGAAGATTTTGAGGATGATTTTGATATAAATGAAGATTCTTCTGAAGACAATCAAAGTGATGATGAAACTGCCTTGAGTCTTAATTCTAAGGGTGTACTTTATTTTTAAGTGAGTATTTATTTTGAATCTTGTGCTCCAGTAATATTATTTTCAAAAAAATTATCATGTTCATAATTTACTAAATATTTCATAATTTTTTAATTATTTATAATTTTTAAAGTACTTCATTTTTTCCGTTTTGAGGCTTACGCCTCGAGGCTTATGCCTCGCCTCGCTTAGACAAAATGTCTTGATTCCCGATTTTGCCTTTTAAAACCTTGCGTAGAGGTAGACATAAAAGACTTGGTTAGAAAGTATCAGAAAAGACATTTTCTTATTAGATTTAAATGAGGATTTGTCCCTACTAGGACACAATGGAGAAAAATGATTCATGTGGTGACCCTACATATTGGAATAAAGACTTAATGTTGTTGTTGTTGTTGTTGAGTTGATGATAGTCTTCGACTCTCTATATATCATACTCTCCTAAATACTTTTAAGTACTTCAACAAAAAGTTTGAATAGCCATAGATTGGAAGTTATCTGTTGTAAATGATGACAAAAGGTAGTGATGGGGACATCAGAGCATGGAAAGTATATCAGAGGCGTGGCCGTCGATCTACGAACAGGATCGAGTCTATGTATTTTTGAGTTATTTCAAGTATTTGTTTTCTTTTATTATGTTATGTAGTTTTTATTATTTATGCGTATTTGTTTTCCCGTTTTACCCTTTTCTTAAGAGAGGTTGTATGTAAGTCCTAGGGGCATTGTTGTCATTTTATTTCTTGAGTCTTTGTACGTGGCTATTTATAGTCCTCATGTTTTTCTTCTAAAGCTAATGAATGATTGATTGATAAAATTAATTCTCTTTGTTTGAGTTCTTATGAGAGCTTGAGAGATTGGAGTGAGATCCCTTGGACAGGGAGAATTGCGCATCACCCATCAACCTAGATGAGTCGGGTTCGTGGTTTTACTTTCTATCTTTTTCCCTTCCTTAATTTAGGTAACTCAAGACTTTTCAAAATTCAAACTTATTTGAATTTGAAAAGTTACATAAAATATCATTCCTATTTTAAGAAACTTTCCAAATCATTGCCTATTGGATTTAAATTAAATTAGGATGAAATATCTCATTCTAAATTTGAAGTCCCTAATTTAAGGAAGCATTAAAAGCTTTCTTAATCCCTCTCCCTAGCCCTTAATGCCGCCGGCCCCTATAGAGGAAAAATTAGGAATTATTTCCTAAATCCAAATCCCCACTTTGGAAACAATTCAAATTTTTCCCGCTTTCTCCTTGGCCGAATCCTTCCCAAGCCCCACCTATTTAATTTAAGGGAACTCCTCCAATTGGAAGTAAATCAACCCCACCCCACCCTCTTGCCGTCGCCCCCTCTTTCCCTTTCTCTCTTCCTTTAATTATTTTCAATTAAGAGGATAATTAGGAAGTGCTGAATTAGAATTCCCTCCATCTCTTCTCCCAAAATCTGAACCAAATCCCTTACCCTTGACCTCATCATTGGTCGGCCACCTTTATTCCCTTCCCCCTCTTGATTTCTCTATATTATCTCCTCCATCTCAAAGAAGAGTCTTCGAGAGAAGCATCAACGATGGTCTTCAACATCTCATCCTCCAAAGGCCATGCATGGCCGATCCGGATCTTGAATATGGTCTCGCCTACGACGAACAAGGGTTTGTTTGCATCCTTCACTTGACATTTTTCTACGTCAACCCTCACATCGACAACACCGTCGAAGAGTACGTAGAGCACGTTCTAGACCCTTGTCGAGGCCATTGAAGAACAACTTGGCCCCGTTTAGTGGAGGATTGAATCTCAACCGTGATAAGGGTTTGCCAATCTCCATTTTCTTGTATTTTCATTATCTAACTTGTTCTTGTGATTTGATAGATTCATGAAGATCTTGTTCATCAAACTCTGCCGAGCTTAGTAAACGTAGGGATTGAGTTCACTTTATTTACTTCTAATCTTATTGTTAGATTAGGGATGTTGTGAAGCCTACTTACTTAGCATGTTGTTGAGTTTCTAAGTTACTTTGATTTTCCAAGTGTTTAGCAAGTGGCTTGGCCTAAGCGTAGGCACCCTTCTCTTATTTTATTTTGTCGTTTTAATTGCTAATGGTTTCATCTTTATTGTTCTAAACAAGGAATCGTGCAACATTCTTATTTCATCCATTTAAAAGCATTTAATCCTACATCAGGTAGGAAAAAAAAACAGCACTAAAACATTTAAATATAATTATCTTAAAAGGTCAAAAGTGGGAATTCTCCAGCAAAGAATGGCTTGAACAATTAAAAGGAAAAATATAATAAACGAAAATAAGCAATAAGCAGTACTGTGCAGCACAACTTGAATAAAAAGACAATTCATAAAGCTCACCATATGTATTTGATGAGTTCTCGACCATACATTTACAGTTCGCTAAAACCACATATAGTAATGTCACAGCACCTTCTTCAAAAAGGGCTGCTGCCACATCCTTCAACCGAAATGAATAAAGAAACAGTGAAGATCAGTCAGTCCATAATTAAAAATTAAAGAAAAAACAATAATTCCAAAACTGATGTTCTCAAAGACTGCTAAAATAAAAAGAAGGGGCATACCGAATTCTCTGAAATAAAAGACAAAATCCGAATGGCTGTCGTCAGTTGCACGATAGAAGTATTCCGTAGGGTAATACCATCAAAAAACTTATCATTAACAAGCTTCCCTAGAAGAATATCTAACATCTGAGAGTCTGAAGCATCTGATGTGTCTCCCACAACATTCTCAACATCAATGGAATCTGACACCAATACAGTTGTAGAACTCAGATGAGCATCCCCTCCAGAAGCTAAAACAGCAGCATATCTAAGAAGTCCAATAGCTCCATTTTTTTGATAAACAACACCGGCATCAATCCATTCCAGCAGCCTTGCAGGAGCATCCTTTCTGTGAGACCCTGGGGAAGACAAGTGCAATGCCTTATGAAGCTCCATAGCTTGTCCAATCCAAGTTCTGAGTGCTGATGATGTAGAATCAGAAACCAATATTTCAAAAATTTCGGCCGCTGAATGGAAAGTGGCAAGACCCAGCTGAGAAGTTCCTGAAAACCAAAGGTTCAATATCACACCAAAACAAGAACACTGAATAAAGAGAACAGGCTACATAAAAAAAAATTTCAAAAAAACAATGGTCAACATCAAGCAGCTCATTTTTTTAAACTAGCAAAAGATCCAAATAAAATAGATAAAATATTACCATTGCTGCCAGATATTGACTCAGGATCCTTGAAAGAATGAAATGCATCCAACAAAACTGATATTGCCTACACAGCAGAGACTAGGTCAAAAGACAAATACAATGCTAACAAAGTGTATCACAGATTCCACTCATTAGTACAAATTAAGTTACAAATATAAGTTTAGAAGAATCATGATGGATTTGAAAAGAGATCAGCAACACACTTTAAAAAAAAAGCGACCAGAAACACTACCTCAGGAAAATAACCAAGGGATAAAATTGCTTGACGGCCACATTCAGACCTACAAAAAAATGTATATAATAAAAATCTCCGAAAATCAAACTCAAAACCTGGGCTACTAGAAGCATAATCTACCTGGAGATAGCGCAGAGATCCCAAAGAACCCAAAGAAATTCATCAGAACAAGGGTTTGTAGCAAGTAACCGGTCAATAGACTTGCCCTAATAAGCAGCAAAAGGACCAGAAAAAAAAAAAGTCAACTTATAGCATACTTATAAAACTATGCTAAAAAAATATTAGGGGAAAATGTAGTATATCATATTACATCTATGATAGTACATTAATAGTTGGAAAACAAACCAATTAATTCCCAAACATTGACTAGCGTAATTCAATTCATAAAAATTTGAAAAGATTAGCATCAACAATATAATACACACACCCGAGCGAGCATGTGCATATATATATATATATATAGCCCCAAGCACCGTTCTAGCTGGTACTAGTTAATCCATTAATGAGGTAAAATCTCTCTCTAGTATGTAACTTAATCTTTTCATGATGTTAAGTAATTTTTAACCCCCATCACAAAAAATAAAAAGAACAATCAGCAAAAAAAGAAAAGAAAGAACAAAGAAGAAATGATGTATTGCCATGAACAATCAAAGTATGTTTAAGCATACAATTAGGACTAACGCCAAAAAAAAGAAACTTTTTATTTTCTAGAAATACTAGAAAAACTTTATTGCCACTACAAAAGCAAACAGCAGGCAAATATAATTGACTGACAGAGAACAAATTCTGCTGAATGTTCAACTCAAGACCTTAAGGTGGCTGTCATCATCATCATTGCTGGTGATATTGCAAGTTTTTGGGGCAAATTTTATAATCCACCTCGGCTCATTCTTGTTGAGAGCTACATAAGATTGTAACTTTACATTGAAAGTGCTTTTTTGTACATATGTCAAAATTACCTTATTTTACTGTTTACCTTCATAATCTTTGTACATTAATTCAATCTACTCATCTTCTTAGTGCACTCTCTTCCTTTCATTGTATGTGCCAAAATCACCGAAGTCCATTTAAAGTTATTTTACCTACAATAGATGCCACTCCTCATGCCCTTCTAGTATAACCTTCCTATACAATCCATTATTGTTTTAGCACATAAAAATCTTAACATTCTTATTTCTGACACATCAACTCAACTAAAATTGATTATTTTCTTGTTAACACTCATATCCACATAGCACAATCAGTTGAATAGCAATCTTAAGAAATTTACATTTACCATTATTACTCTCTTATTGCATAACACTCGGCACTTCTTCAATTTAAATGGTATCATATTTAAATTGATTTTAAGTCACTTCACCTACTACTGATACCATATTTAACACTTCAAATATTTTTTTCATTTATATCCCAGTTATTTTGTAAAAAACTATGAAGGAAAATAAAATCCATTAAACCTATTCATCACTTCATATTCTAATAATATCACAAGATACACAAATCTAACATAACATGAAATCACTTATTACTTCATATAAAATGATGTCATATCAGTAAGCCTTATGTCCTCAG